TCAGCGGCAAATGAAGATGCTCCTTGCGTGAAAATGGTCAAACCCGCGTGGCCAGTGATTCGAGAAAGAGAGCGGAGACTCGTGCCGGAGAGGACACCTTATACTCGATGCAGTCTAGATAGGTGGTCTTTGCATTCATGCTAGTAGATCGAAGTGGATATGGCACCATGGCCTGGCTCCTCCATCATTTCCTGAGTTGGAGGGGGGACGATCTTAACGAGGACAGCTGAAAGGGTGGGACCCGTTGCGGGTACGGCTTGACGCGACAACCCATGCACCCTGCATCGATCACGACCCTAGCACCAATAAGCGGAGAGTCTGGAATGACACCGTTTCTCTCGGCCCCCCGAGAATAACATTTGGAAAAAAAAGGGATTAATTCAAAAAGAGAAAAAGAGAAGACTTAAAAAAGGGGGGACTGGATCCATGCACCGGCTGGTTTAGCCCTAACTTTCGAGAGTCTTGAGAGTTCCTGAAGTTCCCGGCTGAGCAGACTCAGGCTCAGGCTCAGTCTCAATGGATACTCGTAGGCAGAATTGCTTACTACCTGATTGGCCTAACCAATCCAACATTCTCAACTGGACTGTGAATGGCTCTGATTATGGTTTCCCCTCCCGGAGTACTTGAGTACTAGCCTGCTTCTGGAAGCCAACAAATGACACCCACCCACCATCTTTCATCGGTGAGTGTGGGAGTGTGGGTGTGCGTGCAGACAGTCCTGCGGGCCTCGTGCACTGGGCTTTCTCTGTGATTCCGATATTCTATCGCCTCTTCCTACTGTAATTCAAATCGAGCCTACTCCACTTGAGCCTCAGCCGATTATCCCCGTCTAAGGAAGACGGAGGATCAGTTGAGGCCGGTGATATGAACGGATCCCTAATTTAGGGTCGCTGTCTCCTGAGGTCAAGCATTTCGGACATTCACATGGTTAATTTGATAAAAATACACCTGGAAGAAAGGTCCCCTCTCAAAAAAGCAAAATCCGACGCCTTCTCGAACGCCAAGCTTGGACTAGGTCGGGTGGAGGCCCGCATCGGGGACAACCTGCGTCCACATTGGCCTTGGCCATCTTCAGCACCAGTACTCCGTACGAGTATGCTCGTATGTAGGCAATGTTAAGTGTCGGAAGAGGAAGACCGTCGCTGTCACTGTCATGTCCCCGCACACCTGGGCACCAACGGGAAACAACATATCTCCCGTATGATGTGCCGGTCATCTGCACTGCTGGGGAGTTCGGGAATCAGCTTGAGGCTGGAGGAATCAAACCAGGGTTACACAGTACTCTTCCTGCCACTCACGAACGCACCTCGGGCCAGTGAAAGTGTGATAAGCGGCCGTTAGCTGTTTCGAGTTTATTTAGACGGGGGCCTCGATGGGTCGCATGCTTCATTGGTGGGGCGCGTGGCAGTAAGCCTGCATCAACTGCATATCTACTGTGCAATCCATACGAAAGCCACTTTGTATTCGTACTCCATAAATGGCGTTAGTACTTCGTACGGAGAAGACAGATCGGACCCAGTCGCTTCCGTCTATCTGCCGATCAACTCGATATACTCCGTGAAATCGCTCAGCCCAATACGCTAACTCGTTCCTGAAACGGCCTCTGCACAATCCAACGTCAACCATTTTGACTTTGCACCCTTTTCTTTTCTTTCTAGTCTGCTTCTCTGTCTTCCTCCCGCCCTCCCCTCCGTTCCAGCAGCTCCACCCCTCCTCCATCCTCTCCGAGATCCACCGAAAGCCTCTCATGCTTAGGAGAACGTACATCTAGACCGCATTGTGGACCAGTTTGATGCTATCCGATCTGCCAACGCTAACGTCATTAGCAGCAAACGTACATAGGTCTCGTCCGTTAATATCCCAGCCCTAGACTAAAGTAGATCGCACGGCGTGCCTTTGCATTTGTCTCGCCCACTTACTCGGCACTGTGTACAGTGCTGCCGGTGGGGTTTGTCCTGCGGTTTCCTCGTAGGTTAAGTTTGCGCTTTTTTTTCTCCTTTCCGGTTTTGGATTTTTGAATTTAAGATCTTTTATTTTTATTTTCCTGATTTATTATGTCTACGCCTGCTTTATTTAGTAAGGACTACGGAGTACCTACGGAGACGAATCCTGCCGGGAACATGCAATCTCCAATCTCACGGCGTCGTAGGATCAACGTCACCAGCGGGCCTTTTTATTATTTTTATTTTCTTTCTTTTATTTTTATATCACGTTGCCTTGGAAATCTTTGCTCTCCTTGGCCTCAGGTCTACCACCAATCTATCCTCGAGATTTACTGCGTAGATGAGCCTGCCTTTGTTGCTATTCGCCCAAGTTGGCCTCAACGTATCACGACTTCTCCACTGCCTCCGGAAGACCGACTGGCACTGGAAGAGAGGAGAGCGAGCCGAAAACATAATAAAAATAGCGTGTTGGAGGTATTTCAAGCCGTTGGAACGAACCGAGTATAGATCTGCCAGGTCTCAAAGAAATCAAAGACACGTTCCCCACCATAGGTAAACCGAGTGCCGGTCATCGAAAGACTTCTCCATTTCCCCACCGAAACCTAGTCTGGGTTGAGCCAGTGTTCGATTTTCTTGATTTTCTTGGTTTTATTTATTAGAATTTCTGCTCGTTTTGGAAAGGCTATCTCTCACACGGAGTACTTTCTTTGACACTCCCTTCCACGCACCAACTCCTCTGCATGCTGCACATCATTTCCTTTCCCCTACCGCCTGTCCACCGTCCACCGTTCACCCTCTCGCAAGCGTTTAAATCTGGCTTTCGGCTAGGCGACGGATGATGACACCCTTTTAATTTAAAGAATAGAAGTCCCACTGAGGCTCGGATGTTTACCGGACTCGAGTCTTTGGTCATCTCCCTCCTGCATTCATCCTGGTTCAATATTACACCCGTTTCCGCTAGTGAGCAATCCTGATACTCTCAACTTCTCTTGCTTGCCTAGCCATCACTGCCTCTAACCTATATTGGATTTCTCTTTCTTTTTTTTTGCCCTCTTCCCCCCTCCTCTATTTTCCCTCAATTTTATAATTCTGGATATTCCATTTTTATTTTGTTTATTTTTCTCTTTTACCATTTCCTTTTTGATCCCATCCCCAATTCTTTTACCTTGCCCGTTTCGCCCTACTCTAGCGCCGCGGCTCTCCCGAACGAAGCCAGGATGGGTCTCAGTGCAGCTAAATAAACGACCCTGGACCCTCCCTCTTCGCTCCCATATCGTGCCCTGAATCCACCCCAGTCGAGAAAAGAGGCTACTAGCCGTGTGTCGCGCAGCGGAGAGCCTCAGTGCCGGATCGTCTCCCCTGTTCTTGGCTTTGCCCGCTGCTGTTTGCCCTAGACCGTTGGGCATCTCCACGCGCGTTTCTTCCCTCGCGCGCCAAACCTTCGCACTCACATCCCGGTTCTTTTCTTGTCAAACCTCATTGTCCCCCTCCTACTACCTCATCCCCTTTCCCTTCACATACTCCCGACTACCTCGTTCCATACCTGCGAACGGAAATTCGGTCCCAGCCCGTTGAGGTCGGTGACCGGTATGATACAGTCGGACCTGACCTCTGCTCCGGTCTCAAGATACAAGGAAGAGCCGCCGGATGATTCCGTGAGTACTTGAATTTCTTTTTGTGTGATCTTGCGCTACTCTACTTTGTCGTTTGCCATTTCGTTTCCCACGGATTAGAACTGTGTCGCAGTGTTTCTCCTACTACAATATCATTTCCGATCTTCTGAGATCTTGTCTCTTTTCTTATATCGGAGGGATATCAGCCTACAAACTATCTTGTTTTGCACTTCGCCCGCTCTACCCGCTATTCTCTATTCGCCGGCCTCATCACTGTGACATTTGAGTCTAGCAGACAAACCATTTTCTGCTATGCACATTCTCCCATACTCTCTGGAGCGCGAGGATGGGTAAGCCAACCTCGGCAAAGGCTTATGCTCTTCGTTTAAGCCCACGGGTGCATCTGCGCCCTCGCCTGCGCCATTGAAGTCACTATGATGAGGCTGAATCTACCCAAGCTCCCGCGAGATGTCTCTATATGAAAGCCAAGATATATGTACAGGCGCCTATGTTGCCACGCTTGCCTTTCTCTCCAGGAGCTGTGTACAGCAATTGGTCCAGCAAACAGGGAACAGGGAACAAAAACAGCACGATGAAAGCCACTTCCTGCGTTGAAACGCGCTGGGAAAACGCTGCTTGAGTGCTTTGTCCCTTCGGAAGGAAATAGCCACTCGCAGCGTCGAGCCTGATACAAGGCTACACAGAGCCATGGTTTTCTTTGGCCCTGGCTGGCGCATCCTGGTTGTGACCCTGGCCATTTGGTCCGCTCCTAAGCCCATCCCTGCTCGAGACATCCTTTCCTTGTCATCCACCCCCTCCTCATTTCTTCAGCCCACTCCAGATCAGCCTCTGCTCTTGGATGATTCGAATTCCCGCGCTTGTGTTGTCACTCGGAAGATCTAGCTGTGTTCGCAAGTCTCTTCTGCCCTCCCATGTCCACGTTCTTAGGTTGCTGTACCACCCTGCGGTCTCGAACACCTCTCGTCGTCTTGGGTCTCAAGAGTCAGTTCACTGATATGTGCTTTTGCCACAGATTCGACTCGGCAGTTCGAACCGCCCGAGCTTACAGCACTCTCAATCACAGCATCCTCATTCAATCCAACCACACCCAAATCCCAGAGGTCTCCCATCACCAACTCATTCGACAGCCTCTATTTCTCCAAGCACTTACCCCCAGTCGCACTCTGTAGGCAGCGCTGCGTTACATCACGCTAGTGCGTACGGAGCGCCCTCTCAGGAATCACCCTATTATTCTACACATCCATCTTCGTATCCCCCAGCACCTGCATCCGCGCAGTATCCATCCAGCGGTATGTTCTTGAGACTTATTTCATTTCTATATCTTCGTGGCGGCTCGCGCGCATTCTTTGAATGCCCACTAGCATATATGCCGGGGTGTCTACTGAATCCAACTGACACGCCGAGAGTAGGATCCTCCGACCTCATGGCCTCCACCGCTCAAATGCAGAGACCTTACCCACCCATCTATCACACACCCCAGTCCAATTCACCAGCATCGGTAGCTTCACAGCCGCATGATCAACATGGTCGAAATCTCTATACGCAGTCACCACAGATGGCCCCCCAGATGTATGCATATCCGCCATACTCCCCCATCAACCCCGTTCAGGCATCGCCATATGCGGCACACCCTTCACCTCAATCGCATCCTCTCACAACACAGTCTATGATGATGCCACCACAGACAACAACAGCGCAGATGCCACCACATCAATCCTCACACACTCCCAACCCATGTTTAACCAACAGCCCGATCATGAAGATGGACTCAACATCACAGTCAGGGCCCAACCAGCGACCAATGCTCAACCCACCTCTTTCGTCGCCTACATCTGCTCTCCAAGGAAGCTCTGCCCAGTCGCCTCTTGGCGCCAGCTCGAGTGCGGCACCAGGTCCCATTCCAGCTACTACCCCTCTGGTTGTACGGCAAGACAGCAACGGCGTGCAATGGATAGCCTTTGAGTATTCGCGGGACCGAGTGAAGATGGAGTATACAATCCGGTGTGACGTCGAGTCGGTGAACGTGGACAGTTTAAGCTTAGAATTCAAGACGGAAAACTGCGTGTATCCGCGCGCCTGCTGCAACAAAGACAACTATAAGGGCAACCGCCTTGTCTACGAGTCGGAATGCAATGCCGTTGGCTGGGCCCTGGCCGATCTGAACCCGGCTCTACGAGGTAAGCGTGGTCTCATCCAGCGCGCCGTCGATAGCTGGAGGAACAGCAATCAGGACCCTCGACTTCGCAGTCGAAGAGTCCGTCGTCAGGCTAAGCTCAGCCGCCGACAGTCAGTGCCTCCTACCCCGGCCCCTCCTCCACACATGGCACCTGGTGGACCTGGCCCTCTCGGTCATGGAATTCCCAGTGCTGCTCCTCCGATGCAACACCCACCTCCCAGTTCTCGCCCTAGTATTTCGGGTCCTATGAACATGGGTCCCCCGCAGCTGCATCATCATCACGCTCAACCGGATGGCAGCCCTAAGATTGAGGAAGTCAGCGGTATGTTTCACCAGATCTGATGCGTTTCTCTTTCCGTCGATGTTTCTTTTTTGCGACATGCGCGGCGAGAATTCGGTGATTTCTTGTTCTTCTCCTTAGTTTGTGTATTCCTTTCTGTTCTTTTCCTGTTCTTCATCTACCCTTTCCTTGCTCCCTTTTATATGGAGCTGATGGATGGGTGCTGCTCAATGTCTCTTGCCCTATATCCCTATTATTCTTTTTATTATTATTCATCTGTCTTCCTTTGGATGTGATACGTGTATATGTGACTTTTTGTCTTTGTTAATGGCTGTTGTGTATGAGATCGGGATGTACGTCTATTTGGTCTGGAACATGGTGCGAATTTCCTTGAGCTTTTACCTGTATCGTCTTTTTGTTTTCTTTTTCTTTTGCTTTTTTTTCTTCCTCTTCTTCATATTGCTTTTTCCTGTCCTGTCTTCCATGCCCTATATTTTCTCTCTTGTCATTCGATACCGCCGCGCATTGCTCTGATGCTTTTCTTTCATGTGGATCTCGATATCCTTGCCCTCCATCCGAAAGTACAGCGTAGGCTAATTCTCGCCCTCTTTCAATTTCAAATTCTATAGGCACTACGGATTACGGAACTCACCGTCCATTGGAGACTACCCGTCTCCCGCACGCACCTCTCGCCGCCGCCGATATTCGTCCAGCACAAGTCTTTCATGATCCCCACATCCTCCCAACGCCCGCCGGCGCCGGTTCCTCGGCCCATCCATGCCTCCCATGCTCCGCGACAGTGGCTTGGGTGCGATGAGTCGCCACCCAACAATCGCCACCTCCAGCCGTATGGAGGCACCCGCAACGACAGCAGACACAGATGACGAGCAAAGCCCGAGCAATGAAGACCTCTTCGGCCAGCTCCCCGGCGGCAAGCGACGCACATTCATCCTAGTCGAAGACCCACAACGAGGCTCGCGTGTTCGCGTGAAGGTCGGCCTGGATAAGATCAACATGGACGATCTACCGGATTCGTATCGCAAGCTTAATGCCGTCTACCCGCGCACCTACTTTCCGGTGCAGATGAAAGATGCACCAGGGGCGAGCATCCCGTCGAACCGATATTTCCGTGATGACACGGATGTTGCGGATGACGATGCGTTGACTGTTGGACGGACTACGGTTCCTGCGCCCTCATTGGATGGCGAGCGAGACATTGTTGTGCCTAAGCTTTCGCGGCGGGGACATCGGAAGGAGGTCATGTTGAATGATCTGGGGTACCGACTTAGTTGGAGTCAGAGTCGAGTTTTTGCGGGGCGCATGTTGTTCTTGCAGCAGTCGTGTAAGTTGACCTCATCTCTTCTTTTTGCTTTGTTACATGTCTCCTTGAAACCTACCCCTATCCCTTTTCTTTTCCTTCCTTCCTTTCCTTTTTTTTTTGTTTTTCCCCCGCTGCACTCTGTGTCATTTTGTTCTCCCCTCGACACCGCACATTCCAGCTGCAGCCGAGCCGTCCTCCTTGCGTGGCACGGCACTGCCCACGTGTGGTGCAAACGGGCTGAGACGTGTCTCACCGGAAGCCGAAGTCTGCCGTGTTCAGACAATTATAGCCTCAACTAACTTTGATCGGAATATAGTGGATGCCTACCGAAATAAAATGCGCAGTTCGATGTTAGCGGCAGGACAGGATCCGGCGGAGATTCCGGAGCATTTTGATACTCGGCGTGGCAAGCGACGATTTTTGGAGCGGGCGGGTCGGATGGGGTCGGCGGTGCAGCGGAGTGCGGAAGAGGTAGAGGGGTAGGTGGGTGGGATGAGATGGGTTACGACTAGTATTTATTATCTTGATCTTGCTTTAGTTTTTATGTTTTGTTCCAAGGTTGTTTCCAAGGTTGCCTAGTTTGTCCATGCACAGTGGAGTACTGTTCGTGGATGTGGCATGTCAGTCGCTATCGCATGTTTATTGTTGGTCCGTGTGGCTTGGACTGGAATGCGGCGCTCTCTTGGGATATGATATGATATGATATGGTCTTAGCGATTATGAGATATGAGATATGATCAGTTGTCTTGCTCGTAGTATTAGTACTCTATTATCTGTCGATGTAAATAAACTTGAATGTAAATGTATCAATGTCAGGTGAGATTCAACCATGGATCTTGACGGAGTGGACCAAGGGTCTTCGGGCTAAAAATAGGGCGCCCCACCCACATTTCCGTTTTCCCTTTTCAGGGTCCGACCAGACCCTTTTATTGATTTTACTATTATTTATTGACTGTCATGCAGTGTGGAGTAGTATGTGTTGTAGATATATATATTTTAAAAAAGTAATTATATCAAAGTATATCCCAGAGAACACATGACAGTTCTGCCAAACCTGCAATACTTAATGCTGGTGCTGTGCTGATACTGTACTGTACCTACTGTACCTACTGTACCTACTGTGCCTACCGCTGACCGGCGTGGTTTCCCCGGTCACCCCGTGTTTTTCTCACCACTCGCTTCCCTCGCTTCCCGTGCCCTTCTCTCCTCCTCTTCTCCTCTCAGCCTCCTCTCTCCCGCTTCTTTCACATCTGATTCTCTTTTATCTTCTTCTTCTCCCGCTCCCTTTTCCATCAATGAAACCCTCCTGAATTAATTCTATCAACCTGACACATTTCACTGTGCCTTTGTGACCCCTCGACCCACCTACCCATTCCTCCACTCATCTCGGGAACCGTGGATCTGCGCTTTGCGATGCCTACATTCTGATCCTTGACTCTCCTCCCTTCCTGCCTGTGTTTCGTCCATTTCCTCTTTTCTCTCTTCTCCTTCTTCTCTCCTCCAACTCGCCACCACCAATATCCATGAACGCCGACATTCCCGCTCCATCTCATCGCTACGCTCCAGATCGAAACGACTCAACCGTCACCCCAGGCGTCGATAATCTCGGCCCAGCTTCCGTCGGCGGCGGTATTAGCGGTATTGCTCTCGGCGTCGCGAATTCCCACGATCGTCTCAGTGGCATCGACGCTGTCCGCGCCATGGATCAAGATCACCACGATAACTTCACCGGCCCCGTCGAGCGAGGCTACCACACCACCGGTTCCGACAATCCTTACGTGCCACAGGGCTACACCAGCGCCGAGTCTCTTCACGCCGAGCGCTCCTATGGCTCAAATATGGCCCTAGGCGCAGCAGCTGCTCCACCAGGCGCGCAGACCCCCGGTCAATCTTCCATCCATCTCAGTGAGACCAGTGCCAATCGCCGCAGCATGGTTGATCAGTATCCCGGTTCGTATGGAGCTGGCGGTATCGTGAGCGATGGTCCCTACCAGCGCCAGTCACAATATAGCACTAATATGCCCGACATCAACCCCAATGACATTGCCGACGATGACGATGATTACGGGCCTCGGTCCCGGAATCGAGCTGCTCCTGCAGCTGGCGCGGCGGCTGGTGCGGCAGGCGGAACTGCTGCTGGGGGCATGTTTGGATTTTTTGGCGCCAACAAGGGTGCCGCCGCTAGCACTGCCTACGACCCTGTCCCCGGTGGAGGTGGCGGTGGACTTGAAGCCGGCCACGGTGGTGGCTTCGGGGGTGGTGGCAGTAGCGGTGCTGCTGCGGAAAAAGCAGCTGCAGCCGAGGCATCTCAAGCGGCACGAAAGAAGCGCGGTTGGATAGCTGGCCTTGTTCTCGGGTTGATTGTCGTTTGTGCCATTGTTGGTGGTGCCGTCGGTGGAACACTCGGGACTAAACACTCGGATGGTTCTTCCTCCTCCGACTCGAGTAACGAGTCCGCATCGTCGGATTCTTCGAAAAATGGCGATTTGAATAAAGATTCGTCTGAGATCAAGGCACTCTTGGACAACGACAACTTGCACAAGGTCTTCCCCGGCATGGATTATACCCCTTGGGGTGTACAGTACCCGCTCTGCCTCAAGTATCCTCCTTCCCAGAATAACGTCACTCGCGACATGGCTGTTCTATCGCAACTCACCAATAACGTTCGACTTTATGGAACGGACTGCAACCAAACGGAGATGGTTCTGCACGCGATTGATCGACTTGAACTTACCGACATGAAAGTGTGGCTAGGTGTTTGGATTGACACAAACAAGACGACGACAAACCGCCAACTCGATCAGCTTTACAAAATTCTCGACGACACCAAGGATACCTCTATTTTCAACGGCGTGATTGTTGGTAACGAAGCTCTATACCGCGCTGGCTCAGACAAGCAATCGGCGCAGACGAACCTGCTCGGTTATATCAAGGATGTCCGCAGCGAGCTGAAGAAGCGCAGTATCGATTTCGATGTCGCGACCTCTGATCTTGGTGACAACTGGAACTCACAGCTCGTCTCTGCCGTTGATGCCGTCATGTCAAACGTCCACCCGTTCTTCGCAGGAGTCAACATTGATATTGCCGCTTCGTGGACGTGGGACTTCTGGCAGAGTCACGATGTATCTTTAACCAAGGGCACCACAAAGAAACAGATCATTTCGGAAGTGGGCTGGCCCAGCGGAGGCGGCAAGGATTGCGGTGAAAGCCCATCTTGCGACAGTGATACTCCTGGCTCCGTGGCTAGCCTCGCCAACTTGAACCAATTTATGGAAGACTGGGTCTGCCAGGCTCTGGAGAACGGCACCGACTACTTTTGGTATGTAACCATTCACGCACTACTCGGCAATTTCCCATGCCTGCGTTCACCTCGGAGCATTGCTAACAAGAGAAACAGGTTCGAGGCTTTCGACGAGCCATGGAAAATTCAGTATAACACCAAAGACGAAAACTGGGAAGATAAATGGGGTCTGATGGACGCCGGCCGTAAGATCAAGGATGGTCTAAAAATTCCGGATTGCGGTGGCAAGAGGGCTACATGAGTGCGTCTTGTGTCTGCTCAGCTTCGGCCCGCCTTCTCTTCTTCTCTGTAACGATCATGAAAAGCACATCCCGTGCATGCATATACGTCCCGCTCTGCTTCTACTGACGACTTTTGTTTACCCCTCTATCCTTATACTCTGAGTCGTTTCCCTCTCACCCTTCTCCGTCACATAATTACGCTCTCTCATCTAGTCCTCGTCAAATCTCTGCCATCGATCTGATTTGATTTGTTTTATGTTTCATCACGCATGGCATTGTTTATGATGCTTCTTTTTTCTCTTGTTCTACCTTCATGGCGTTTTCGTCTCTTTTTTTCTTCTTCCATTTCTTCCTTGTCCTAATTGTGTTGGACCTTCGGATGGAAATTTCTGGGGCTGTCAGAATATTTAAATGTTTGGTCCTGCCGATGTTGTGAGAAGGCCATTTTTGCCTTGCTCTTTGTTTGTTTGGTTCTCAGGTTGTTCTGTAGATAGCGAAATTTTAAAGAGCCTACCGCTGAGCCACCAGAGATATACTTACTAGTAGTGCTAGTAGATATATTCCAACTTGAAGGTTTCATCGACCTATTGTGTAATACTAATACCATCTGCGATAGTACCTGCCCAGGTGTAATGTGTTAGCAGACTGCTCAGGTGTGGATTATGCTAAAGTCGAATTGAGGGTCCCTGGGTGCCCAGGTGCCCGAGAATTATGCGCAAGGTTTTTCGAGAGCTAGCTTCTTCAAGAAAATGGAATATAACAACATGTGAGACCCATCCCAAGACTCAAAGGTATACATACTAGCCAGCCTCTGGTGCCCAACACGGTTGGTCTCTCATCTGCAACTCCAGGACGAGTCACTGCCACCACATTAATGCAGAAGTGAGGGAAACGGGGCGTAGTACACACCACTCTCCCTAGATTGAAGTAACATCCGAATTATCTGCACGTCAAAACCGTTGAAGAAACAAACTTTGGAAAAGATTTTCCATAAGCGGGGAACTGGCAGCCAAGCCCGAGCTACTTTAATCCAAGAAAAGCCAATCCTTTGCTCGGGATAACATCAAGTGCCTGATCTTGGTCCCCGCAGCCACTTTCACTTATTTGCACAACGGATGGCCAGAATAGGCGATCGGACTGCTGGTGGGATTGGTGATGTTCTTCTTGGCTCAGGGTCTGTGGCGTATTCTAGATTTCTCGTAGAGGGAATTTAGGTCGAAAACAGTGCATTAGGTTGGAGTTGAGTGAGATAAGCTTAGTTTCAATGTAGATTTCCAAGTTTCAGGCAGGCTTGTTGAACCTTATGACACGGCAGTTGCATGACTCGAGAACGCCAAAGAGGAACACTTGCATTGCATTTCTGCAAAAGAAGACTTTTCTCCGAAGTCCTAGGCCAGTAGCAGGCCAGCTGCAGCTGCAAGGCCGGGCTGAGATCAGCGCTTTAGTGCATTTCTCATATTAAACCGTCACCCCGGCCGTACAATACGAGAAGGATCAATGGCCAAGCTCCAGGGCTGAAGGGAAAGGTCTTGGCATTTATTCAATTCAATAAGGACTGAGTGCTTGCTGGAGTACTGTAGAATATTGAGCATGTCCAAGGCATTTTCCAAGATTATATAGCTAGGGCATATCCCATTCTTCTGGGAGGATGATAAAGAGCTTTCTCTTTGCCAGAAGAAAGAAAGCTACATCTTTTTAAAGCATGATTTTCTTTAACTTTCTATCCATGTTGCTAGGAGTAGTGGTGTTGGCAAATCTTGTTGTCTCCCGCGAGCCACTTGTCAATAACCAGGGAAGGTACTCATTACTTTCGTTCGTTACAACTATATGGTCCCTCTCTTGTTAAAATTTAAGCCAGATTTAAATTCGTCGATAACATCCAAACGATTACCTCGAATCAAACCATCTTACCTGATAAGTGAGTGATGAGATCCACTTCCGACATTCCCTGGCACAGGAATAAACTAATGACATGTTATTAAAAGTCATCAAATAGTTCGACGGGACTCCGTTGAATTTCCATATTGCCGTGGAAAATGTAGTGGGGCTAACTTACGTGCTGGAGAGGCGCTACGAAAGCGATCGTTGGGAAACGACTCGGAGGGATACCTTCGATCGGCATGGCGTTTCATCAGGACAACCCTGCAAAAAAAGAAGATTTACTCCATCTTCATTTTTAGAATTGAACCAACAACAGATGTTTCGATGGATGCTTGATCAATTTCGAATGAGTGGTTTTCTCTACGTCTTCGAACCCAACAGGGTCCCATTTAATGGGATTCATCGAGATGAAAATACTGCATTATACCGTCAACTCGGTACTGTGCCTTTCAACATGGGAGTTGAAGGTCTCTGCGGCTGCACAATATTGGTCATCATTTCTCGAGATGCAATCTACTTTGCTCATTTCTTGTAAGTGTTTTGGAATACTTTCTATTCTCCCGAACAGGACAGTCGCTGACTTTTCCACAGTGAAAGTCTTTCTTGGAGCCCTGACCCAGATATACTAAGGGACAGGGGGTTTCCAGCCCTCGACAGGAACTTCCAGGAGTCGGTGATTGATTTCTTGAGTACCGGAAGAGACTGGCCTGATGAGGAAGTTGATCAAAACGTGAAATTAATTGATCACGCGGCTAGCTTTCTACCAGAACTCGGAACACGGGCATTTATTTTGACTCCTCAGAATCAGGAAAATGCAGCAGAGGCAAATGGGGCTGACGTGGACGGTAATGTCAACTACATCGACGGGCTACTCTATGAGGACATGATCGATCAGCTCATTGTGGGTGTCAGGAACTTGATCGGGGTCAATGCCAGTGCTTTTCTCCTACCAAGCATTGGATGGGACAGACCGTCGTCATGATACAACGGCAAGGGGAAGAGCTCTCTTTCAATATGATCACCGGGCAAGTCGGGGAGCCCCGCCAAATCGAGGCTCCAGGTTAATTTTCCAGGGAATTGACATTGATATTACGTTGGAGGGACGCCGAATGGTTTTCCCCAAAGGGGGTAGTCCACGAGGATTACTGGCCCCCGCCAGAAGATAGAAGCAATGCGGGCGAAGATCGATTGCTCTCTGACAATCCCACCCGGCAGGATTCATCTTCCACTTGCGGTGATCAGATATACAAATCTAGCAACTACACCTGCTACGGTGATCAGCTGTGTCCGATACTGAATGGAGTGCCTACCTTGCTCTGTGGCATACAGTGCTATCTAGAGTCACTTTATACGTGTTGGGACTCGTTCCTTTGTCCTATAATAGATGATGTTCCCACGCTGCGTTGCGGTGAGGACTGCTATCTTCCTTCGCAGTATAGGTATGTTGATCTTTCAAAATCGTGCCCAAAGGGGTATTGATAAGAATTGAGTGAACAGGGCTGATTTGTTGTGCAGTTGTGAATCTTCGCATCTCGTGCAAATATTGCCTCCAGTTAAAAATCCCGAGAATCCTCATCAGTCCGGCAGTCCTCATCAGTCCGGCAGTCCTCAGCAGTCTGCAAGCACTCAGCAGTCTGCAAGCACTCAGCAGTCCGAGAGCCAAGTCACCACATCGAGCACAGTAACCACCTGGTCAGGATCCCAGGGAATAGAAGTGGTCTTTGATGGGACTATATACACAATTGCAACTCAACCCACTACATTCACCAATAACGGCATACCCGTCATTATTGGGCCAGGAGGTCTGACGATTGGGTCAGATATAATACCACTGCCGGTTCTCACGGGAGAGCCTACCGCATTTACCACTGATGGAGTCATCTTTACTGTGTGGCCTCCAGGCCATCGCGTTACACCCACCATTGTGCCTTCAACCACGGCAGCTCCAGGTCCACTCCCAACAAGCGTGACTCCCAGCCCGACGACAGCACAAACGTCCTCCCAAGCACCGACGAGTACTGTTATCACGATCACAGCCATCGACAGTTCCAGTACCTCCGAGGTCACCTTTTCTGCTTCTACGCTTGCCCCATTTACGAAATTGACGGGCACTTCAACGATCACTACGACTATCGATGGTGTGTTGACAACAATTGTAGTTGGCCCAGGGGGCATGGCTTGGATTCCTACACACCCCAGCACAATGACTTCTGGGTTTCCTCCTGTGCCATTTCCCTCTCAGCCACCGTCGCCGGGTTCAACAGGCACAAACATTCTTCCCACCGACACATCGAATTCGGCGAGTGTTTCCCCAACTAGTACACGGACATCCAATCCATTCCCTTCTTCTCAATTCACAGTTCCAGTGGTCATCACAACCACGATTACAACGGATGGACCCGAGGGCCCTACAACCAGTACTATGACTGGAACCACCGATTCGACAGGGTTTGTGAATCCTGTCACCACAATGTCGACCTCGGCGGCCATAGCATCTGCAATTTCACTATCATCTCGCATTATGAGCGCTTCAAATGTCATCGACGCTTTTTCTGCAAATCCAGCAAATGCTGCAAGCGCAAGTTCAGCCGTCGCAGCAATCGAGACTTCGAAGACTGGCAAGTTAATCCATTCCTGTTTTACATTTTAAACCACTAACACCCCCATCTTTCAGACGGAAACAGCTTTGGAGTTGGTCTGGGCATATCCTTGCCAGGACTATGTTTAATATTCTGCGGGTCTGCAGGGGGAATTGCTTCAACGCTGCAAAACCTCGCGGGGGTCATTCCTAGTGTATTCGGGGGATCATCTCAACCGTCCGCAATCGATGGGCCACTTACCGAGCTGGCTAGTCTTGCCGACGCCCTAGGAAATGAAGCCGAGAAAGCCAGCCACAGCTCAGATATGACGGCATCTCCCTCGTGTACGGGCACAATTCTCACGAACTGCGATGTCTTCTGCCTTGAGGGAACGACCTCGACCGCAGGAAGCACGATTACAACAAAGTCCTGCTATTCCACGACGTGTAGTGTTGACACACAGTGCGGAGGATCTGCTGTCACTTCGACTTCGTACGATTATCTCTATTGTCCAACCACCGTGGGCGAGGAAACTATGTCACTCTACTCTTACCCAGGATTCAAGTTTGATCCGATAATCACAGATTTTGGTAACGATTCTTCGTCAAATGGGACAGCTACGAGCAGTGACATTACGACCAGCGAGTCCACTACAGCCAGCGAGTCCACTACAGCCAGCGAGTCCACTACAGCCAGCGAGTCCACTACAGCCAGCGAGTCCACTACAGCCAGCGAGTCCACTACAGCCAGCGAGTCCACTACAACCAGCGAGTCCACTATAACCAGCACGACGACGACCACCACCACCTTAAGTACGACCACTACAACTAGCTCACCCAGCGCGAGCCCTACTTCGATCCCGAAGGATTACATATCCGATTGCAATTCCTTTTCACATTCAGGTCCTAATGATGGCGAGACCTGTGCGTCATTTGCTGAAACGTTCGACATAACTGTTCAGCAACTTTTCGATTGGAACTACTCACTTCAGCCGGCTGACGGCAGTAAAACGTGCGATCTGAGTACAGCCTGGGCACGAGGAACTCAATTCTTTTGCATTGGCCTTAAAGATAGTTCTCCTACATCTACCACGACTACATCCCCTCGGCCAGCACCCACGGCGACAAGTTGCGACACCTATAGGGACTGCCCTCGATGTGAAGAGGGGTCGTATCGTTGCTGCTTTTCTGGATGCAGTGGAATGGTAGTACCAGGGTCAAATTACTGTACATGCTATAAGGATGGAACCACGCCCGGATCAACCTGTGGTTGCAAGTAGGTGTGAAATCGTGAATGTCATTGGAAGGGACTTTCATTGTGTTAGTCACTAATAATCTCCCCCATTTTCTCCTACTATCTGCAGCAGATTGAATTGAGGGTCAGGATATAGAGCCAAATTCTCAAAATAGTGACTCCTTGCAAAATTCATTCCATGCTTCTAGCATTAATATCCAAACATCAACTAGTTCAACTAGTTTACATGTACAGGTTGTGCTCTAGGCCGCCATGCGTTCAACACGAAGCTCCAGCTCCTTAACCAACTCTATTCCAACCTTAGTAGACTCATCCAGGCTCTCCTCCGGCAATCCAAGCAGCTCATTCTGCACCCTGTCCGAGAGATCACTGGAAGCATCTGGGTAAAAAGTCCTCGCGTACAACAGCTTGCCAAAACCAGCCATATTACCCATTTTGACTTGCGCCAGACCATCCTCGTATCGCTTCTTGGTATCCTCGTGAATAATCGTCCAGTCAGCGTCGGTAGTGCCGGTGACACGCTTGACGCTCTCAAAAATATCCCTTTGGCTGACTGCAAAGCTCTTAATATAAACGCCCTTGTTTAGGAATGTTGACAGGGTAAGGCTCTTGTCGTCTTTGTCCTCCGGAAGCCCATTGAGGCTCAGAACTTTGGCCACGGCACGTCCGACCTGCGATAACATCGAAGTCGAAATCTTGGTGTTGCCATCATCGTAGAGTGTCAGGGAACGCTTATCAAAGTCGAATCCAAAGCGCGCATCCCCACCTGCCAGGCTGTAGTCGTACCAGAACCCACAGCACACTGTAATCCACTGCATGCCGAGGCTCTCGATCTCGTCCCTGTTAGCCTTGGCCACGGGCCCCAGCATTGTGTCTTCGCCGAGTTTGATGTTGTCAATATCCGGACCATACCCGTTAGGCATGACGTAACGGACACCAGCCTTAGCGGCTGCCTGGACGAGTTTGCTATGGGTGTCACGAGGTGCAGTGGGGGACATGGTAATGATCAAAATCTGCTGACCCTTGAGGGCGGTAATAATGGTGGCCTCGTCATCGTAGTCAACTGTAGCGACTAGGATGCCCTCGGGAAGTCTGTTGCCGCTGTCTTTGCGGGAAAGAGCCGTGACAGTGTGTCTGCCGGTTTCCAGCAGGGCTTTGGTAATATGCGACCCTATGGTACCTCCAGCCTAATAGTGTTGGTTAGTTTTGCTGAATACGTGGAGCTCAAATTGTTGAGCGTGTTTACTTACACCCACTATGGCCACTCTTTCTATGGCGTTTTTGAAGCCGACGGATGAACTTTTGGTATGATCGGTCATGGTTATTGGGTTGATTGTTGGGAATGTATCGATTCCTGCTATTATGGTCGTTCGATGTGTTCGAGGTATTTAAGATTGAGAGAAATTGTGGTAATTGTCTATATGTCTGTGTCTAGAGGCGGGAATGCCAGCCTATTTATACATGTCACAGCCAGCCTCGAATACTGTAGCTACCTGAGATTTAATCCATCCCAGCCTTGTCATATCTGATCGTACTCGTAAGTTCCAGTCACAAAATCCCCACATTATGGAGCACATTGGCCATAGTTTGGCAAGAATCCCAAATTTGATTCGCCCGGAGATAGTGGCTTTGGGGCGAAGAGCTACAGCGGACGATCCAGCTAAGTTAAAGACGAAGATGGTGGGAGGCTGTACCTAAGTCCGCGCTTCCGCCGCCGCGGCCCCCATGTTGGGATCCACAAGTTATACCTGATTGGCTGGTACGGTGGTATGCAATTAGATCCGCAACAGCCGCACATAAAGCCGCACAAGGCTACATGCCATTGATAATTCACCCACGGGCCCCGAATCTCGGAAAATAGAAAAAAAAATTCACATAATCACCATCGCATCTTGTGGCAGAAGCACTATCGATCTATACGCTCTCTATTCAAGACCCCTGGTGCAAAATGCCCGGGGCGACCAAGAACTCCGCACCTGGAATCGTTACTACTTACTAGAAGGTCAATTGCATTAATATTGTTTTTCACGATGAAATACTAGTATATGCTAGTATTTTAACTGACATCGTCAGATGTACAAAGTGAGTCTTCGTTGAAACCTCACAAAACGCCACCCAGGTATGATCCGATAATTCACACATTTAATTACAGCTGTACGTCATAACCGAGCATGGGGAGGTATGGCTCAATGAAGAATTGATCCCAATCTACCTCCCAGTCCATATCCGGTATTGTTATGTTAGCCTCGGATTCCGGCGGCGTCTGGAAGAATTCAAAGCTCGTCTCGACGGCTTCCAGTTGAGCAAGCTCCTTTCGCTTCTTTGCCGTATGAAGGCCAAGTAGGTGTCGCGCCATTGATAGAGCCTCACGTGTCAGTCCTGTATCGACAGCCTTGACAAGCTTCTCCAGGCTCTTAAATGCAGCGCCAATGTGGGCGAAGGCTAGCGGCGTGTCAATAGCTAATAGAATGCAGGTATACTGGAAGACGCTGCCAATGACGTTCCAGAACAGACGACCCTGACTAGCTTGCTGTTCTGCTGCCTCCAGTGCGGAGTTGCCACCGTCAATGACGAGTTTGATTATATCGTCCGGTATGCGGGTATTGAGCTGGAAAAGGCGTCGATAGAAGCAAAACGCAATCTCCGCCTTAGTGACAACTAAAAATGGATGGGTAAATTTGAACTCATCGAGCGCTTGGAGACGCTTAAACAGATCCCCACTCGGAGTTGAAGGCCGCGATTCGAACTGGAATGGGGTATTAGGCGATGGAATGATTTGGATCAGTTGTACAAATTGATCGGCAATTGAGCCTGGTTTCGAGACAATAGGCTGGCAAGTCACGGCCCGAAACACGACGGGCGACCGATCATACTCATAAGATAGCATGTTATGCCCCGCCCATGAGATCCAGAAAATCCTCCTCAGTCGATCTGCATCATGTCCATAGACAGCAGCACCAGCGACGGACGCTAATTTAGTTATGCTCTCTTCATCGTGTAGTCCTAGCGCTTCACAGAGATGCATTTGAGTGCATGAAGCGATCCAAGCATTGCAGGGCCTCGTAGTTGCCCGCAAATAAAGCACTCGCATTCCCCACGCAACGATGTGGTCGGTGCCATGCAAACGCATAGAGGCCGGATCATCGAGGATGGTCTTGGCGTACCGCACGAGGTCAGATTCTCGCGGGCATCGGTTAGGAGATAAGAATGACCCAAGAGCAGCTACGCCGGCGGCCACGGCGGCAAAAGCGACCGTGTTACTACCCGAACGATGATAATAATCCCGGCACCTCTGGGCATAAATTCTTTGGTCGATCACATCGCCGACGGGTCCCAGTATCGAGAAGTACTGAGCCGAGAACAAGCCAAGGTCCTCCCCCGAGATAAGATTTCCCAGAAAGCTGTGAGCATTGGATGCCTCCTCGGGACGAATGCCAAAGTTATAAGCATAAGACCGCATCTTTGGAGGGCTATCCGATCCGAGAGCCACACCTAGAATGTACGGAAATGCCATGGCCGCTGATGCCCCGGAGTATCTAGACTTCTGCTGGTCGAATATGCCTGGGAACTCGCCCGCCACGGTGGTTGGGCTCCTCGTCGACGAGCCATCGCCTTCGCGGCGGTCTTTGTCCGTATGGTCCGTATGAGACCTGCTTCTCGGGATACGGTCTGCAGAGGCCCGAGTATTCAGACAAATTTCATTTTCGATATGAACGCGCTTAGCTGGGGGAATGGGTACGCTGACTCCTGCACCAGGGGCCGTAGCAGTGGCGGTATTGCCATTGGTGTATCTGCAGTTGTATCCGTATGTGGTGCACATGCTACAAGGATACACGGTGTCGCATTTTCGCTTGCGCTGATGGCAAGGGATGCATGCTTTCATCGCACGCTTGCGCTTGGTGGTCGACATGACCAGGGTGACTCAAAGCTCACTACCGCGGGAAGAGAACCGTGATAGACTCGATATTTTGATCGGTATTTCTGTTTAATTGAGATATCAAGCTCAACGGATCCACCGCTACCCGTCCATTTCTTTCGTGTAGCCCGAGGCCTCTTAATATGAAGACGCGTCAGGGTTCGTTAGAATGCATGCGGCCCCCACTCGTTCTGCTTAGTCAAATAAACAGATGCTGGCAAAGTAATGGCGACACAGAAGCGTTGGTGAAGTAAACAATCATAACGTCCACGGTTGACAGAACCTCGGAACATGAAAGCGGTGATGATATGCGAGATGTCTAGAGACATCTACGAGGAGGCATCGAGGCCTCAACAACTAGTTAACTAGCAATTCTGAATGAATCTTCAGTGTATTTTTCAAGAAAGACAAATCAACCATGTAAGACAATCTTCACTACTATCCTAGAGCAGGAAAAACTGAAACTTGTAGTATTTGAGAGAAAGAGACATTTGTATGGCTCAGAATGCTGTAACTTGTAAACGGATATCCATGACTAAGCGATATCGATATCCAGTCGTATTTTGACTTTCACTTTCACATCACTGCAACTCATTTCGCCATGCCCCCGAGAAAACGAGGCAGGCCAAATCCGGTCGAGGAGACCGGGAAGAAGTTGGTTGGTGAAGATCAAAGCGCATATAATCATTCGCCCCGTCATGTGGAGGACCAAAGAGCCTACCGCTGTCCCTTCTGTGCCAAGGAATTTCGACGAAAGGAGCATTTGCAGCGACATGAGAGACTTCGTAAGACCGTCTATCTGCTTCTATTTTGAACAGGACTGATTTTCTCTAGATACCAAGGAAAAGCCCTTCCAATGCACGGTATGCTCAGCTGGATTTGCACGAAGGTATGGACTTCTTTTTCTTTCTCGTCCTCGGATGGCAATCACAAGAATTGACGACTGACGCTACTATAAAGAGACCTACTCGCTCGCCATTTCCGCCTGGTTCATGAAGAAGGTTATCCGTCCCAAGATGAGCCTGAAGCTGGTTATACAGATATGGCCACTGGGCAGAATCCATCCCTTTCTGGAGCTACCCTTGAGGATCTGAATAGTGTTTCCCCATCTAGATTCAGAACACCACACCAGGAAACACCAAATTATGTGACAGCTGATCCATCTTCTGAATACACGCCAATTGGAAATGATTTCCTATCGTTCTCGCCCTCTTCTTCTATTCAATTTAGTGCACCACGGAGGACGTCTGCCATGCTACCTTTTGTAGCTCCGGCCACCGCAATGGACATGTCATCAGCTCAGCAGTGTAATGGCTTTGGCGATTTTGATTTATTCATTGACAGCATAAATGGGTCATATGGTAATGGCCTATCGTCTTTTTATGTCGATCAGCCTCTTTTACCATCACCCCCAGCTCCACTCTTCCCTAGCGCTGGATTGCGACATGAACCGCCGCATGATCTCGGTTCCAGTCATTCTGGATCTGATACAATATTGCCACCCGAACCTCGGCTCTTTGATGAATTTACATCCACACTACCCACATTCGAATCTTCTCATACTACAAAGGGTAAGAAGGAAACTTGGAATATCACCCAGCAAGACTGGGTCGCTATTTCGACTGAAGCTCAGGAATTTGCTTCAGTTATTCCTCACGACTTCCTTCTTCCTTCACGACACACCATGACTCGATACATTAATACCTACTTTGCTGGCTTTCACCGTCATCTTCCATTCATACATTTCCCAACATTTTCGGCGGTGCGATGCCCTGTTGAATTGATTCTGGCCATGGCTACCATTGGTGCGATATCAGCATTTGATAAAAGCAATGCTACAATGCTATTCCGAGTGTCCCTTGCCATATCGCAAGAGCGGCTTTATCGTCGCAAAAGGCAACGCCACGGTGTGATATTTCATGCTAATACAACCCTTCCTAATGTACAACAAACAAACACAACTCAAAATACCCCCGTCACTAACGCAAATAACCAACTCGAAGCAACTTCAAAGGGGAGAACTTCTCGGTTTGATGTGCTTCCACTTGCGCAGGCATTGCTTATATTGATGGCAATGGCAACCTGGGAGAATTCAGAGGATATTTTCGACGAGGCAATGGGGATACAGAGCATTCTGGCCAACTATGTGAGAGCCGAGAAACTCCTGGACCCGCAAACCCTTTCTGGAGACTCAGGATGGGCCATCTGGATCCAAGAAGAGGGCTTCAGAAGAACTATCGCAACTATTTTCTGCTTCTTCATATTTCATACAATTGTTTACGACGTCCCGCCTCCTATTCTCAACTCAGAGCTCAATATAAACCTGGCTTCGCGCGAGAAGGACTGGGAAGCAAAAACCGAAAACGAGTGGGAACAAGCCCGAAGCAAACATGAGGCTGAACCACATTTTCAGTCGGCTTTCACATCGCTGTTTTCTTCGCAAAGAGAAATCGTTCGAGATCACAGTTCTTCATTAGGTGGTTACACTTTGATTCTGGCGCTGATTCAGCACATCTACTTCTTGCGAACGGTAGCAAAGTGCAGGCCAGAGGGTGAACAAGGGTTTTCTCCGGCAGATATGACTGAGGTAGAAACAGCCTTGAAGAATTGGCAAAGTGGATGGAATCAAGATCCAGAATCCTTTCTCGGGCCAGGGAGCCCACTTGGCCCTATCTCTTTCAACGCAACTGCCTTGCTACGCATGGCCTATATTCGACTCAATGTAGACCTTGGTCCGTGGCGCGCTCTGAACACCCATATTCCTCATGAAATCGCAAATTCCATATATCGAAGTCCACCCCTTGTCACAAATCGCAGACTCACCCGTGCAGTGCTTTACTCGGCTCATGCACTCAGCATTCCAGTCAAAATTGGGGTGAATATTGTGGCTCACAATCAAGCCTTCTCGTGGTCGCTTCAACACTCACTATGTGCTCTTGAGTGTGCTTTCATCATTAGCAAGTGGTTGATTGCCATAAAACCCCATGTCTCTGACGGGACCATTGACGAAGAGGAAGCCAGACTGTATGCCTACATCGTGGATATGGTCACGGAAGCAGAGGCCGGAGGTGAGATCGTATCATCTTCCACTACTGATCTTTGCACGCGGGTAGTCAGGACTTGGGCAAGAATTCTGAGTGGAACAGCTCATTGGAACGTGGTACCTATGATCGGGAAGATTTTGGAGGTTTATGCCGACATTTTAGAATCGCTTTCGGCATACAATCAATAACCAGGACCTTTTAAGTTTCCATATGGCTGACATAGAGACTCCTGAATTGCAGCTTCTTGGAGGTTTGTTCTATGATATACAGTACCACTAGTATTGTGAATCATCGAGAACAGTGATCATTTACTATTACCATCCATTTTTATTTCGCTCAAGAATTTATATCTAATCTTTAAGTTGGAAATAGAATGCAGCCTTCTATTTTTTGGTGAATAGATCTCCTTGCAGGTATTTCAAGCCAGAATCGCATGCGACGGTGACTACGATATTACCAGGTCCAAGTTCTTTCGCCAGTTGAATGGCAGCTACTACATTCAACCCGGTGGAAGCTCCGGCCAAAATCCCCTCCTCCTGAGCCAGGCGCCGTGATATGGCGCGTCCCTCGCCCTCGTCCACTGCACGGGCGTCATCGTACAGCCTCTTGTCCAGTAGGGGCGGAATGAATCCGATCCCAATCCCTTCGACCGAATGTGGACCCCCGTAACCCTTCGTTATCATCGGTGCAGAAGCAGGCTCTAGCACAGTCACACGACAGTCGGCATAGTGTGATTTCAGAATCCTGGATACCCCCATAACCATTCCGGCACCTCCTACTGCGCCGCAGAAGGCATCAATGCCTTCAGGAATTTGCTCCAATAGCTCCCGACCCAATCCTTCATAGCCAATAAGGACATCTGGATTACAGAATTGGTCTGCGTAATAGTAGCCATCCATCAGAGATATCTCTTTGGCCTTGGAACGCATAGCAGGTATCAACTCGGGGGTGATCTTTCCACCTGAGCTGGGGACTATATCCACGGTCGCTCCGTATGCCGCCATGGTTTTCAGTTTCTCCACCGCGAACGCATTCGAAGATACTACTGTAAAGTCGTATCCTTTTATTGCACAAACAAAAGCAAGCGAAGATCCAGTACTGCCACCAGTGGCTTCAACAACCGTCATTCCAGGTTTCAGGTCTCCTCGTCGTTCCGCTTCTTCGATGACAGCCCTCGCCATGCGATCTTTGTAAGAGCCAGTGGGATTCAACCCTTCGAGTTTGAGAAAAACACGGGCGCAATCCCCTGGGACGACATTTTGCAGCTCGATGCAAGGCGTGTTCCCGATTGTTTCCAGAACAACACGAGCCGGTCGGTTGGTCGACATGATATTAGTCGGTTTCTGTTGGTCTAGCTGACAACTCGACCAAGTCCCCGATTTTTTCGTTCAACTCTTCGTTTAAGGGATGTTGATAAAGCAATTAATTCACCAAATGGGTCTTCATGGAGTTTTTTCATGGTTTTACTTGTGGATTCTAAGATCCTGTCTTCTCCAAGAGGGTGATGTTAGTCATTTCTCCAAAATGCCAAGAAATCTGACGTCCCGTTTCCCTTTTGCGTTTCTCCACGGAGATCTCTTGAGCGACCTTGAAGGCCCCATCAACTCTCAGACCTTTTGGATTTGTCTTTTCTTTTCTTCTCATCTATATAACGAAAACTTCACTTCGCAACTCCGAACTGTCTCGGAATTTTGACGATGTCCTCGCCATCTCCTATCAGCGCTGCCCCGCATATCCTGCAACTCCTTTCGGAACTCCACCAAATTTCATTGGATCAAGAAGCTGGCATTTCGAAAAAAGGCAAAGTATTTTCATCCGATGTTTTGGGCGACCTCCAAATTAAAGGGTCGAATAGCAACCCAAAGGATGACTTTGACCGCCTCATGCTTGATAAATTCATCGCTCTGGATGAGGACAAATGCCAGTTCACCTATCAATTGGTCAATGCCATGGGTGCGACGAATATTGTCGAGGCAGGTACTAGTTTCGGCGTGAGCACAATCTATCTAGCTCTCGCTGTCAGCAAAACCAAAGCCGCCACCGGTAAATCTGGAGTTGTGATCGCAACCGAGAAGGAAACAGAAAAGGCGGCAATTGCTCGAAAGTACTGGGCACAATGCGGTCCGGAAGTTGAGAAAGAGATTGATTTGAGAGAGGGCGATTTACTTGAAACTCTCAAATCCGATTTGCCCGAGGTTGATCTTCTTCTTCTCGACAGTAAGTCTGATTCCCAATCCGTTTCTCCTTATTCACCTTGTATTAATATAACTTTTAGTCTGGTCTGCATTGTCTCTTCCTACGCTGAAGACTGTTTTGCCCCGTCTTCGACCAGGGGCAGTCATTCTTACGGATAACACCATATCGGGAGCCAAGGGGTATGCAGACTTGCTTGCGTACTTGCGAGCACCTGGAAGTGGATTCCAAAATATGACTCTCCCATTCACCAATGGCTTTGAAATGAGCGTTTATCGGCCACAGTGATCATACATAGTACAAAAATGGGCTTCTGCAAGGTTTTATTTTGTTAAATGCAATCCAAGTGACCATGACCTTCATGGTTTTCCAAGGTTTATATCCATGCTGCCTTAAAACATATGGTAGTATATTTTCAAGGTCACCCACCTGTCCAGTACTAGTACGGACTTGAATCTATGGAAGTAACATTAGTACGTTGGAATGTTAAATTTTTACCTTCGGCCCAAGTACCCAATTCAGTATAAGCTCCATAAAGATATCTAGATACTAATAAAGGGTGTCATTCCCGCGCACCTTTTTGGACCAGCTGTACAGGCGACAACACAGGTGGGTCTGCGGTGAGAAGTAGGTTGTCTTGGCATTTTGGAGAAAGGATACTACTAGTAGTAGGAGTTGTTCCTTGGTCTTCGCATTAGAAATATGGACAGACTACCTAGGTATATCCGAAACCCCTCCTCTCGCAATTGTGAGCTTGAAGAGGCAATGCATTACCATACTCGCTGGATATTCATCCAAAAGTATGCGTTGGTCTGTGGGCCATTCGAATAGGCGAATTACCAGGACATGAAACCCGTTACTTGGGAGACTTGGATGCATGTTCAGATTTACTAGTAAGGTAGGAAAGACCAATGATTTTTGAAGCTGGTGCTGGTATGAATTGAAAAAAATGCCTAGGGCGAAATATTGTTCAAAAAAGGTTGGCTTCATGAGGGAGTCATGTCGTTTGAAGGACCTTGGCGATCTATTGTTGAATTATGGTTATTTGCATGAATGAAAAATGTATAAATCCACCCTTCATAAATATGACGTACCTATGGGCGTATAACTCAGTTGGTAGAGTGTTCGCTTTGCATGCGAAAAGTCTGGCGTTCGAATCGCCATTCGTCCACTTTTTTGCTTTTTGCACTAGTGAGCTTTGCTGTACGATCTTTCAAAAAAGATGTCCTTTCAGCCGATATTGATTGTTTCTATTCTCTAACCCCAAATCATATATATCTTCTCCTGCGGTACTATTAGTAACACTTTCTTGTCGACGCTAATCATCTGTTTTCTAACCTTAGGAATTGGCGTTTCAGTGAAGATAATGTTCCCCGCGGCCTCTCAATTCCTTCTGGCTCACGATCTCACCATATGCGCCATATCCCTGTCAGTCTGTTACGACCTACGTTTCAGGCTAGTATAGTAATAATAATTAATTCCGGTTCCTTGCCACTTTTAGAGCTCATGTCATAACTACTACCATGGTACCATGCCATGCCCAGGTGCCAACTATATAAATCCAAAAACGGCAGCTGGCTTATCGGGCTGAGTCATCACTTATCGTCCGAAAAAAAGTCCCCGCTTGGGAGCCACGAATTAAGAATTTCACCAATTACTTTTGCTATTGATCAATTTTTGAAATTGAGACGAAGCGCAGCTTAAGGTTTCCAAGCTGCACGTACATAGAGAGCGCTATGCCACACAGTAGCCGCAAAAAGCGCAATCCTGTCTCTGCCCAAAAGCGCCTCGAGGTCACCGATGACGACGGCTGGACTCATGTCACTAGCGGGAGCAATGTGCGGCGTGTAGTGCGCACCACCAAGGCACGGAGCGACCGCGAGGCCAACATGGTTGATGAGACTGAGCTGGTTCTCAGTCCAGCCGAGGCGCCGGCCCGTCTGACCTTTGAGGAATTAGAGGCGCAATATAGAGGCTATAAGGAGCGATGGGTTCAGTCGGAGACATGGCAGAAACTGAGGGTGGAATTGGACCAAAGGATACACGACCAAGAGACGGAAACCTTGTCGCAGGATTTGAATGTTGACGGGATTGTTTGCATCGGACTTGGCAGTCCGAGTGGGTTCCTGCGAGATGGTTGGGTTGACCGCCGGGCTGTTTCTTTGTATCAGCTTGCTGCGTTGGAAACTATCAAGGATGTATTTACTAGTTCGTTCCTCCCCCTTTTGAAGAAGCACACCGATATTCAACTTCGCTTGTCGCCTCCCAGCTTACATCTTTTATGCAAAGGTGCCAACCGCTCTTCATCATTTCCAATCTACGCCCAAGATCCCGTCTTCAACAATCTCGACCGTGAACTTCTTGAATCACTTGGTATGACTGTGGTTAATACCCCTGTTGGTTTTGAGCGTGTCACATCCAAAACATTACTCTTTTGCCCTGGTGCGGAGCGCAAACATTTGGATATGCTGCTTCCATCAAACCCGAAACTCGTCCTTGGGGGTCCATTAGAGAATACCGAGTCGTCGATCATCCAAGCATATGTTGAGAAGACGGACTCCAGCATTCTGGTATCTTTCTCAGCACAAGAGCATGCATTTTGGAAGATGCGCCTCTACCATTTGGCCCAAGTGAAGGCGTAGCATCTACGATGTTGGATAATACTATTTGGTCCAAATATTCTGGGTTCAATCTTCTTCTACTACTATATAATAGGGAACCAAGTGGGTATCTCTTACAAGGTCTCTCGAATGAAAGAAATTTGTATACCTGAGTATCAATTTGAAGTTCTGTTTGGTCAAATAAACTAATATAGGGTGTGTAAGCAGGCCCCGGGTGGCGGACCTGTGAACTGCTGGATTCAACTTGAACTAGTGAGATATTGTCACTTTCGATTTAGCGCCTTAGTAAGACGCTGTTAAGATTTCGCTTCGATTTTTATTTCTCAAGTAGTGACAATAGTAGATTATTGGCGTTCTCAATTGTCATCAAGCATTAACTATGGAACGCGGGAGTTATAACTGAGAAGCATCAAGCCTCCAAAAACACAATGCGCTTAATATTCCAAGATTGAAGTTATTGGACTACATTGAAATTCAACATCCAAGTATTCTCATTCACATGTTCCAACAAACGCATATTTCCTCACGCCTTGTGATCTAGATTGACCTTAGAGGAAGTGAGTTGGTGTTTCTAATCGCGTCTATCACGGTTACTCTGGCCAAAGTTGCTAAATCCCGCAATATCGCCGGCCTTCTCCACAAGCTTTTCAACAGTGCTTCCAGTGTTGGACGAGCCATAGGAGTTATCACCGCTGGAGGAGCCGTAAGAGTTGTCACGATTGGACGAAAAATTATCGCGGCCAGACGAGCCATAAGAGGTATCACGGTCGGACGAGAAGTTGTCGCGGTCGGATGAACCATAAGAGTTGTCACGGTTGTTGCCGCTAGACGAGGAATCATCGCGGCCGGAAGAGCCATAGGAATTATCACCTCCGGACGATCCATAAGAATTGTCATTGCCGGACGAGCCGTAGGATTTGTTGCCGCCGGATGAGGAATTATCGCGGCCAGACGAGCCATAAGAATTGTCATTTCCGGACGAGCCATATGAGTTGTCACGGCCAGACGATCCATAAGAGCTGTCATTGCCGGACGAGCCATAGGAGTTGTTACCGCCGGATGAGGAGTTATCGCGGCCAGAGGAGCCATAAGAGTTGTCATTGCCGGACGAGCCATAGGAGTTATTACCGCCGGATGAGGAGTTATCGCGGCCAGAGGAGCCATAAGAGTTGTCATTGCCGGACGAGCCATAGGAGTTATTACCGCCGGATGAGGAGTTATCGCGGCCAGAGGAGCCATAAGAGTTGTCCCGGTCAGACGAACCATACGAGTTGTCACGGCCAGAAGAGCCATCGCCCTGGTAGCTGTCAAGGCGCTAAAACTTTCCATTAGCGATGGCCTGGTCTGATGGCAACAGGACGATGATAGATCATCCAATCGCCCATACTGTTTTGCAAAAAAAGTAAAACACGGGCGTAATCTGGATCAGAACTTACGTCGTTCCCGTAGTTTGAAGATGACATGTTGCTAATCACTGAACTTCAGTCCGATGAAAAATCTCAAAAGAAGTAAATTTCTTGTCCAGTTCTAATTCTTTCAGTGTCCACGTCTGCGGGCTTTATAGGAGCAGAGTGAGTAAACCTTGGAAGATGGTGTCATTTTAGCCGATGGTGGGGTGTGTTCGAATCTGATCTCGATTTGACATATCCTAGTGAAAAGAGGGGTACTACTAGTAGTATCGGAAGTTAAAGTTGTGACTAGCGATCATCCGTGCTCATCGTGAATTATTGCGAAGCTTTTTTGTTGGGGCTTGGTAGACTATGAGTCAGCCAATACCCAATTAAATTTGCCGAGATCCAAAAAACCAGGGACATACTCCATTCAGTCAATTCCCAGCTAGAGATTAGGCATCCATTTGGAAAGTGAAAAGCGAAAGCCTCGGCATTTTTCAGCTGACCACTTCTTTGAAGCCAATCAGTGACCCACTTCATCCTTTTTCCTTAGTACAGCCACAATATTACGCCACTATGCGGAGAACGGAGTACATACGGAGTACACAACTACGTAGGGGTAAAGACCCAATATTTGGACAGCCACGTGGGTCTTCCGAGTCGACTTCAATGAACCCCTTTTTGCTTGGAAAATAGACCTTAAAGAAGCACTAAAAGATCCTGGATTTCTCCACCCGTCAGCTCGGAATCCAAAAGATTCGCACTATTCGCAAATCACCTTGAACATATATCCTCCACCAAAGTTCCATGGGTCTTAGAATGGTGCGGGAGGTGTGGCCGATATTCTGGCAGTAAGCCAATAGTGACCGACTTTTGCTACCGTATTACTCGCAACAAGTCGGGAACACCCTGGTGATTGATTGAAGAATGCAGATCCGAGTCCAGACCACTCCCTCAATTCCGTCCTTTCCAGGAAATTTCCAATAAAGTCCCTGTAACATCGTGGGATCGGTAAGTGATTGTTGTCTAAGTTCAATTTTTTCGGTATAATGAAGTGCGGTTTCTATGAGTGTGCTGGCCCCAGAGGCGGCGATGGAGCGAAATGCAATGTCATGAAGGGCAACACTGGCCAGTACTGTCCTGTGAATTGCGACAGGTACTACTGCCCTTGAAAACTTACAGGGAAGAGATATTTTTCTTGTTCTAGCTATAATTTCGAATAGTCGCGTGGAGACGAAATGCCAACGAAGTAAATGCCCGGGTGCAATTTTGAATATCTCGATTTGAAAGCTTCCAATTTTTAAATTGTCTATAACCACCAGCCCTAAATTCTATACTAGCCTAATAGAATAGAAATCATGAAACCGGGGAACATAGAGCTTCGGAATGACAAATCTTGAGCTAGACTTGCTGCTACACTGCAAAAAGACAAAGGTGGTCACTGGTTGGTCTCGGCAGGAAGAGGCTTTGGATCTCTTTTCCGATGCAATCCCTGACCCCTTATGACTTACGCCTTAGGACTTACGACTAACGCTGCACATCGGGATGCTGTGTTAAGTATTTTATTGGTGACCGTGGGGTTCCACATACTACGTTTATTATGCGAGAAGAATGGCTGGCCTCTCTCGATTAATCTGGCAATATTCGTTTGGTCGATGACGGGTGGCCGATTTTTCTGGCGAGTATTAGTTATGGTAATGCTGCTACTAATACTACTAGCATTGACGCTACCGATTTTCTTATTTCTTAAAGAAATATTACAGCCACATTATTCAAAATGAAATTTCTCTGCTAGAGGGAATATGAGTTGAGATGTTAGTATGTAGTAGATATCTACTACGGTTCTGCGGGAGGATCCTAGGCCCAGGAATACGCAGGAACAGACAGGAACACCGATAGTGAACACGCAAGAACGTTAAACGCCTTGCGACAGCTACAAGCTCGAACTTGAATCGGGCCAGCCCCAGTGCAACCAAAAGCATCTCGTTTGCAATTCGGTCCAAGAGGACTTCCCGTTCCCCGCTCAAGTTCGCTTTCTCGGGAGATCCCACGGAGAACCGACGATCGGTGGCCAGTGCAGTTCATCACCATTCAACGACTCTATCACCGTCACCTTCACCTTCACCATGCTTAAGACCTGCACTAGCGGTTCCTGTCGGGCAATCACCATCACACTGCACCACTGGCACTAAGCGCCCACGCCCGCCCACGCCCGCCCACCTCCGCCTCTCCTCTCTCACTGTCACCATCCTCAGTATAGTTTAGCGTCCTCCTCGGCGCTTCGAGCTGCTGGCGCCCCACCAATCACCACGCTCATCTCGACTGAGAAGTGATGGCACTTGCAGCAGGGCCGTGATGATCCCACTCCACTCAACAAGGTCTGGGCCATTCACACACAATCACCTCCTGCAGTGTCAGTCACATCCAAGTCCTGCGTCCTGACTCGTCCGCCGCGAACATGCCTGCACCCAACGAGAGGTACCCCTCAAAAAGAGGAATGGTCCTCCAAATTCCTCCAGTGGCTTGATTCTTTCTTGAATGATTTGATGCTTATCCTTTCTCTTCTCCCTCGTACCGTTAACAATCGAATGCGAGATCGACGTTGACCGTCGTCCCGTTCACAGAGGGAGCTTGACTTTCGAATAAAAAGGCCCGACAAGCAGTTCTTCGCCTGCTTTTTGGTGTGTACCTGTCGTCTTTTTGCGCCTGTCGCCCAGACACACCTTTCCCACACACATTTCGCCATGGCTGTGCACTCCATATCACGATGGACCTCCATCCTCCTCCTGCTATGTATCGGCCTCGCCCACGCCCATACCGTCATCACATACCCCGGCTACCGAGGCAACAACCTCCACACTAATGGGACCATCGCCGAGGCGAACGGTCTCAGGCGTTGCATGGGATGAGAAGAACGGCTCATACATTTACCCATACGGCATGATGTGGATGTATCCTTGTAAGGCGCACCGTCAACAATTGCCCGCGACTCAAATCGCTCGCAAGACTTAGCTCGGAATGCTAACCACAATTCATCCATCCAGGTGGCGGCATGCCTACATCTCAGAACCGAACTAAATGGCCCGTCAACGGCGGCGCTCTCGCGATGCAGCCGGGCTGGTTCCCCGGCCACCAGACTGCCCTGATCTACGTCAATTTTGGCTTGGGCGAGGTGCCTGAGAACATGAGTCACCCTGTCGTCTCACCTTTCCAGATCACCGGCCCAACAAATGACCCCTACCCTGGCACGATCTGCCTGCCACAAGTCCCACTGCCGGCCAATATCAGTGCGAAAATCGGTGACAAGGCCACTATCCAAGTGGTAGAGATCGCAAAGCATGGTGCGGCACTGTATAATGTATGTTCTTGCTCTATTTCCTCCCCCGTAACTGGTATTTCTTCCTGGCCTAACATGACTCCTTTCCTAGTGCGTCGATATCGAATTCGCCGACCCGCAAGACCCGGATATCAAGGATTCCGTGACTCGCGACAATTGTTTCAACTCTAGCGATATCAGCTTCCAATATATGTACACGACAAGTGGTATCGGGTCCGGGGCGGCTATAATTACGCCTCCGCAGCAGACCTTGCTTGCATTGGTACCGCTGTTACTAGCGACGCTTTTGGGCGGCCTTATGTAGATACGTTTTACATCACTTTTTCTTTCATCATTTGCATCTTGCGTGCGTTGAATTTGCTTCTTTGTGCACCATACCCATTCTATTTGATTAATATGTTACCAAAATTATTGAATTGGATGAGCTCAGATCTCTTATACAATGCTGGATAGTAGACAGCCTCCAATCTTACCTTCCTATATATTTTATTGAGTTTATTACTGTACGTCACTTCCCCTTGGACAGTCGCCAGCACCACCGCTCCTCCCATCAAGACCAGCTGGGCGTCGCTCTTGCCATGGATAACATCCATCACCACTCCTCCTCTTTCCGTCTCCACCCTTTACTCTTCCTTCCCTTTCGAATCATCCTGACATCCATCTGGCACCGTGACACTTTCTTTAATCCACCTTTTAGCCCTCACCAATCACCCGGGCGCCATTGCGCGTTTACGGCGCTATGAAAAAGGTTCGCTCCTCGCTTTAACTTCAGTATCTGCGACAAAGACTGATCAATATTGCTATTTAGGCCATCTCCAAGTCTCCGGTGGAAAGCCCCCAGGATTCCTCAGAAATCACTGGTTTGACGCCTCTTGTCTCGTCGAAAACGACTCAGGACCACTCCTCAACACCAGAAAAGATCCAGGAACCCTCAAAACAGCTTCCAACTGAGACAACAAAGATCCACAGCGAAAGCGCTAGCCGTACACCTCCAAAGCCTCCTTCGAAAAAAAGAAGGCGACAGAAGAAACCCTCTGCCCAAAGGAATGAGGAAGATCGCTTGGCTTACCTCGAGGGGTTGGAGATGCGAAAAAAGGACTGGTACCCAGACACTAAAGTAAGAAAGAGTTCGGGGGCGCGTATGTGGTATTTTTCTTCTTAGATGGGATAGGGTACAAGTAAGTAGGCTTCCTCTCCCTGCTACCCAGAACTCACACTAACTTCTCACAGCTTCTATGGCTTTGTGCTGGCCTACATTGAAAAGTTAAAGTTATCTGTCCTGAGCAAGCGAGTCTAGTAGTGCGATATTACACTGACTCTGCTGCTTGCGTGGCTTTTTGTGAAAAAGATCCACGAGGGGTATGATCGATACCACAATTCTACAAAAACATTAGTAGCAATCAAGCTACTAGATCAGAAAAGCCATCTCAATAATAGATAGTTAAGCCCTGCTGGGCGGCTCAAGTTGGACAACCTTGAAAGAGCTATACTGTGTCCTCTCCTCTTGGATGTATGCCGGAGCGAGACATAACTCTGCAGTTTGGACGACCCAGGGTCAATTGAGAGACGTATCTCTAGTAGATATGACGAAGTGACAGACTCGCAACACTGCTGCGTATTCAAACTGACCAGAACTGGTAAATCATCGTTGCGGGCATTGTCTCTTTGTGAATATCCACGAATGGTGCTACTTCTGCCAGTATCTTGGGGTATCTATATATACCAACTAGTATTCCTAATTAAATCCTCGCACTAGATCAATGATAGATCGCGCCACCTCATCCGGACTTTCCTGGGGTATCCAATGGCCAACTCCATCCAACAGCCGACACAGCCGGAAGTCCGAACACACCGCACCGCTAGTCATCTTATCCAACGCCCCTGGCTCCTGGTAAATCCCCCAGTCCTTTTTTCCAGAAACAAAAGCACACGGTATCTCAATCTTTTTCCCCGCAAAAAGATCATAATCTCGCGTATAACGGCCACCAGCAGCAGTGCGCACACGGTACCAATTCAGTCCTCCCTGGAAGCCTGTGCGAGCGTACTCGCCCACATAGACCGCAAGCTCATCATCCGGTAGCCAGGAGTGCGAGGATAGGCCCTTGGTGGGTTCGTCTGCCATGTCTCGCTCAATAGCTTCGGGCATCGTGGCATCTGCTGGCATGATGTAATACCCGGGCATTTGGACGACTTGATCGGCAGACCAACCGCTCAGTGGGTGGGGATTGTTGCCAGGCCAGGAGCCGCTTTTGAGATGAAAATAGCCTCGTAGGAAGTGATGGAGATCTTTTGGGGCGAGATTGGACATATCTGGACTTGCTTGTGGTGTGGAGTAGTACCATTTATAATGTTTGCGTCCTTGCTGAGCGAGCGCTTCATGGATACCTGATGCCGCCGCGGAACCCTCAGCACCAGCACCGGCAGCCTGTCCAGCCATTTGACCATCGTTGCTAGAATGGTTAGCAGTGTTAAAGGGTAGTTCAGGAGTCCCGTTGAATGGATGGCTCATGAGCACGACGCTTCGGAAGAAATCCGGCCTGACCACGGCACATGTTGAGGCCGTGACAGCGCCGCAGTCGTGGCCCGCGACGCAATGAACGGATCGATAACCCAACGCATTGACCAACAGGACGATATCGCGCACAAGGGTGGTCAGTGAGAAGGTGGACAGATCGACATCCTCATACTGGCGGGTATCCCAACCTGTAGTCCGACCGAAGCCGCGCTGATCGGGAGCGACGGCGTAGAAACCAGCAGCGGCCAATTTGGGCAGAACTCGGCGCCAGGAGTAGGCGATCTCTGGGAAACCATGTAGGAGGATTACCAAGGGACGATCGCGATCGGGAGTGGCGCCGGCTTCGAGAATGTGGAAGGTCAGATCAGTGGTCGCGACTAGACGACTGGAGACACCCTCGGGGAGGGGCAGTGAGGAGGTATTAGACATTCTGGTGATCTGCGATTATTGAATGGGAATCATTTGAATTGTAGGGAGGGAGTAAGTCAGCTTGTGGTGGGAGAGGAGGAGTTTATAGAGTAGTGAACGGAGAGGATCAGGCTGATGGTTGAGCCAGGAGTAGCAGGAGTAGCTATGGAGTTTAGTAATTACCGAGGTGGTAGTTAACCACTACTAAATAGTTAACCAAGTAAGCTGAGAAGTAAGTAAGAAAGTTGGATAGACTTTCCTCGTGCCTGACCCAGTAGTGGTAACTAGTAGCACTGGCACTGCTAGTGCAGTCCCAGTCCCTGTTCAAGTCATGACGCAAGTTCCCTTCTTCCTTTTTCCCTTCAACCTTCAATCCTTCAAACCTTCGACCTTCCACCACCAACACCCCTTCCTTAGCTAGTCTGACTGGCTTATCTGCATTCGCTTTTTTCCCTCTTTGCTCGTCTTCGGTCGCCCCTCCTCTCGTTCATTCGTTGCCCACACGCGCTCTTTGGCCCCCCTCCTCCCCGAAGCTACATCACGCATATCTCCGAGCAACTTTTTCTGCACGTCTCAACCATCCTCACTTCCGAGTCTTCCGTCCCGATCTTCGGATCCTCCCCGGCGCTGCTTTGTGCAGTGTCCGGTTGGTTGTTTGATCGTTTAGTTGTCGTGACCCTCGCAGACCTATAGCGATTATGTTCGGCCGTCGCAAAAGGAGCTCCTCTCATCATCATCAGGTATGTCGTCAGAACTGAGAGAGAAAAGAGCGAGAGATCCGCTCAATCAAGGCCTCCTCACATTACTCAATGCCCACTTGCATGGTCGGAAATGACTTAATTGATCGCGAACAATGCGCTAACCTACTATACGTGCCTACTATAGCCACTCTCCACACCCGCAGCACATTCAGCGCAGTCCGCAGCGAGCCATGCCTTCCTGAAGTCACAACCGTCGTCCAACAGCCTCTCCTCTGCGGCGGCTGCGGCCGCGCTACGGAATCTCACACCAACCCCGACGAATGTTGAAGATGTGCAGACCAAGCGCATGGTCCAGCGACGGGCCTCGACACAATCGCCGGCCAGCCCGATGCATGGCCGTCGCTCGGCGAGTGTTGGTGGTGGAACCCTCCGCAGGTCTAACAGTTCCAGCTCAATGACCGCCAGAACATTCCGGGATTCATCGCCGAGTCGCCCGTCCACAAGCTCCGGCGCCTCTGTACCCCAGACTCTGCCCGTCGATGTCCCTCCGTTGCCGTCGCTGCCTAGCCAGTATGCTCCGAGAAAGCTTGCTCCGCGCCGTGCCGCTAGCCTCGAGCCATCCATGCGATCTCCACCGGCATCCCCACCACGAGCAAACACACGAGGATTGAGTGTAGATCGGGAGAGTGCCTCGGGGTCGCCCACACATACCCGCCTTCAAAGCTTGACAACAGTGCCAGAGTTGGATCGCCCGAGTAGCCGAAACTCGGTCAATTTCTCTTATCCAAGGGGCTCGCGACCGAATTCACCCACTCTTCCGGAGAATCAACCTATAAGTCTTGGAGGGACTGCTGTCCGCGATGTATCATCGGTGGAAGTGGCCAGCGCTCAGCAGGCCCTTTCTCGGATGTCGGAGAAACCGGTCAACGCGAGGTCAAAAGCATCGGCAGTGGGGCGCTCCGAGGCAAGTCCTGCAAACAAGTCAGCTGGACTTGCAGCTGGTACTGCTATCGCTGCCGCTCAAGCAGTTAGCGCGCAGAAGAGCAGCCCTCGGCCAGAGCCGGATCATGCAAGGGCTACGCGAACAGACCCTGGACCTTCGGCAACTAGCCCGCAGAGGCCGAAGGTCGAGCACTCGCGACCAAATACGACATATAGCTCTGACACCGAGCATTCTTCCTCCCGAACAGTCCCGAATCAATGGCCCTCCGGTGTGCCCGACCACGAGTCCCAAATCCAGGATGATATTGACATCTCCCGCACTCGGGACGCCAGCAAGAAATTGGCTAATGCCTCTGTACCAACCGATCATCATGAACCCATTGCCACCCCACAAAGGACGCCTCAAGTAACACCACATGCATCACCGAACGCAGAAAAACAACCGACACCTCAGCAAGAAGCCCACCTCGAACAATCCAGCAGCCCTGGCCGATCGGCGCGATTTGCTAAGTGGCTTTCTGTGACGGCAACGGGCGAACAAGTTCACGAGCCTCCACCAAGATCACTTTCTCCCGTCAAATCGGCCCTCAAAACTACACGTGGGAATTCATTGTCTCCAGAGAGGGCCGCCGCTGGCCGAGTTGGTCTGACCAACAGTGAACTGTCCGATGGTGGCACCTCGATTGCATCTGATGAGGGACCCCGGGTGGGTGTCAAGAAGCGAGCTGTTAAGGTGAGCTTCGATGATGAAGCTGAAGTTGTTGGCGTAGCAGCCAGCCCCCCCAACATCGCCAGAGGAGTATGTTCCCGAGTCTCCACCATCCAAATCCAAGACTCGCAAGAATTGGTTCAACGTGGTGAAGAAGAAGTCCCCGGCAGCCGAGTTCATCACCAACGACGACGACTTTGATGATGTCATGAAACCTCGACCCGCGCTTCCATCGTTTGGCAGTGTTCGCGGGAATCGAAATGGAGGACCTGCCCGACCACCGATCCCGAATTTCAGTGACAATGAATCCACTAGCTCATCTGAGGATGAAGCCACCGCACCTTTCACATCCTTCTCAAATGACCATGCCCTTGCAGGGATTCTTCACCACGAACAGCAGGAGCCCTCGCAACCTCACGATAGCAAATCTGTGGAACGAATGTCAATAATTGGATCCGCCCCATCTCAACAAGATGCAGCTCCAGCCGATAGGTTAGATGGCGTGGCGAATGGTGGTATTGCTGAACAGCAACCGCACCCCAGTACTGATTCTCAGCTACCTCCGCCTTCGATTGCCGTGGAGCCTGCAACGCCTCCTGTTGACGAGCGCAAGAGTTTCGATGTCCAGCGATCATCTCGATCATCTCTTGAGAAGTATCAAATCCCTGGTGGCTTCCCGCCATCCAACTCGGATCGGAGCCTTAAATCTGCGACCGAAGCCCAGACTACCAAGAACCAGCCCGTGGCAAGCGCAATTCCGAATTTGGATGAGGCGAATAAAGACTATAGCGACAGCATCTATACTGAGAGTGACCATGACAGTATCTATAGTGATGCTCCCGAGGACCCTGAGGACGGGGATGGGTTTGGGTCAATCAATGCTATTGTCGACAGTCGATCAATTCCCAGATCAGCACCGCTGGAGCCGATCGCCGAGAGTCGCGATACTACACCAAGGCCTACGGAACGGACTGCAGTCGTCGAAAATGACCCACAAAATGCAATCGATCCATCCGAAATCGATCGCTTCGCAACGCCGTCGGAAGAGCTGGTGAGCCGCCAGTCAGAGAAAGCATCCCCGCCTGAATCTCCAATGAATCTGCAAACACCTTACCCTCCTTTGTCGATCGACACCCAGGCCCGACCATCAAATGGTTCCGTTCAGATGAATAACAAACAAAGGAGGCCTATGTCGGTAGACGCCTATGGTGGTAGTCTCAGACTTGCAAGATCCTCGCTATTCTGGCCATACAAACGGTACTGGAAATGGCAAACCTCGCCCGCTTTCTCTGGGCCCAGCTTTCCAGGCGCGAGGCCCAGGCCTTCGGCGTACAACGTCGAGTGGCAGTGATTCATCTAGTAGCTTCAAGCGTGCCAACTCTTCTACTCGAAGTGACGGCCCCCATGCGATGCGGCGGACTATGAGAGGCAGTGCTGCAAATGGTCAGCCGTCATCTCCTTCGGCCAGGACGGAGTCCCCAATTGATCACCGGCCGCTTTCATCTGGATCCACGTCCGCGACTACTATGAGGAAGACGCTCCGCAGCCCAGGTGCTGGTGGTGAGAAGTATTCATTCTTCTCCACGAACAAAAAGGCACCACGAGCGCGATTTACTAAGCCAATTCCCAAAGGGATTCAAGGAACCCGATTCGCAGATTCGGACGATGAGCGTGGCCAAGATGAGCCTCAAGTCTTTCGCAGTCGTTTTGCAGATTCCAGCGATGAAGGAGAAGAACCCAACAATGCCATGCGACCTGTCCGTGGAATCCCACGCCGCAGAGGTACAAATGATGGCGATTCGACCGAATTGGAGGACAGCTCGGAAGGAGAGCGTCACCAACACCCTCCTCAGGTGGGCGCATCTCTCCTCAGACCCATCCCGCCACGTTCTCGCGATCGAAATGTTGCGTCGCCGAACATGTCTGGTATGGCCGCCGTGGCGCGCCAGCGCGGCATGACGCAACGAGAACTAGAGGAATTCATCATGCAGCCCCCGCAGAGTCGCAAACCATCTATCCTCGCCCGACTCGGCTTGAAAAAAGGCAAGAACACAAACAACCGTATCAGCAAGGTGGATGCCGAAAGCCCGTCCCGAAGGGATACGCCCCTCGAACGGTCGCGGCTGGAACGCGACCAGCTGCGAGAAGAGCCTTATACGAATGGAGTTCAGACGGGTAACCAGACAACCGTGACTGCAACGCACTCGGAGGCCCCGTCTTCGCCTAAGTTGATGAAGAGGCTCACTAAACGGAACACTATTGGAGGTGGTCAGCAATGGCCACTTCGTCCCGAAGCCCAGCCACGAACGTATACTCCCGAACCAGTCGTTGAGCCAAGTCACAGTCTCCCATCATCGCCTTTGCAAACGCAAAAAATAGAGCCGGTGGCCGAACCAGCAGGACGCAACGGAAGCATTACTGTCAATGGCGGCAATGCGCTGGGGACAACCTCCGTTCTTAAAGAGCCCGAAGCACCCTCAGTCGCAGCCGGTCCAGATATCAACGACGCTGCCTCCGATATCACGAGCACGACGAATCCCGAGGATCAGGGTGCTACAGTCCGGGACGTGGTGATTGCCGGACCGGGACGAAAGAAGCGATTCCCGATGCTTCGCAAGGCTTTTGGATTACGAAAATGATGCCTCTGAGATTTGGTGCTACGGAGTGCCTCTTTTCTTTTTCCACTTCACAATGGACAGAAATTGGATTTGTTTCCTCTTTCCTCATTACAATGTTTAATGTCTTTCTTTCTCTTCTTCTATTATTTTCTCTTCACTGTTGATTTTTTTTTCTGTTACTGGGGGAAGGAAAGATACCCGGCGTCGTGTCTTAAAGAGAGACAGACGTGGATTCCATTTCCAAGTGGATCTAATCTTAATGACTGATATACGCGGCCCCGATCGTGGGTTTGTCTCCCCGCCTGTTTCCACTTTCACTTTATCATTTTCATTTTTCATTTTCATTTTCTTCTTGTCCGGGACAGAGCCAATGGCTGCCCCCGTTTTTGCCTTGATACTCTTTACCTGCCCCCTGGCTTTTGAGGGGGCAGGGGAACATCCAGGCCTTTCTTTTTTTATGGTGATTGCGTGCGATATACACTTTGATACCCTCGTTTCTTTCTCACCGTGTATAATGATGTCTCTCGTTGGGTTGGGCTGGGTTGGTTGGGGAGAGGTGGCGTGCGTGGGTTCGCCAGCCTCCCCTGCCCCCTCTACCAGCCTCTTTTTTAGACGCTGTTTCATAGATGTACTTTTTTGCAGGCTGGGAAAAACAAATCGAATCAATTGGATGGGATAAGTCCGAGCATTGTAAATTATTCAAGTTTTGCCACCGACAAAGTACGAAGTAATGGTGTAATTGTAATTGTACATTGTACGATTGTCTGTACATGTTGCGATTCAACATTAGTGTGTATTCTGTATGTATTTACGTAGGGTACGATAGGCACCGCCATTGATCGACAGTGATGAAATGGACAGGACACAGAGAGACCAGCTCCACTTGTCCACAATCACAGTCACCGCACCCACCACCGGATTGCTCGGGTGGAGCAACCCCCAGCTCAGCTCAGCTCAGCTCAGCTCCGTTGCCCAGCCCTCGGGATAAAAAGTCTGGCGGGTCTAGACGCCTGCAGGTTGCCCGATTCACCGGGGGAGGTTGGGCGTGATGCATCCATTACCGCGCGATACGGGTGGATATGAGACAATGCGTTGTCGGGTCCACTGGTGGTTTGATGCAGGAGAGGGAAGAGAGAAGAGGGAAGAAGATCCAGAGGGTGAATTGCGTCAATTGCGTCAATTGGGGGAGACGCGAACCACAGAGAGGATGTCCTAGTTGAGTTAGTCCTCGGGACTCCGTAAACAAAGCACAAGCTGTGCAAGCGAGTGTACCACTGTAAGTGCAAATGCAAAGCCACGGGGAAAGCAGAAACCAGGGAAATCGGCCGATCGGCGGGACCCGGCTATTTTAGGGGTTGCCCCCAGGTGGTTGCCATGGCAGCCACTGCCCACATGTGACGGTGTGTACGGTATAGTACAGTGTGTACTGTACGGTGTATCCGTATTTATGTATGGGAGAATTGTACATACAGTACTCCATACTGAAGAGAGAAGAGGAATCAGTGATGTTCCGAAGACAAAAATGAAGTCCAAATAGACTACATTCCAGAGGGGAACATGACACATTCCAGAGAGTATAACTCCATCTATATAGATATGCCAGGTGATTACTGGAGTGAAGTAGGAACCTCGGAAGCCGATCCCACCGATCGGGCCAAAGGGGGTAAACAAACCAAACCCGCGCAACCGCAACCGCAACCGCGAAACAATAAATAACCTTCTCTCGCACCTCCCCCTCCTGCTTCCTCCATCCTCCTCCACACTCTACCCTACTCTTATCCCTCTTCAATTCAGTTTGTACTCTGTACTTACCCTCCCCCCCCCTTCATCCTTATCTTGAAAGATCTGATCTCCCCGATCACCTCCTTTCTCCCCACTTCTTTCCCCTCCGAGAAAGACTTCTCCCGTCAAGTCTTTTCTTGTTTACCCTTTCGAGTTGTTTCACGACAGTTCGAGAGGAATTCAAGAGAAGACGCTCCAAAGTCAGGCAATCTGGACTTTGACGCCCGTGTCCCCATCCCCTTCAGTGTCTTCCCGTCGTCGTACCGGAGTGACGCTGTCTCTGAAACTACTCAGACGAGAGTAGAGGGAGAAGTTCAACTTGATCGCACTTCAGGCGTCGAACGGGAAGATACTCGAATCTCCGCCACTCTCCAAGGACCCCGTGTCAAAGGAAGAGAAGAAGTCGAGTTTCGTGTGAAGGAAGAAGCTCCCCGCAACCAATTCCCGCCTCAGTTCCAGCAGCAGAGCCAGCAGTTCTCGCAACAGCAGTTCCAGCCGCAGCAGCAGACCCAGCAGGACTTTCAGTACACTCAGGATTACTCCCAGTCTCAGGACATCCAGCACTCCCAGCAATCCAACCAGCAGTTTGACCAGCGCTACACAGCCGAGGTTGATCTGACCCGTGAACGGTATGTTTCTGCGCCGAGCCCATCTTTTGTTTACCCAGCCTTCCCGATTCAACCAGCTGTCGCTCTGTTTGTGCCCAAACACGAGCCACCGCTGGAAGAAGTGGAGCCACTATCGTCTAGAGGCGCCGATTTTAGCCCCAGACTAAATTACGTGTCACGAAACGGGCTCCACTCCCCCCAATGAGCGGTGTCCCCCGTTCTTGTTTTGTTTATATGTTTACACCAATCCACTCAACCCCCTCCCCGGACATCTTCGGCTAACTTTTTACTTCTTTCCCCCCTTATAGCTACCCCGACCACCGTCAGTCTTCTGTTCGTTTCGAGGAACGTCCCCAAGTCTACGATCAAGTCGTCGAAGATCAACTCGACGTTACTGAAAGAGAGTATCGCCGCCGTACCTCTCCCGCCTACGAAGCCGACGTCTCTTTTGACCGTCGCTACCAACCCGTAGACTCTAAGGAATACGCGCCGACTTACCCCGTCGACGTTTCTTACGACCGAGGCTACCAGCCCCAGCCCGCTTCCGCTTACCCCAGCGAAAGCATCGCCCGTCGCGAAGTCTTCGCTCCGGCTTCCAACGTCCGTGTTTCTCAGACTTCTGTCCGTGACACCGCACCCGCATCTCGCAAGATGGGTTACTACGACGACGAGGGTCAGTACCACTCCTTCCGCCGTGGCGTGGAGCGTGCTGCCGACCGCGTTCTGCACCCCTTCCACCACCACGACCACCATCACCGTGAGGAAATCGTCGCTGACGAGCGTGGCCCAGCCCGCTTCTCCGAAGGTGTTCGCGAGGAGGTCCGCATTGTCGAGCCCCGTAACAAGGGTATCGCTGGCGAGACCGTCCCCATCCCCGTCCACTTCGTCCGCATTGGCGACATCCTGATCCTTCAGGGCCGTCCTTGCCAGGTCATCCGCATCTCCGTCTCCCCCAGACCGGCCAGCACCGTTACCTCGGTGTCGACCTGTTCACCCGCCAACTGCAGGAGGAGTCCAGCTTCGTCTCCAACCCCTCCCCCTCCGTTGTCGTCCAGACCATGCTCGGCCCTGTCTACAAGACCTACCGCATCCTGGACCTCCGTGACGACAACCGCCTCGTCGCCATGACCGAGACCGGTGACGTCAAGCAGGGTCTCCCCGTCATCACCCAGGGTGGTCTGTTCAAGCGTATCCGCGATGCCTTTGCTGACGGCCGTGGCTCCGTCCGTGCCCTCGTTATCAACGACGGTGGCCGTGAGCTCGTCGTCGACTTCAAGGTCATCCACGGCTCCCGTCTGTAAATGTATTTTCCCGGGTTATATTCCTCGGTCTAGCCATATGATGTATGTGATGTGTGTGATGTGATGTTGCCATGACTTCTCTCTGCTCTGCTCTGCTCTGGCTAGGCTGTGGTGTGTCGTGAATACGTGATGATAAACTTATTATTTCTTTTTGTGATTATTATTTTCCTTTGTCTGACGATTTCCTTTCCGCGACGGTTGCGAACTATTTTGCCTGGTGTGAAAATCTGATTGGGCTTTTACTCTTAACCCCCTTTTTCCAATGTCTATCTCTCCCTGTAGTTCAATTCACGCTCGACCTTGACTCGCCTGTTCGTGGGTGGGTTTGAGGTCAGCTCATGTACCTAGCGATAATGCAAGAATCAGTTCTCTGAAGATGAGATGTTTTCCCTCGTAGATTTTGCTACGTAGTGACTAGTGACTCTAGGGTCGGCTTCCGGTGCTGCTGGGAGCTCAGTTGGTCGGCGGTTTGTTTACTCGTACTCCTTGGCGCCCGGACTCGGATCTTCCAACTTGGTGGCTGATAAGATTGCCGATGTGAACTCCAGTTCCGAGTATTTTTGGAAACTTGAAGTTGACCTCGGGTACAATGGTCATTGAATTACTAGCCAAGAGAACCTTGAACGCTGATCGTCATGCTGTATCACCTAGGAATTGGTCATGCATGAACGTCTGACTTGGATGAGTTGGGCATTCAAACTGACCTGACCTGATACCGGTCCGTGACCCTGTTGTACTAGTAGAAATATATTCTGGACCCTTCCGAGTCCAAGCCCTGGAGGTTTCCAGTACTGCGACTGGCAGTGCTTAGACTATTACGGTATTTAATTCAAGAATACTAGTATAACATGTGTATACCTAGGTAAATACTACCTATATGAATGCTAAAATATTAAAATACAGTGATGCCGAGAATACATTGCAACTCCCGTCTTCGAACCCCTAGCAGGTGGCATGGCACTGGCACTCCACCAGCACTGTATACACCACGAGAGTAAATTCGCAAATATAATAACTTCCACCAGCCATTGAATAAAGAAACTCTACAAACAAACTCTCTAATCCCTGCCATCATATATAATCTATTTAAATAATTCAAAACTCGAACTCGAAAGTAAGAATGCTCTGCCCAACTGCCAGTGTTCCACTTCCAGTGATCGGCACCACGTGATCAGCCCTACGGGGCAATTTGGATGCCTGGCAATAGTTCATCCTCCGTACTGCATGACCTGTCATCTGGATCTGCTACTTCAAGTTTTCGACAGTGCAGATAGAAGGAGCGCCCACTTGTGGAAGAGGAATCTAGAATCACCCCTATCAACATGAGGACCTGATAACCATTAAACTTCGACCCAACGCCGCGACCCGCCAGGTCCAGATCCAGATCCAGATCCAAACCCCCTCCGCATCGAGTCGAGAATCCACCACCGAGAACATCGATCACGGCAGAGCAGAGCAGAGCAGAGCAGAGAAGAGAGAAAAAGCAAAGCTGCACTCCACTGCAAGCAGCATACATTAAGAGCCCGCCCAGGCCCACGCTTTAGCCAAGCCAGATACACACCTGGGACTAAAAACCCTCCACCCTCCAGGCCAGCAGGCTGATCGCGAAGCGAACTTGAAAGAACCGAGGTGCCCACCGAATACACAATTTATGATGCAATTCGGCAAAGCAATCGGGACGGCATGTGCGTCGTTTGCGATCACGAATATCGACGATGCATTCGTGCTGGTCACGTTCTTTGCCGAGGCAAGCACACGCAAGAATGCCACTCTCACCCCGTTGAAGATTACCATCGGGCAGTATCTGGGGTTTACGGTGATTGTGGTTATAAGTATGATTGGGTTTGGCGTGTCGCTTGTTCTGCCTTCGGAGCCGATTGGGTTTTTGGGATTGTTGCCTATGCTTCTTGGTGTTTGGGCTTTGATTGGGTTGATATTTGGCGGGGATGATGATGATGATGAGGATGACGACGTGGAGGATGGTGATGCTGCTGATGGGGAGGCAGGTGAGGGGGGAAGGGAGGAGGCTGTGGAAGGAGATGGAGGGAGGGGGAATATACGATCCAGACTGGGCTCGTTCAAGGGCATTTTCAAGGTCGGATCGATGACTGTTATTAACGGGGGTGATAATATCGGGACATACATACCGCTCTTTTCGCAGGCGAAGGGTGCGGAGATCGCTGTCTACGTCGTTGTCTACTACATCCTCCTGGGGGTATGGTGTCTGGCTGCGTGGCTGGTTATGAAGCAGAGGCATATTTTGAAGCTTGCGCAGAAATATGCCGAGTATGTTGTGCCGTTCCTTTACATGGGGCTCGGTATTTACATTGTTGTGAAGTCTGATGCTTATCCATGGTCTATCGAGCGCATTGATGGAGATATCGATTCTCATCCTGGAAAGCTTGTTATGGCGGTTTCTACGACCGGGCTGCTTTTGTTGTGTATCGGCGGAATGGGGTTCCTCCAGTGGTGGAAGTGGAAAAAGGAAAAGAAGAACACTTCCGACGAGACGGGGGCTGAGAGGCTGGACTCGCCATCCATTGATGATGATGGTCTTTCAAGGAGAACTGAAGTTGAACCCCCCTTTGACGATGAGATAAAGACTGCCGTTCAAACCCCTGCCTCCGAGAATGACTCTCATACTAGAAGGGTAGGCGATGTTACTTAATATTTCTTGGAAAATATATTTCTTTGATAAAACTTCTTCTAAACGTCGTGTCTAAGATGTCCGTGTTTTCAGTTCATTGATGACCTCGCTCGGCCCTCGGCCCTTGACTGGAACTCTTTGTTTATGGGGAATTATCCATCGACTGGGACAGCTCTGTCCCATCTGTCTTTGTGAACGGACATTCCATGGTATGCTTTAAAATCGATACTCCCACGAGTCCAAAATGCTCTACTCTAAGCACCATCCGTGACCTTTTGCTGTTCCAAAATGCCCCTAAGGGAGCGCAACCCAAAGAAAAAGACTCTGAAAAGAGTTCGAGATGAATCAGGTTCAGAATTAGAAGCCCCTCAGAAACGTCGAAGTGGAGATAAAGACCCCAAGCAGGTCCCTGCTGAATCGGGAGCCCAGGGCAAACCCCTGCAGCTTAAGACTCGCGGTCCTCTCCTTCCGAAACGGCCAAGAACATGGGAACCCCATGATCCTCCAATCACTAATTACAATGATGTTCCTGTGGGGTGGTCAATGGACGAGCCGGATATCCATCAAAAGTGAGTGCGAGTAGTGGATGTTTCAACTTGAGGTCTGCTAATGATGACTTCGTACTGCAGTGATATTGAAGGCCAGATTGAGAGATGTCATGTAAGAATTGAAGAGGGAATTATGCCTATTATATTTGAAAAACGACTCGAGATGTATGACGGGCTAAAGAAGCGACGAGAGTAAGAGACCCCCTGTAGCAACATCTATTTGAAAGACAAAAAGAAAAAAAAACTTTATCTAATATTTTATTTCCAGAGAAATGCTTGCCTCGGAACCAGGACTATCTTGGGAGGTTGTTTTACGCCTTGAAAGTCTGAAATCTATCAGAGAAGAACTCACCGAGTCAGAAGACCCTACCGAACAGCTTCCAAATGTGGATGCAATCATCGCAGCGTACCGATCTGGGAAGTTGACCTGGCGGCCCGGATACGTGACATTTTGGTCGAAGGGAAAAAAGCTCGGTCGATCAAAGAAGTTCGACGTTGACGACTTCCTGGAGGTTAACAGGGAGCATGAAGGGCATAAAGGATTCTGGGTGGAAGGGGTAAGTTCCACTGTGATTCTCATTGTGTGCTAGTTGATGATGTTAACTATTCTGACAGCGCGATGGGCTTGAGCCGGCTCACAGTTATATAGCCAGTGAATTACTCGCCATGTATCCTCATGCGTTTGAGCACGAGGTAAGCTTGTGGCATACTAGCTTCAAGTTGCTGTATCGCTTTCCTGACTCCATCTCTTTCTATCTAGATGACCCTTGATATTCGTATCCCAGGCTCAACAGTAAGGCATCCCCTTTATTTCCTTGACGATACTGGAGCCACCCATATGCACATCTTTCAAGGAGATCTAGACCTCCTCCATACAATGGAACCTAATCATCAGGCGCCAGGCCTCGGCTGGGTAATATTGAATACAAGCAACGGCAATATGAAGGCACCCAGCGTTCTATTGGAGGCTGCACTATTCTCAAGTACAGACGTTCAATTAATACCGTGGACAACAATTAATGCCGTGCTATACAGAGGAAGCCAGTCAAGCCCCACGGATTTCAGGCTTTCAGGAATTTGGTGGCGCCACATGATCGGCATTGCATCGCTTCCAGATGATACGGGACGCTTACACCTGGCAACTGAAAGGAAGGATTTTGATAACCTTCCCGATTTTGATAGAGACGCAGAGGCTGCTCCACCCCCAATATCATGGCATGCGCCTGCGGCTGCACCGCCTGCGCCACCTCTTCCACCTCCACTATCTACTACGACGAATTGGGCTTCAGGGAGTTGGGCCATTACTCCAGCTGCCCCCGCTGCCCTAGCAGCTCCTGCAGCTCCTGCAGCCACTGGTGCAGCGGGACAATCACGCAGAAGAGGATTGAGAGACAGGGCGGCTAAAGGTCTTCGAAAAATCTTTAAGTAGTTTCTCTTTCGATGAAGATTGATGTCTTATTTTGACTTTCGTTATTGAATTTGTGTGATCCGTTGGTTATCGGGCGAAATGTAGTCAAAATTTTGATTATGTTCTTCTTTTCGATTCGAATGTTGCTTGCTATGCGATTAGTAGCTGTTTAACGATACTAGTATACATGAAGGTTATTCGACACTTACAGTAGCATTCTTCTCGAATCCCAAGAGCTGGGAGATCACAAAAGGTACTGCAGACTAAAATCCTCCAAAAATAACACAATCTGATGTAAGGCGTTACTAGGTGATATTAACTCAAAACAACCAAATGTAAGTAAATGCTATGATTTTACCTCAATGCCATTGCAAAGAATTGCCAGGTAGAATTCGGATAGAGGCTTCATTCCAGAATGACCCACTCATCTTGAGAGCGTGGATTCTGGTTACCCTGCGCCTGTGAGCCATTTGAAGAGACCTTCCTTGACCCCCCCTATACCAAAACAGTCGAAAAGAGGCTTGTATGTGATTATACAAGCACAAATTAGATACACAGCTGGCTCAACTTCAGTCCATATGCTCCGGTGGATGGCAGACCATGTCACGTCGTAGCTTTGAGTAACAAAAAAGAATTGGAACCGTAGGATGGAAGTGATAAGACCACTAGAGATCTCAGATAATTAGCATCCATGCTGTTCTTTGGGGAACAATAATAGTATACTGACAGGCTACCAAGAGCAAATGTGAATGTCAACTGTATCTTGGTTATAAGCTTTGTGTGTAGGGACCATATCACCGGGACGGGAAGAAGAAGCATCACGACGTCGGTAATAATATTTGGTAGAGTAGACAAGGAAGATACAGACTGCATATTCAAGCATTTACTACCGGGATTATCCTGATCCCAGTTTGCAGCGAATGGTCGACATACAAAGGAAACGAGGAGAATCTTGACGACGATAACGATGGCGAGGACCCATATCATCGCAGTACTTATAAGTCGTAATATCGTAGGAGTAAATAATCGACGATACAGTATAAGAATCGATATCTTTGGAAGATTGGCGGTGACCACGTAGATATAAGCTTGCATCAACCGAAATTTGCGTTCCAATACTATGAGGTTCGGATTCGTTGCGTTTAAATATGCTATATGGTAGCCGATGCCAGAATATTTCAGCTCGGCTTTGGTTACACCCGTTCGTATTAGCAGGGTTCCACTACAATGGATATCCTCTGATATAACTGTCATAGCATACCGATAATCACCCCTGCAAGACCTAGTTGTCCCAATAACGAGACAACAACCACTAGATCGTCAAAGCCGAATTTCATTTTGCTCCTATATCGGACGAAAAGTCGAAGGACCACGCAGATAACCTGAGCTGGAACCAAAGCTATCGTAAGCACAAAGAGCTTCTTTCCTGAGTATTCTGCCATCCTGCCATGGCAAAGCGCTGATGGGGTTGCGATAAACCTGTGTCAGAATTTAAGCAGAGCCTCGAGGGTTGGGGATTTGCTTATTAGATATGTTATCAGTAATGTGACAGATATTGATACTACGTGCTTGCAATGGATAAAATTATGGTGTATTGGAAAGGCTAGGTTAATGTTGTACTGAGTGTGGTATCTGTACAACTTGAATGAGTCGAGGTTTGCAGTCCTCTTCGGCTATAAAAATAGCCCAGGATATTCCCAGGTAATTGTCATTCGTCACACATACGAGATACCCCTCGGAAGAAGACGCTGCGAGACCGGAGAAGCACCAATCGGAGTGTAAAGATGAAGATTGAATCGCTTACTTCGGACAAAGCATTGCCCTTAATGTTTTCCCCTGGGCTATATCCGGGAAAACATGCCCATATGAGCAGTAGGATTCCAAGAGAGAACTGACCATGGTGTCTAACAGTCTCAAACAGTACCTAGGTATATATGAATGTTGAATAGTACCATTAATACTTCTTTTCCGGGCTTTTTTAACCGGCGCGTCACATTTTCTTCATCTGTCATCCAGTCACTGGCCAAGGACAGTGTCTAGCTGTGAACAACTTGGATTACAGTGGCGACCGTTATCGCTCTCCATTTTGAAAATATGAGATCTGCTCTTTCAAGCCCTAACCACATGATGCACTAATCCCGATATGGTATTCTAGTATTTCAAAATCTGATTTTAGGTCGAGCGGTATAGAGCCGAACGCGTAGAATGCTGATTAAGCTGTATGGTCATGTATTATTATTATAGCTCCAAAAATTAAACTACACACCCCATGCTATTGTCCAACTTAAGCGTCCCAACTCTCTAGAGTTACCCAACAGTCTTTTCTAGGAAAATAGCGATCCAAGATACCCTATAGTGGCTTCCCTGACAGGATTAACCCCATTGTTCGCTTTTTTGATAAAGCATTGGTTCAGTTTATGCTGCTATCATCAGAAGAGTTCCTAGAGAACAAAAGCTGATTAGACCAAGGATATCATTACTAAGGGTTCTATTAGAGGGACAATATAGAAAGATACGTACCAGGTTCCCAGAGTGAAACCTGCAGCGATGTCTTCAAACAACACTTCTTCCGGGTAATCCCAATTCCAGGAGATTGAAAATCGAGAACAAACAAATTTGGAACTCACACTCTTACCGCGCCCTAAATGGCGAAAGTACTTATGAGCTCGGGCCCATTTCTCGCAGCCTGAAGGGCAGTGATGTGTATAAGAGTAGCAGCCTTGTTCCCAGTTATAATTCCTGAAAGGAATCGCGCCTAATCATAGGATCGGGGTTCAGCTCAACGAAATGTGCGCCTTGTCTAAGACATGAGATGGAAAGAGCGTCCAGATCCAGCATGTTTGTGTTAATATATTTGAGAATAGGATTCCACCTCTCTCCCTCGGGAATACAAAGTCCTTTCATGCAAAGTGACACGATATTTTGATGCTTTCTGAGAAATTCGAGCAACGCATTGACAGTGACCGGGAAATCGATCAGGCAAAAATGCTTTAGCTGACGCAAGTAAACGTTATCGGCCATTCTTGTGAAGAATGTATAGTAGCTTTCGGGCACTGATAAATCGCGGTGATAATCGAAGTCGAAGGCGAGGCATAATTTAACAAGCTTGGCTGCGCACTGAAGTAGCTGCTCTAGACCAGAAAAGTTGTCTGATTTATAAGCACCACCTCGGCCATTTAATATAGGCCCTGTGAACAGTGACCGCATCGAGCCTTGCCTTCTAGGAGGGTTCCACTTTTCACCAGAGACCTTCAATCCAAGACTTTCGATCGGTAGGTAAATGTCACCTAAGCGTTTCCCTTTTATCTTTTTGAGATGAACAGCGATTTCCCTTGCTGGAACGCTGCAGAGTCGACCTGGCTCACTGTAGGGTTCACAACCTTGATAGATGCCTAGTTGCCGTAATATAGTAGAGCTTCTCGCCGCGGCTGCTAGTGTGAGAAAGCACACATGGGATGCCCACCGAAATGTGAATGAATGCCGAAGCGGTATGTTTATTCCAGGCGCGATCGTAATATAAGGCTGTATTTTGATCTCATCTAGTGCCGAAAACTGATTCAGCGCATTTACTAGAGAATCAATAATGAATTTATCCAACATCGTATTACGCTCCTTCTGTAGGTTCTTCAGCCATTCCATATTTGCTGGGTCTCTGCTTCCATAGAATGTTTCGAGCTTGCGCCTTTTTGGATAGTGTCCACAGTGGTCGTAAAATGTGGCTTGGATGATCAGGCAACGCACGGCATTTCGAAAAACGGGATGTGAGGCGCGTTTATCCAATACCTGGAGACTACCTGACGTGAGATCTGTTCTTACTTGCGACGCGAAGAAAAGAAAGCGAGGGCCGAGGCATCGCTGTGAGGTGTATTTGCTCACAAGGCGGAGGCTTTTGATGGTGTTGAGATCGAGATATTCGTTGATTGCATCAAAGATCTCCGAGGGAACACAATCCCAAGACATATTATAGATTGTAGATGAGACCTCACTGTCGAGCCTTGCCTATGAATTTAACCCTAGATGGACATCCAAGAAAGTGCCAGGCCCTATGCAGTGAAACAGCTGCGAGACGTAACTTAGTGGCGAGACCAGTGTGAATACTTGTAGAAAATGATGAAAGAGCAATGTGTCTTATTTACAAGAGTTATCGCTAAAGAGCCCTCATGCTCATGATTCAGGGGCGGAGGGTAATAGTTGTCCGTCATGTGACTACGTCACATGATAAATGCATTGTAGTCCGTACAGTTGCCAGTCCAATGTTTGCCTTGTTTGTCACAGTACAATAGATTACTGTCCAGGCTCCTAGTTTGAATGTACCTTTCATACTGGTATCGTGGAAGACTTAGTATTGTTACATGGTAGATACAAATGCTATATTTAAATCACTATCCGTATTAGGTTAGCGTATCATGTGATTAGGGATTGCAAGAGCATCTCTCGTCTCCGATATGGAAGGCAATAACGGTCGCTACTATAACATTCCAAGAAGCTTGGCTTCACGGGACTTAAAAAAGTCACCTCTTCGAGTACCGATCAAGCCATTGACGTCACATATTAAGACACAAAAAAGGCATTCTTCGAAGTTATCGGCCCCTATAACGGCGATTACAAAATTCAAGCGCTCAACACCTGTCTGCTCCCTCACAGACTCCCAAATTTGGCTGTGCCCTATATTACATGACAGTTTCCACTCTTTCACCTAGTGGAAACCTTTCTTTCCCCCATAACTGATCATTGCAATCTTCCCCCCCCCCCACAGCATCAGCAAGCCGTAGTGTAAATATACCCGCCACTCCCGTTTCTTTGCGTAAGCACCCAATACCAGGTTAGATATGGTACCCGGGGATGATAGAAGGGTCATTCCTCGTAGTCAGGCCAGGATAACCTAGAGCTTCAGCTTCTGTGAAACTAAGTTGCTCCGGCATCGCAATTGATCCTTGCTTGAAAGCTCCGGCTCGCCGAAAGGTACCATCGATCAACACAACTTGACCAGTTTTCATGGATCCTCGCTTCTGAAAAGAGTCAAGGCTCGCTGATAAATCAAGGTAGCATTTTCATTACTAGGGTCAAATGAAGTGAGCTTTTTCGGAGTACCAAGGTCGGTTCCTCCATGGGATTCGTGGATGATGCTGAATTTCATTGACATTGGGTACTTTTCTTGTGGAATGATGACATATCAGCAAGACATTAGCCTATCAGAGATACAGTTAAACGAGATGAAAGAAGCTCCTGCTTACATTGAGCGACAGTCCCAAGACCATTGAGCTCGATATCAGTCCTGTGTCATACCCACCAGTTGCTACTTCGAGGCAATGCCCTTGAAGTTATAATTGCTTTCAACTAGACTTCATCATATCCATGTATTTAATTAGAGTGATTTATTCCTCGGCCAATTACAAGGACTCAATTCCTTCTTCTCCGGTGGTATTCCATTACCAGGTAGTTTTGGGACTCGGCTCAGATCGATAGCGATTGGTGGCCACGATTGAGTATATCCGACTAGAGGCAGGGCCCCGGGGAGAAAATAATACAGCGCGAATGCGGAGTAAGTTAATAGAAAGATCGATATCATTTGAAAGTCAAAAAGGGCTCGTTGGATTTGTAACTAATCATACTGCTGACGCCGAATTATTAATTGGTCTAGAGTGTGACTCGGTATCATTAGTTTATAAGCCCCAGTGTTTATCCCCCCGATCGTTATTCCCGAAAATAAGGCGAGGAACCCCGATTCTAAAAGAATGATGCTGGACTTAATTTCAGTGAAAAGGATGATCATTATCTTAGCTGGTAGTCAATCTGGTAGAGTGGGTTCATCGGTGATGGTTAACCATGCTGTTTTGACATCCTACCATGAGTTACATCATATTACCGATCGTTCCTTTAACTAGCGAGGCAAAGTCTGTGTATTGTATGCCAGAGAAATGACAACGGTAAGCTTAATCGTAGATTCATGATGTAGGCCAGATGGGAAAGGTTCGATGGGCGACAACCTTAGGCAGGGAATCCTACCCAGAGGCTCCCAGGGGCTATTTCAATGGGCTGCGTGATAAAAGGGCGACCACGTGATGATAAGCGCAGCAACCCGAACTTCAACGGTCGAGCTTCACTTTTACCATCCGGACCTCCCACGACCCTCGCTACCACAAACCGGGTCGTCGGTTTGACATATCCTTCAAAATGGTAAGTATTTTACCATCTGATTTGAACCCCCTTGGAACGACTTTACCCACTCGCGACCTACCGTACGATTTTGCTAACCTCAACCTCCACGCCATGAACAGGCTCGAAACAGCGAAAAGGCGCAGTCCATGCTGTACCGCTTTCGGGCGCAGCAGGCAGCGGACATGGGCATCATAGACGTCACCCGTACTCGACGACCAAAGGCCATCACCAGTATCGACGCGGTCCCCACGTGCGAGCGCTGGCGCGGCCAAGTTCTGAAAGAAGTCTCTCGCAAAGTCTCGCGCATCCAAGAGCCCAGTCTCAGCGACTACCAGATACGCGATCTGAACGACGAAATCAACAAGCTCATGCGGGAGAAATGGGCATGGGAAATGCAGATTAAAAATCTCGGCGGGCCGAACTACATGCGCGGATCCGGTCGGGTTTACGACGACGAAGGGCGTGAAATACCTGGCGGTGGCAAGGGTTATCGATATTTCGGTCGTGCGAGAGAGTTACCTGGTGTCAAGGAGATGTTTGAGGCGGCGGCGCGCCGGGGAAAGGGCCCTGCGGAGGAACAGGAGGGCGCTGGTTCCGGTCGCGGTGGAGACATTGCGACCAGGAAGGTCGATGCCAACTACTTTGGCTATGGTCTTGATGAGGAAGATGGAACGCTGCTAGCATATGAGAAGCAAAAGGAAAAAGAGGCGCTTGAGAATTTGCGTGTTCAGGGCGATGACGACGCCGAGGATGGCTGGGAACCACTACCTGGTGATGCCGGAGACGGTGTGGAATGGCGACTTCCCACACTCGACGAAGTTCAAGAGGAGATGGTCGACCGGCGACGGAGACGCCTATTGGATAAAATATCCTGAGCTTCTCACTCCTGCATATGTGGAGGGGTTTTTCTTTCTTCAGTTCTCGGCGTTACGGATACTTCTGCGAAATATTCCATCTCGAGCATTGTTCTTAGTTCTTTTTTTTTTTGTTATCCATCGACTTGGTCGTTCAAAAGATTAAATTTTCGATTCAGGGGGTTTCTTTCGTTATATGTACAATACATTACTCGGAGCTGCTATTCACATCCGATCTGTTTTTCCGAGTGACCCTCTCTATCCTCAATGCCTGTGACATGCTCATCGGAGGTTTATAATCAGGGTCGTCTCGTTGGCGCTTCTCCGCATCCAAGTCATCCAGCAGAAAGCGACCAATGTCGCCTTGTCGCCATTTCTGGACGAGATGCAAAGCCGCAGAGTCGATGATGGGCACTCCGCCTTTCCCAAGTAGCCCAGTTTTTCGCGCAAAGTTTTCGAGGAGAGGCATCACCTCATTCGTAGGTTCCGACCATCGCTGATACGCCTGCGCATCATGCAAATTAATCTTGTATAATAGATAGTCCACAAGGGTGACAGGTGAGATGATCGCATCTTTAACACAGCCACAGAGCGCCAGCTTGAGCATATTTTCCGCATCGGGGACATATGGCATGAAGACACCAGGTGTGTCTAGCACATATACATGCGCGCCACTGTCGCGCTCAATAATCTTCACCGGGCTTGCGATTTTCCGAGTGATGCCTGGCTGGCCACCGGTCTTCAGGGCTTTCGCCTTGCCCACGCCATGGTTCCTTAGATGATTGATTAACGTTGATTTGCCAACATTGGGCATTCCCACTACCATCACGCGAGATCCGGTCAATTTATCTGGAGCCGCAGCGTCGTTTCGGAGGTGTTTGATTATTTGAGATACATCGGCGCGGGAGGCTGAGCTGGTGAAGAAGACAGCACTGTTCGGGTCGAAGCCCCGCACTTTGTTTTCTGTCTAGAAGAGTAACCTTCAGTATGTTTGTAGGGTTTATGCAGAATGAATAAGAATGCGACTGACCACCTGCCGTGCTGAAGATTTTGGGACGCTGCCAAGATCTCTCTTAGTATAGACGACTATTCGTCGCTTCTTGCCCAATGCCTCTTCAAACACAGGGTTTATTGAGGTGACAGGGGCGCGGTAGTCCCGGCATTCGACCACATAATCAATCGATGCGAGCATGTTCTTCATCTGGGTCAGACCGGCGCGGTGATGGCCCAGGAAATAGGATCTCGGAATTGCCCCATAATTAGGGAAGACTTGACGCGGTATGAACTGCGCCATTGTTGCGTAACAAAAAGGATCAGCTGGTTAATATGATAGTCATTATCGACTTCCAAAGTTCAGCCTCGTCACAGAGCGAGTCGAAGGAGTGTTATCGACTCGGCGCAGTTGACATGCTGCGGACAGAAAATATTGCCAGTGGGATAAAGGCGGTAGGCTGGGCGGTGTAAGGGGATGCTCTCCCATGTATAATGTGCTAGTAACTAGTACCCTAGTTTAAATGCACTTTGGCATCATTCTCAGTAAAAAGGGAGGAGTGAGCACTCAATACTTCAAAATGGGGCACAAGAGATTATTTAAAGAGGTAAAGAGAGTCCAAACCTGGAAAATACCAAAAATATCACAGTCCTGGGCACTTGTAGACACAGCCCGTGTATCTACGGAAACACAAGGTGAAATGATTGGATCTCCCCAATTCATGTTCCAGTTCATCCTGGCAGCCAAGGGACGACCCACTTCGCCTCTACAATGGACAACTTAATGTTCACATTATCCAAAATGCAAACTTTTCTGGTCCCAAATTGCTCAATTTGACCAAGAGTAAAAGCACAATGTCATTGATATCAGCTTTCCGTCCTCCGTCCACACGGATCTCATCGGCCCGTCGCAGATCACAGTCACGACCACGTCGACGAAGAAGAACAAGCAACAGTCAACCTGTGGAACTTGATTCCGAGGGTCATGTCCATGAACAAGATGATGCCCATTCAATCATCACGCCGTCTAAGCACACGCCACGGCCATTACGGTTGCTGCGTGGTTCTGTCGCGGCCGGTGGTCCTCTACGTCCATTTCGCCTAGTGAAGCAAGATATTGTCAATCTACGCCGACGATGGACGTCCGATTGGACTGTCTTCAATCAACTTATTTTCGCCAGTGCTGTCTACGTCTTCTTCACGAATCTTCTGCCGGGCATTACGTTCGCTAGTGATCTCTATGTGTTGACGGGCAAGACTTGGGGCACCATCGAGGTGGTGTTCAGTACCGGATTATGCGGCATCATATTCTCAGTGTATGTACTCTTATTGAGCAGGTTCTCTCTAGAAAATTGTGGCTGTCAAGAGACTAATTCTTCGGCTTCAGGTTCTCGATTCAACCCCTCACCATTCTCGGCGTCACGGGCCCGTTTTCTGTCTTGGCAGAGAACATCTACTCGCTGTGTGACGAAGTGTTTCAGGTAACTTCCACTATTATGCCTTGCTTTCGAAGTAACTAATTCTTGTTCTATCAAGATTCCATTCCTGCCATTTATGGCTTGGTCTTTGATTCATTCCGCGTGGATGCACTATGTCTTGGCGATAATCAATGCCCACGACTGGACCATGCGTTATGTGACGACATTTGCGACAGAAATATTCTCACTTCTCAACAGCATCATTTATTTCCATAAAGCCATCCAAGAGCTTGAGAGAGCCCACGAAAGTCTCTCCTTTGCCGCCTTTCTCTACGCCGTGATTGGTGCCGTGGGTACAATGTTGCTTGCCATCTTCCTTTCTACAGCCGAGAGCTGGAAACCTTTATTTCATCGATATATTCGTCTCGGCCTCACGGAATATGCTGCCGCTATATCCATCATAATATTCATTGGTCTACCTCATGTTGGCGAGCTGGCCCACCTGGACAAAATGACGTTGGCTGTCAGCGACTCATTCCGGCCAACCTCTCCGGAACGAGAAATATTTTTCGTTGAGTTTTGGAAACTACCAACACAGTGGATATTTGCATCTCTTATCCCTGGTTTGATCATAACTGTTCTATTCTTCTTCGATCATGAAGTTAGTTCGATTATCTGCACGATTGATCGATATGGAACCCGCAAACCAGGCGGGTTTGCTTGGGATATAGTCCTACTGGGCACGACTACGGCGCTATGTGGCATTCTGGGTATTCCACCTTCAAATGGACTCCTCCCCAGGCCCCACTACATTCAGAGTCGTTGATGCACACAGAGAAAGAAGAGAAAATTATCATCGTGGACGGCGAGGAAAAGATCGAAAGACGAGATGTGAAACGGGTATACGAGCAAAGATGGTCCGCTTTTCTCCATTCTGGCGCTATTCTATTGTTTATCAGTCCACCTTTTATGAAAGTCCTGGGCTTGACGCCTACCAGCGTTCTAGCTGGGTTATTCCTTTTCATGGGCGAGCAAAGTTTGTCGGTCAAGTAAGTTGAGCTCTCGAATCGATGGTGGTATCTACTAGAATACTGCTGATATTGCTTACAGTCCAATCTTATACCGCACATTTTACCTTCTTACTCCGCCATCTGAGCTTCCTCCACTCCCTCAGTCACTGCAGAGAAGCACCCAGCCAAGATCTACTGATAGCCAAGTGACCCCTAGCAATCCGTCCTACCTCCCGATTCATCTCTATACAATCCTGCAAATCGTTACCACGGTAATCATATTCATTGTCACCCTCACTCGCGGGGCCCCTGCTTTCCCTGTCCTCATCATTGCTCTCGTGCCGTTCCGTCTTCTAGTTATGAAGCGATGGTGGCCTCGTGAAGCTCTCCGCTTCGTCGATGCATGGGCTTGTCGTGAGGGCACCCCAGAAGATGACGAGGATGCCCGATCAAAGAAAAATGAGCAGACACTTAAAGAGGGGTCGGCTTTGGGTGAAGACGGTGTTCTCGAGAATAGACTCTCGACAAATACCGAAAGAAGGTCCAACTCGAACCGTGCTAGTGGATTTAGCGCTGATATTGGAGACCAGGAGGTTTGGGGCATGACTGGCGATGACGCAGATCATGAATGGATTGGGCTAGAGAACCGTGGTTTTCCTGATGAAGAGTTTGGTCGTCATTAATAGATTTGAGCTTTTATTGGATATCATGGATATTTGACGAATATACGCTAGTTGTCGGGCGTGCATTTACAGCGGCCAAAACCTGTCAGTGGGACACAACGTGTTTTGGGGTTTTTTGATAGCAGTGATACTTGTACGATAGATCGCAGGTAAGGAGTAGATACAAACTGGTTCAAATTATGGTTTATCCTGCGAACAGCTAAATATCGACTGCCGTAGCACATTTGATCAATTGCATCGAGAAACCATCTTCGCTGTTCTATCTGCAAGCAGCATTGCCGGGTATCCTCTGTCAAACGCTCATTCTGCGCCAGGTCTATGCGAAATAATAAAAATCCTAACCTTAACTCCCTTTAAAGTAGATGAGACACTAGAATAGACAATTCGCTATGCCCTCCATCCCTGCACAAAGTCATGAAGCCGATCAATCACAACGCCAAATATAGCGTTGACACTATCACTTATAAGCTGCTCGAAATGGCGAATGGCCTCCTCTTCCGTCATCTCCAGATGGAAGCGTTCCTTGACCTTCAGCACGGCTTTGTCGGGTTCGACGCGGATATCGGGGATATTGGCATCTACCATCAAACTGAAAAGGTTGAGGATCAGGTTGGCAGACTTGCGAAGCGTGGTATATGCTGTGAAGCAGTACTGCTTGAATTGCATGTAGTGAGGGGAGGTGGTGCCTCCCATACCCTCGACCATCTCTTTGCAGAGTTTCATCATCGGCGCGAAGGGCTTAGGGTCTCGGCCCAGGATGAAGCCGAAGTCTGCGTGGAAGAAGTGACCATCAGGTGCCAGAAGCAGATTCTCCAGGTGGCGGTCACCGACACCGAGAAGGTATGTGATTACGCAGTACCCGGCACAAGATTTGATATAGGTATCCATTGCCTCCTTGCGAACGCCCAGGGGTTCATTCTCGTCCGGGTTGTGCTCTTTCAGGTATGCGAGAATGGATTTGTACTTGGCGGATGCAGCAGAGAGGGAGGTCGAAGGAATAAACTGGACTGCGCCTGCCGTTGAGCTTGTTGCTAGAATACGGTATGGAGTCAATTTTAGATCCAGATTTTCTTTTTGCAGAAGACGATCCATGAGCATGATGATCTGAATGACCAGCTGATCTTGGCGGAGATCGTCACCGATCTTAAAGAGCAAGGGGTATCGCCGGCCATCGGTCGTCTTGAATGTGATTTGGAGAGGTGACAAGGTGGATTTGAAGACATTGGATTCGTCAGGATAGCATCCGGTGAGCAAAACATCAGGATCCAATGGCAACGGCAGTGGAGGATCGATATGAATCAAGTCATTCTTCGGATCTCGAATCGACTTCTTCAGCTTTTCGATTTTCACAACCCTGTTCTCTCGGGAGAACCGAATATCTTTGGCGATCTTCGAGAGCACAGCGATTAACTCGCCTTGTCGTAGGAGAGTCTTTCGGTGTTCAGCGTGGATCTTCTCTAGCTCCGTCATGAAATAGAACTCGACCCGGGCAAATAGTTCACGCTGTGAACCTGGGCCTGCGTCGTCGCATTCGACCATCAGGTACCAGTGTAGGTAGTTTCCGAGCTTGAAATTGTTGGCCGCCCGGGCGATCAGGAAGCTGGCTAGTGAGGAGTCATGAGCTGCCTCGTCGGCATTGTTTTCAGCATTCTCCTCATACTTCAATGCTTGAACCAGTTGTAGGAGATAAAGAAGAAGTTCGTCGTCATCTGCCTTACGTAGTCTTGCCACGGCATATGACCGTACCGCAGGATTGTCAAAGGTGGGACCTAGAAGCTCCAAGGCATCGTCAACATCGATGTCAGTCCACTTGGGCAGGATGTCCACGGCTTGTCGAGATTCTCCGTCGTCTCGCCAATTGACAGATTTGACGAATTTGGTTAAAGCCCGCTTTTCACGAGTCAAATAGTATCTGAACCTCCATATCAAATCTTTCTCCTCGGCAGTCAGATCCTGTGTCGGTTCGTATGACACAATGATGTTCAACTCGTCGCGATTCTTGGGATTTGGCCTGAGGTCCCGATCCATGATCCCCGTTCGATGACTACGGATCAACCGTCGATGTTTGTCTTCACACGGGTTTCCAGTCATTCCGACTTCCGGATCATATATCTTGATCACGCCCGCAACATCAGCTCCCTCGATTCCGGGCCCAAACCGGACCTCTGGGACAGGCTTAAGTGCGGAGTTGGGATGGGCTGGAACATTCTGATTGTAGCCGGAGATGGGCGGCGCAGGGTAGTGATGATCAGCCCAAACGATCGGGTGGTCGTATCGTGGGAGCTCCACGTAGAGGGTAAAGTTCTCATCGTCGATATCTTCGTCATCGGAGCTATCATCATCAGCCCCGCTAGTAGTCTTTGGCTTAGCAGCTGCCATAAGAATAGCTCTTTTCTTAGCCGCTTCTTCGGCTTGTAGTTTGAGCTTCTCCAATTGGCGGAAAACCATCTGGTCCATCCAGTCAATTCGAGCGATTTCACCCATTTCGTGCTTCTTGATCAGGACTTCAATCCGCTCCAGTTCCTCTTCCTCTGGCGAAAGACCCAGGGGGTCTCTTGCACCTTGTCTCCGTCGCTTGGGCGGAGGAGTTGATGGTGTGGTTGTTGAGGAGAAACCATCCGCAGCTTTATGGCGGTAGAACTTGCACTTCTGCCGTCCCATTTTCAGCTTGCCTTCACTGTCAAACAGTTGTATCGTTGTTCCTCCGTATGGAACATAGTGGCTCTTATCGCCTGCTAGTGGAGATATATCCCAGGCGGTAATTGCCAACTGTGAGTTTCGAGGTACGTCCTTGATCGGCATGGGCATGCGCAGCCATTCATTCCATGTTCGACTCGCTTTGAATGCCTTGTAGGCAGTCTGCATGGGCACCCCGAGGGGCTTTGAGTCGGACCATAATTGGACCGTCACAAAGAGATCAGAGACGGGGTTCTGAGTGGATCCGAGATATCGCAGTGCTGGGTCCTGGATAAGGCGCGAGAATGGTATCTGCTTCTGTTTGCCTTCAAGCGTGCCACTATGGGATTGTCAGTTTGAACAGGCGGTGGCTTGGATCGGAGCGCTTACATCTTGACCCACACAGGCAGGTTCACCTGTGTGGATAGCGCAAAGGTGAAAGCCTCCATCCTCGCTGGACCATCATCGATGATGAAGCTGACTGGACCATCCCAATGCCAGCTCCGTCCGGGGACGTGGGGACCGAGCTGGCTATCATCACGTGCCATGGTGGGTACCTCATGGGAGTACGAGTAAGTTAACTAGAGTTAACTAGTACGTAGTTAGTAGTATGGGAGAACTTGAAATTCATAGTGGATGAAGGCTTTATAAATGGTTTCCTTTTGAATGTTTGCGAACTGTGCACCTGGGCATACTGATAGATCCCACTTCCAAAATGATCAGCTAATGAAATCTACCTTAAGGTACTACTAACAAAATAGTATATACTAGAGTCTAGAACAGAGTACCAAAAACAATATCGTATTACTACTCGCCCCAAAAAAAAGATACATCAGAAGAATACCAACTTGAATGATCGCTCAAGTCCTTCTAGTGAGTACCGGCTACTACTCGTACTATTATCTAAGTACGAGTCTTCTTCACTTCCTGTATACACTCCACTCCAATCGCACCCCACTGTACCAGTATCACGTGAGGCAGTACGTGCCGGAGATACGCGACGCGACAACTGAGGGACAATTGCGGGAATGCGATCTCTCAACTTTCAACTTACGGTGTCCATCGCAACCCTGGGAATAATTTATTGCAAACGACAGCGGACTCCTTCGAAATACTTGGTACAGAGTTCGTCCTCGCTCCACTTTCTTTGTTTGCTTCTGCCTCACCTGGCGCCTCTTAGCGCCAATCAACTATGGCACCAATCGTTCACTCGCAGCTGGATGAACAATCTGCCCCCAACTCCAGTCCTCCTTCATCTCCTGGATCCTCTTCCGACAAGGAGAACCCTCGACGACGAACCATCAACAAAAGATCAAAAGCGCAAATGGCACCCCCAAGCCACGATAAACGGCGTCGCCTCACCGATCGCACCTCCAACATCCACTCGCAGATTCCCTCATCGCAACGCGTTGGGAAGAACAAGTTCTACGACCCTGATCAAGATATAAACGAACGAAGAAAGGTTCGTCGGGATCTCAGAGATTTAACAAGAGAGTTCAACGGTATGATTTCCATCCTCTACTTCTCCCCCCCACCTACGCGCATTCGTCGCGACAAGACCAGCGAGCCAACTAACAGACCCCAGACTCGCGAGGCGAGTTTCTCCAGTCCGGTAACGATGGAATCGTCAAGACCGTTACACAATTGAACCACCTCTACACGAAAGTCAAACAGACCTCAGATGCCACCCTTGACTCGCGACTCCTGGTCAACGCAGCCGACCTTTCCCATAAGAAAACCGCCCAGCTCGCCGTTGGCGAATCCGGTGCCGGTATTGACGTTGATGAATTCGTTTCCAAGTGTATCTCTTATATGCGCCGGGGTCTTGAATCAACCATCACCCCAACCCAGCGCCGGCGCCACCAACAAAGCCAAAGAGATCCCAATGCCAGTGATGGCGAGGACGATGGCGATGCGATGAACTGGGACTGGCTTGGCCGTAAGGCTTGTCTGCCGTTTAGTTCTCGCCCGACTGTGTCAGGATTTTTGCTGGGCCCGCTCTCCGTGGAGAAGCGCACGCGACAATTCACGCAGCGAAAGGCGACGGAGCGCCCCGACCCTTCGCAACTTGTACGGCCAAACGATCCAGTCCAAGAAGACCTTGGACAAGAGGACAACAACCTCACAGTAATGTGTTCCACCATCGGCAAACTTCTGTCCGATACGCAAGTACAGCGCCAGCAGCAAGTACAAGCGGAATTGGAGAACGAGTATGGGGAAGACGCCCCGGAAGAAGCACTTCAAGCCACCATGGACAAGTACGACGTGTGCGATGATGGTGGTATCCCTCTGTTCAAATTCTGTATCAACCCGCACTCTTTTGGGCAGAGTGTTGAAAATCTGTTCTATGTGAGCTTTTTGGCCCGTGATGGCAATGCTGGCATCAGCACGGATAGTCGCCAGATTCCAACACTTCGTGAGTAAACCTGTTGTTTGATTTCTATTCGTGATATGATAAACTGACTGTGCATTAGATTCTGCACATCCATACCAGCCCAGCGAAGCTCAGCAAAAGGGCATTCAGAAACACCAGGCTATCTTCAGTCTCGACTTTGAAACTTGGCGAGAAATTATCAACACATTCGATATCAAGGAGTCCATCATACCCCATCGCGAGGAAATTGAAGAGGCCAGTGGAACCTGGCAATAATTACCCGTCCGTGCTTTAAATTGTTCTTTGTTGTGCTTGAATTTATGATACCCTAAGCCTGTTACTGAGCACATAGACAAAACTACGATTTTAATAAATTTCCAGAATCAGTCAATAATGGCAGTGTACTACATGATTAACAAGTATACCTCGTTTACCAAGTGCATATTACTTCCAAGGTTTGTACGGAGTCACCGCTAAAGTCTGATCAAAACGGTGAACTCCAAATCAGGCATCTTGCGGAATTGGCCACTCCTTATCTTCACCCTGGCCCTCTAGCCATGGTAAACAAGCCGTATAAAGAGCCCTAACTTGACCATTCCCCAAACCCATACACCTCTCAAAAAGACCCTTATCAAAACGCTCAATAAAAGTCAACTGAGCAGCATACACTAAATCCGCATACCCAGGATTCTCACCCTCGAAGAATGGGCCTTTCTTCCCATCCTTTCCTTTCAGCATGGCAATCAGCGTCGAAGACTCCGTCTCAATTATATCCCACAGCCTATCCAAACTCTCCTTGTCCGTGGGTCGTACCTCCGACAACGGTTTTCCCAACGCCTTGGACCGTGTCTCGTGGAAGTAGACTTGTCCCCGAGGATCGAGGTGGTCTACGACGCGTGGTATAATCAATGGACGAAACCCAGCCTCGATCAGAGTCATGATCTTGAATATGGCGAGGAATAGTGCGTAGCTGGCGTCGCCGGATGGGAAAAGTGGGGGTGATGGGAATGTCTTGTCGATGTGTAGAGCTATCTGTAGTGAGTCCATTAGGGCTCCGTTTGGGGATGATGTCACGGTGGATTTGTGGATGATTGCGGGTAGAGTATATGGTCTGCCTGTTTTGTTTGGTGGTATGTCCAGGCTGGTTCCCAGGGGCTTGATGTCTGGATATGAGATCCAGCTCTGAGTATAGGGGATACCCTTAAAGTTGAGCACGGCTCGGGTCTTAAGTGTATTGTGGGACCATGATTTGGAGGTTCCTATTAATAAATGATCAATATGGGAACTTGGCTTTTATGATGATTCGATCGCGGGTGTTGGGGAAGATGAATATACCTGGTAGGTCGGAAAACAAGTCGAAGAAATGGACGGGTTCTGACTCGGTGGACATTCTGGGTGATTTGTCCTCTCCGTGGATACTGAAAACGTAAATTTAACTAAAAAGCTTGAATTTATCGATGGCTGTTTCTTATTTTATATGCGGGGTTTCTTTGGAGTTGCCATCTCGGTGATGACGGAGTTAAGAATTGAGGGGAAGGTTCCCACCAAGTTCGCGAAACTGTAAATTCAAAAAGACTCACCGAAGTATGAGGCTCAGACTATTTTACATTCTGGATCAACTACATTTGAAATGTTCCAACCAAATGAAAGGGTATTCCACTGTACCAGCAGTCTCGAATTCTACCCTCGCGACATTAATAGCAAGAATCTCTTCGGGTTCCACCTCCATAAAACGACCCATCCCCCGATGAGTGAAGAGAGGCCCGTAAAGAGAATCAAAGGACCATAAGATGACCCAAATGCAAAACGCTGACTAGTCACGATAGTCCCAGCCTTGAGAAGTCCCATGCCAGCAATCCCTCCACTTGCATAACCGACACCTCTGACGCCGTTCAGTAGACCATAAAGCATTCCAGGATCAACGGCTTCATTTCTCTCAACAGACTCGCGTTCTATCTGCTTCAGCATGCCTCCCCAAGTAGCACTATAACCACCGGAGAAGAATCCAAATGTCATGGAGAAGATTATGAGCAGACCAATCGCGCCCTTCGACGTCAAGCCCCAGAAAAAGAAAGCCGAAAGAGCGCTGCAGATTGGCGGAATTGCGGATACAGCTTGGGCTGACAGGGGGATTTTCTTGTTGTCGCTCAGCCATCCGAAGAAAGCCGAAGCAATGATACCAGGCGCATTGAATAGAGCTAGCATCAGAGTGCCCGAAGTTTGAGATAACATGGCGACATCTCGGGCGTAGGTGCTCAGATAAGTCTGTGGAATACCATAGCCGGAACTTTGGAAGATAATCGCGATGCTGTAGAAGTAGATGGACCGGTGTCTGAGAAAATGCCACGGGATTTGCCGTGCTCGAGTCTGGTGAATCGACACTTTTGAAGGATGGGTTGGTATCATGCAAATGGCGATGATGCTTGATCCCCCAACAATAGCGGTCCATACTTTCAGTGTCGTTTTGAAGCCATATGCATCAATCAGTGCTCGAACCATGAAGGGACAGCTGGTCCCGACGATATTCTTGCAAGACAGAACAATCCCATATGCCAAAGCACGGTTGCTGGTGGTGTACCATTCGCCGAGGGAGAGGGTTGTCGGGCTGTAAATCAAGGCGCATCCAAGCGCGGATAGGATTCCCTGAGTAGCAAACAGGTGCCAGACGGTAGTGCTGTAGGCGGAAAGAAAGAAACTAATGCATGCAATTACCGTCCCGCATAGAGCGGCAGTTTGGCGCCAGCGAGCCCAGCGTCTTGTGAATAGTGCGAAGAGAAATGGCATGGATAGGTACATGACGCCATTCGCGGTTGTGCCAATGATACCGGTAATGCTACGGTCGCCTTCGAATATCCAGTTTTCCGAGTAGTATTCTTGGAAGATACCATAGCTCATAGCAAAGCCTGTTGGTCATGGTGCATCAGCAGCGCAGTATCTCATTCATGTAGCCAAAGAACGTACCCCATATAGGTAGTTGAATTATTCCAGATCCTACGAGGACAGATAATTTCTTCCTGTTAGATTCTGCTTGTCTGGAGTCGATCTGCTCGAGATCCATGGTTCTTTGTTCGGCGTCTGAGGAGTCCAGCTCGTGGATCGCCGAAGCTCGAGATTCCTGGAGGCGGATCTGATTGGCATCATTCATCCCGAAGCAAATATTTTGTGAAATGGGCCCGGTTTATTGGATAATATGGACAACCTGAAGATTTATGAAAGGCGTAGAAGAAAGTATGGGAGATGACTCAGGTAACCGGGAAATGACGCCCCCCACGTGCGGGGAACGCCATAGCGATCTATACTATAAGTGGTCACCTCTTTTGAAGGAGGTAGAGTTGCAAAATCAAATATCTCTTTATTGTAGCGAGTGACTATGACACGACACCAAAAACCAGTACCAAAAAATGAGTTCCACCAAGGGTATCAACGTAAGTCGTAATTCGTTTACCTCATCATCGTGAGGAGAATGCGACGAGAATTTCAAAACAGATTTCATGAAACGAGCGTAATTCATTTGCGATGATCAAAGCTGCATCAATCGCACGAGTGAAAGCATTGCAGAACTGTAGAGCGTTGGATCGAGCGATCAAAAAATTGCTCCCTGGCTCCTTATTATTGTGACTTTAAGCGGCATCGGCGCCACGGTTGCGGCCCCAACGACGTCGGGTGGTGCCCTCGGTGGAGTCGCGCTTGCGGAAAGTGAACCAAATACCCTGGGAAATAATTAGCACTTATTATTGGGAGTTTGTATTGCGAGGCGATGGTACGTACAACGAGTGCGGAAACGAGCCAGACGATAGCAGACAGGAAGGCAAAGGCCTCGGCAGCCTTCCAGCGTCCGCATACATCGTTGCGGTGGCGGATAAAGTTCCAGTTCCAGATACCTCCACAAGGAAGCTGGTTGATTGTGTTGACCAGGAGACCGAAAGCAGCGAACCAGGCGAAGGAGATGAGCACATCAACTGGATCATGTTAGAATGTTTATAGACTTCAAATGATATGTCATGGGAAACTTACGGGGCCAGGAAAAGAAGCCCGATGAGAATGGAATTAGCCAAAGCAGGCCAAAAAGTATAGAGACGCCGGCCACGACCTCGGTGTAAATCCAGCGACCTTGGGGCCATGGCTCGATCTCGCGGAACGAGTGTAGGTAGTGACCGATGATACCGGCGACAACCTAGGTCAAATTAGAATAAGATTTGCGAGGTGAACCTGTTGACAAAAAATCGCAGACATACCGCAGCGAAGGCGATCTCCGCGATACGGAGGGGAATAGAGGCGAGACGTGAAACGACGGGCATGATGAACTTGAAGTATAGCCGGTTGTAATTCGTTCCAAGGTTGTCCTGATAGGAAATGTGAATGGCAGAGCTAGCCCGAGGCTTGATAGGGTACTAGTAGTAGAGCTGACTCGAAAATATTGAGGCTTGAAATAGAACTTGAAGTAGATGATTTGGAGGGAACAGAAGGAGGTATATAAAAGGTCGGGTGATTGTCACACAGACAGGCAGATTCCGAGCGAACGAGGGAGGGACCCGCTCTCCCAAGCAAGGGCCCACAAAAACTACCAGCCCATGAGAAAGTATACCCAAAAATAAAATGTCTAAAAATTGAATAAATTAGGAATAAACATTAAAAAAAGGGCAGCGTCGAGAATGCACCAAGGTCAGACCCACACCCTGCAGAGAGTCAATCCGAGACCCAGCCCGATGTCGTCAGATGGTCTTCTCCAAGCAACTAGTGTAAGCCGGCATGGCATACGAAGTACAGAGCTCAAAAAAACTCACCCGTTCAAGCAAGAGACAGACAGGTGCATGATTGGCCGCTATGCATAATTTTGCATTGGCGCCCAATCCTCTCCTCTTCAAAATTGTGTTCGAGAAGTAAAAAAAAAAAACAAGAAGAGGAAAACTCACGCTCCTCAAGGTTGGTTAGGCTGCTTTTTTTGGCCAACCCTGCGTGAGGATTGACCGCCGCTGATGCACTGAACTGTGGCTTGAGCTTCTTCATCCGATCGGAGCAAGGAGCTTCGAGCTTCTGACGCATGGTCCTGTCAGAATCTACCCCCAAGGAGAGCATGGGAGAGACTGTCTCGTTTCTGCCCGCCTCCCCGCAGTACATGTACTTCCGGGCTATCCCTGTTTACCTGTCCAATGACATTTGCATTGACTCTAACAATGACCCTGTTCGAGTTCGCAGAGGAATTCTCAGAGGACTTCCCCGGGGGATGTCCTGGTGATGCGCTGGCCGCGGAGATTAAGCACCAACCAAGGAAATCTCCCTTGAATAGGGCGTGTGTGGTGTGTGGCTGGTTGTTCCCGTGGCCGTTGTCGATCGTCTTGCGCTATTGACGATGTCCTAGTTGACTGGCTGCTCCACTGGGGCCGATCACTGCAGCCTGGAGCTCAGGCCATGCCGAGGACATTACATTGGATGCGCAGTTTGCATTGGCAAGTGATTCATTCCAACTTGCAAGGATGCCCACTTTTTGGGTCCTTCAGTCCTTGGTCCAGGAACGGTCTGTGGCGGTAAATTGATACAGTATGATGTCGAAAGTCGAAAGTTCAGAGTAAGGTGAAGCGTTCCTTGCCTTCATTTGCTTTCAGCCCTATGACGTGGGGCGAGGGTGGAGTGTTGTACAATGACAGCACCTGATGCCCTGGTAGCTTTGATCTCGGCAATACGTGCCGTCTGTTCGGATGGACAGTGCAGGTGTCCCTCACAGTATCTTCTGCACGAGCGGTCTCTCGTTTGAAAGTCTCGCCTGCGAAGCCAATGTCGGGTATGTACTGGGATAGACAGACCTTGTCGCTTCGGTGGCTGAGGCGATGCGTAGTCACCCCCACACATGATCGGGCGGTGCACCACTGTACCTATTGCAAGTTCTACGAATATAACGAAGTTGCCTATTTCTATTTCTGTCTTGGATTTCTTGGAGTTTTTGTTTTTTTTTTTGTTTGCCAGGAGGTAATATAGTATAGTCTTGGCTCTCATGATTAATGATACAAATTAGGTAAAGTCCACAACCCTCAGCACCACGCGATATCACATATACACACACCACGAGAGACCATACCCAGGCCATTAGGGGGGAGGATGGACAGGAAAGGATTGTATAAGAGGAGAAACATCACCACGTCATAGTTCAGTTCGGTCGTCCCCAGCAGAACGCGCTGCCATCTCAGACATGCTTCTGATCCTCTTCCAAGAACCAAGCCATCACGTTTTGGAACACGGACCGGGCATCGGTCTCGATGACATCTCCATGGCACGGAATCATTCTGTCGAAATCCCATCGCATGATTCGGCGAACGGAGGTGGCGAAGGCGTCGCGATCGTGAGGTGACAGGACGTACCAGGCAAACCGTCGCTGGCCGGTAGCAGGATGGGCCTTTGTAGATAATAAAGGCAGAACCATCTTGGTCGCAAGGTTTAGCGGCTCCCGATCCTCGGTCTTGGAGTATTGTTCCGTGGCGGGGAGGTTGAAGAGCATATCGGCCTCAATGACCGTGCGCGAAGGCTTGTGCAGGAAAACGAGCTCGCGCGAGCCATGGCCATGTACATATTCGGTTTCAAACTCAGCGTCCCACTCTGCCGAGATCATCGGAGGTTCCGCATCCTTTTTCCACACGTGCTCGAACTGGGTGTCTCGGAAATCTGCGTTCGACTGACGCTTCTCCCAAAGGCCCTCGGGTGCCAGGATTTGTGCCGACGGGAAAGCCTTCTTCCATGCCGTGATGTGAAGGTGGTGTTGGAGATCGGGCGCGGCGATATACCGGACGTTGCCGCCCAGAGAATCGACTTTTGCGCGCACCTCTGGTGTGAGGTTGACGGGGGAGAAGACGGCGAGGGAGCCCGTGGCTAACTTGACTGCGTCATGCAAGGTGTGTTAGCCCATGCTCGATTGATATGGCCAAAGCTGAGTCAAAAGGGGGCAAAAGTAAATGCCTCGAGGTGGCATGTGCCAGCTCTTCCATGCTGTAAGGGCCGACTTCACTTACCTAAGGTTCCCCGACCACCGAATCGCATAATGCCGAATCGTGCGAATGGCAGGCTCATAGTGATAACGTTCGGTGTTACATTGCGGATAACCATCAGTTCCGAGGGGTTAGTAGGGAAGAGTTGAGGCATTTTGGCTAGTAGTAGCTCGTCTGGGCTCTCCCTGGCGTTGAATGTCTCAGCTGGCAGTTGCTGGAGGTCGGTAGAAGTAGTAGGTTAGTGGTTGAGTGAACGATCGCAGGAGGATAGGTAGAAGAGGCAGAAGAGGTAGTAGATGAAGCGTGAGAAGTGTGAGAAGTGTGAGAAGTGAAAGAAAGTCAAGGCAGAAAGGCAGTCGCAGCTTTCAAATGGCTGCGATCGAGCTGGTGATGGAATGACGTCAGCTGACAGCGGTCTAGATCCACCTCCACTTTCTAATTTGTAAGTTAGTACTACTACAGTCTACTACTAATATGCTAGTAGCTCTGTCAGTATAGAAGAAGGATTATTTTGATGGTGTCTTTCTTTTCTGTGTAGTTGGAGAATATTGAACTTTGTCATAGGACATCGTGAGTTTTCTTCTTATGGAAATATCAAATAGTGTGACCATTCTAAAATACTGGATGAAAACTACCTAACACGGGAATACTGCTTTGTAGGCAGGTTACATAATGAAGCCGGGCAATTTGGCATGTATCAATAAATCTCTAAATAGTATCAATGGTCAAATTCTCGAAACGTACATTAAGATCATCGCCACCGTCTTTAGATGGCCTCGCGGCATAAACCCCAACCAAGCATTCTTCAGTCTCCGCGCCCTGAAAGATCCAAGTAATTTCGCGCTGGGGAATCCTGCGAGTTCCATCAAGTAGATAGATCCATAGGGTATCGCCCTTTTCTCTGATCATCTCCAGCGTCACCGATTTGCAGCCAGGAGGCACAGCCTGAAAACACCAATCCGAGCCTCGGTCTTTCGAAACAGTGCTCAAATGAACTATATCGTTCACAAGCTCGAGACCTGCTTTCACCCACTTGCGAGAGCCATCCTCTCCCTTGACGACCATGATAAGACCTCCCTGGTCATACTTCTGCGTCAGATCAGCATGGATGGTGACTTGGGCTCGTTGGAAGGCTAAAAGGGGCATATCGCGATGCAGGATTGGCGCATTGAATCTTTCTGTATTGGGTGGGTTTGACCATGCATCTGTCGAAGGTTGTGCAGTGACTGTGAAAGTATCTGGGAGTGATCCGTTCCCGGGAACGGCATCGGACGATTTGAGGAAGCTGAATTGCGACATGACGGTTGAGAATAGTATGTAGGCTTGGAGATATTCGGTGAGAACTAGACAGCAAGAGGAAACTAGGATGTGAAGGGGTATTTAAATAAATCTGATCTTACAATTATTTAAATGTAGAGCAAGCCGGTGAACTCTAAAGAACCAACTCGAGTGGGCTAAACTTCCTAATTAGGAAGCCAAGGCAGCTCAACTCAGGCACTCAGGCACCCAGGCATAAAATTAGAAAATGTTACGACGTACATCTCTGCCACAGTCATTGGACTGGATATTTGAAGAAAATCTCAAATCAGGTTTATTACACACCCTGATGAGTATAAGCCCTGATTAAGGTGCATTGCCCAACCCGATCTCCGGTGGCAACCGACCACGGGCAGTGTTAGGGCATTGCCTGGCAATACACAACTCCTCCAGCAAGTCACAGCTTCAACAAAAAAACCAATGAGGACAGTTATTCCACCGTGGCAGGTCAGAAACGAACATGAAACATTCAATGCTTCACCAATTGCAACACCTCGTCGATCATCACGCCAGATGACTAAGGCGAAATACGGGCCCAGAAGATATTAGCAGCTTGGCATAATGGAGTCTCCACGTCGTCTCTTCACGATCACTTCTTTCACTTCGAAGTCGTGGTCGTGCCAACATGCGATTGCAATTAGGACCGGTAGGCGAGAAACAAAGGGACGAGTCCCCACCTTCGCTCAGCTATTCCGACAACCCAATCTCTGCGCCCGAGCGGCGGCTAAACACGCAATATCAGGATGCTGAGCCTGAACCTGAACCTCAGGGCACGCGTGAGCCTCGCTTCAGCAACGACTCAATTGGCGATATAGAATTGGGCAATGTGCCCTTATTACCTGATGATTTTGACCGGGGCAATTCGTTTGACTCCACCCTCTCGGATTTGGATTACCAGCACCAGGATTTGCCTAAGTCAAGGGTGACGGCTCGCGATCCGCCGTTTGATTGCTCGAGCTCTTGGCTCTTTTATCAATGGCTTCGTGGGCCGGTGCCTCCCAAAATCTACCACATTGAGCCGTGGTTCCCACAGTGGCAGGCTGCGCCGGCGCGTCTGGTTGATCGGTGGGTGAAGCGGCCAACAGCCAAGATCGCGTTGTTGGTGAGTGTGCTCATAATTTGGATTGCTATCTTTTTCTCTTTGGTCAAGTCTTCTATCTCAGACCAAGAGATTTTGGGTTATGGACAACCGGTTAAACTGTCGTGTCACGCGCGCTTGTGGTACGTCAATCTCACCTTAATCGCCTTAAGATCGGGCTGGGCGTTTGAATCGGAACCGAATACTGATTCTTTGTTATTAGGAGCAATGCAACTGAATGCGGTCTGAATGGAGATCTTTGTCGTCCATTTGATGACCAGTCCTTCGCTTTTCGCTGTCCATCTGGCTGCTTAGCCGCCATCCTGCTCGAGCCCTACACTGTAGGCGCCGAAGAGTACAACTACCGCCCCCTTGTTGTCGGTGGCAGGGCATTTAAAAACAATGGCCCTATGAGTGGCCATTATCGTGGTGACTCGTCTATTTGTGCATCGGCTCTGCACGCAGGAGTTATCGATGATGCGACAGGTGGTTGCGGTATCCTCCATCGCACTGGTCTACAAGATAAATTCGAAAACGTGACAAAAAATGGAATCGCTAGTATCGATTTCCAGTCCAATTTCCCCATGTCCTTCAAGATGACTCGACAAGCCAGCTCCTCGGGATCCAGTGAGGCCAAGCTCGTCGAGTGCTCCGACATCCGCTGGTCTCTATTCGCATTTACTTTGATCGTGACGGTCATCCTATCCATGTCCATCACCTCGCCACCGGCCTTTTATGCCTCGATCTTCTTCATAGTCTGGTTCCAGGTGGCCATGGCATCCGACCCACCATCCTCGTCAGGCTACTACAGCCTCGTCTCGACAGGACTGGGTCGGTTCCTGCCAGGTGCCTTTGTAGGATTTGTTCTATACTACTTCTGCGTCTGGCGCACACTGCAGAACCTGGACGCACATATCGACAAAACAGTACTCTGGCTGGGCGGCTGCTGGGTTGGCGCCTTAAACACAGATACCTTCGACCGCATCCCCATCTCCCGCCTCACACCCCACGACCTCGAACAACAACCCGGCGCAATCCCAGCTCTGATAATAATCATCAGCTGCCTGATCTTCATAACCTTCCTCCAAGCCTGGGGATTCCGCTGCGAGGGCCGCTTCTTCTCCCAACTCCGCGTATACGGCGCTCTCGTCCTGGGGGTCCTCATCCTCGTCGCCGTGCCAAACATGAACCTCCGCATTCACCACTATATCCTCTCCCTCCTCCTCCTACCAGGCACAACCCTTCAAACTCGACCTAGCCTTCTATTCCAAGGTATCCTGGTCGGTCTTTTTATCAACGGTATCGCGCGATGGGGCTTCGACTCCATCCTCCAAACACCCGCTTCCCTACTGGACGGCGGGCGCCTAGGCACAATCCCTCCAAACATCGACCCGCCTCAAATTCCAGACCTGAACCACGTCATCTTCAATTTCCCCAACCTTCCACCTTCCGTCGACGGTATTGGCGTCGTCGTCAACGATGTCCTGCGCTACCAGGAGTTCAGATCCAAGGACAAAGACTCGATTCCTGCATTGGATTGGAAGCGAGAACACTCGGGCCAAGAGGAGTATTTCCGCTTTGGTTATGTGCATATCAATGCCCTTGGTGGCGTTTGGTATGAGGACTTCTCCGATCCGGCGACCTGGAGGGCTACCGGTCAGTATCTTATTCCGGGGCCAATACTACCGCGGCGTATAGCCCGCAATAGTTGGTTTTGGTTTAAACATCATGATAGACCGTGGTCTGTTTGGAAAGACATTTGTAGCACCTGATACATCGAGCGTTGAGTATATAGAACAGTGGGGGTTTAGCGCGCAGATAGAGTGTAAACCTATTTTTTCTTGCAAGGTTTCCTTTGGCCGTTTATTAAGATGCTAGTAGTATGAACAGAGAGTAGCCAGGGTTGAAAGTGTCTCGAAATATTGGCACCCGGGCAGTTCTAGATTACTATTATGTTCTTGAGGGCAGCCTTGGAATTGTGTTCAAATAGTATTCATGTTCAGGTATAGTATAGACAAAGTCAATATGACACACGCCACAAGATGCAGCAAAAGAGAATATACCCGAGAAGCAAACCCCATACACTCCATATGGTGAGTCTTTATATACCATGAGCCGCTGGAACCAAACGCCTGCCCGTAGATGCAATAGTGAAGGGCCAAGACAATATCAAATCAAAAAAAAAGTGAGACAAGAGGCTCTCTTCTTTTAGCCCTTTGAGTAATTACGGCATTTGACCTGGACGATGTTTTGCGTTCCGTCATCTTCGATGACAAGCGCGGTCAATTTACCACCTTTCACACACCCAGAGTCAAGGCCCTTAGTATATGTGCGAATTTTGAGCGAGGTTTTGGCGTCGTGGCCGTAGATGACGGTCATGAGCTCGGAACGGGGGTCTTCACTTGATGACGAGAGACTCTTCTCCAAGTTCGACTGGTGTTTATTAAACATCTGTATCATATTAGCACGAGTTTTCTCGTCAGCTTGGAATGGACATGTCTTTCTCACCTTGGCCCATTTCAGACCTTCACTCGATTCACTCGGTACATGTGTATCGACATCAATGGTTCGCATCGTCATCACAAGAGACGGATCTTGCCTCTCAAGCTCAACACCCGGAACAATACCAGCATGAACAACAATAACCTGGCCCATAGTGGGAATCTGGCCGACATTCAAAATGACCGGACAAGTCCCCAACCACTCCGCCTGTTCATCGCTCAAAGCGCGAGCCAAAGCGCGTTCCTTCAACTGTTTCTCGGTATAAAGATTGATGGCCACATCTTGCTCTTCCGCGAAAGTCTGTGTATCCGCCATTTCCTTCCGCAAAAGCAAAACTCGATCTTCGTGGTTTCCACGCACACACGATGCGGACAACTCTCGCGCCATGTCCACAACACCGGGACTATCGGGCCCCTTGTTGATCAAATCGCCCGTGAAAATAAGATGATCGCCCCCCTCGTTGGAGAAAGAGACTTTCTCTAGAAGCTCAGACACTGTACCACCATGTCAGTCAGCACTGTGCACACTACCGTCCGCCGATTCGACAAAACAAAACCTACATTCATCTTTGCACCCATGTACATCTCCAACAACAACCAAACGTCTCCGAGTCCCCGCACCAAGAGTCTCCACATCAACAGGACCACCAGGGAGGAATTTCGGGTCAAGAGTCCGAATGAGAGTCAAATCATCAAATCTCGGCAACGCATTTGTCCCAAACCACCCAGTCGTCTTCGAATCGACGTCCAGAGCACGAGTCATCTCCGCGCGGTCCTGCAGATGCGGCGAAAGAACCAGGCCCCAACCTGCCCAACCAAGTAGAAAGAGTGTCAAGTATATGATCACGTATCGGCGGAATCGTGGCGCCGCGATGATCGACAGGCCCATTTGCACCCAGCGCGGGTGATTGTCTTCGTCTGCGGAGGTGAGAGGGTGGTAGGCTGGGGAAGGGGAGGGGGATTGCCATGCATTGCGAACGGAGTCGATCAGGGGTTTCGAGACGCGGGAGAACCCGTTGGTGGAGCGTTGTCGACCGTGGTGGTGGAAGGAGTCGGGATGGCGATTTGGATCTTCAAGTTCGTATTTGTCCTGTGAGGCCATGATCACGACTGCGCAAGATGAGTCGACATGGGATGAGATGTCAAGAAGAAGAACCAGACCCACGGAAGAGCGGAAGAGGGGAAGGATGGGTGTCAGACGTGGTGCTTGGCAAAGACGCAGTTGTCAGTTGTCAGTTGTCCTTGTTATCCTTGGCCGCATTGGACCTGGGGGAGTGTTGGCGGCCTCGCGGACTCGGAACTGCCACCAGACCCGCTTGAGGCGTGTGGATCACCGCTGATCGACCCGCTCAGCCCATAAGGCTACCATATTACTACTCAAGGATCGTTGAATTGGAAGTTCAAATTAAATGCTCTACCAGTCATTGGATCATAAGTTATACCATATTATCCCATCTACACACATCACCGGTACTGCTCTAGCTCATCTGCCTCCTGTCGTCGCAGGTTCACCCTTTGCAGCACTGTCTCATCATAGAGCTCCTCGACCTTTTTACCTTCACGTAAAACCTCACGTTCGTGACGGGTGGCCTCATCCTTGGTCATGCAAACCAAATCCTTGAGCTCTATGGGAATATACTTTTGTCCTTCTTTCGCCATAGCTGCGTCCACGGCAAATCCACGCGCTGGGACTTCCCACGGCATCAGCACCAGGCGATTGTATAAGCCACTGATGGCACTTCTTCCCCTCCACACTTCTTCCGTCAAGTAGGCAATATCGTCCTTGCTTACTGGCAGGCGGAGACCGGTGGGGTCTTCACCAGCCATGTGTCGGTTGAGCTTCTCCATGGCACCTTGGAAGGAAGCCAGCATACCATCGTACAGCTTCTCCCGGCCCTTCGCGCCCACAGTGTAGTCGATCGGGTATCCTGATACACTGCAGATGACATGGTTGGCAACAGTGTATCCAAACACCGCAGGCATGGTTCCCAGAACCGGAAGAATGCGCACTCGGAAATCGGGGAGAACACCCAGCTCGCCAACTTTGCCCTTGGCGAATTCATCCTCAGGAAGAGGCAGTAGACTAGCCTTTCCAGGACCGGGCTTCTCGGTCGAGAATACTGTCGGAATTCCAGAGCTAACGCCCTTGGCCTTGAGTTTGCGGCGAGTGCTGCGCGAGAGAGGGTCATCCGTGCTGGCTGATATATCGCCAACAACGACACGAGTCGGGTCTGATTTGCAGCCTGCCCCCATGGACGAGATGACTGGAAGCGAGTTGGTGTGACAGTAGTGTAGCAAGTCGACCTTCGACGTGATATTGTCAATGCAGTCGAGCACGTAGTCTGGTCGTCGTCCCTCTCCCTCGTGTGTCAGAGTCCAAGGTCCAAGGAGAGAATCAGCTGCCTCTTTGCCGAAAAGTTCGTTGCGGCAGTCAAACATGACCCATGGAGCGATTTGCTCCAATCTCCTCCGAATACAGTGTACCTTCGATGTTCCCACATCAGCCAGTGTGGCCAGCGCATGGCGGTTGAGTGATGATAGTGTGACTTGGTCAAAGTCGATGAGACGGATCTTAGCCACGCCTGAGCGAGCCAGTGCGGCAGCGGCATGCGATCCGACACCACCGCAACCCACAACAACGATGTAAGAAGATCGGAGCTTCGCGAGTCCATCGTCGGTGAGGAAAACACGGTTCCGGGCTAGTTGTTCCAAGATCAGATCTATTCATCACGTCACACTGGTTAGCTTCATTGCTTCGTCCGGAGAGGTGTGAACAACAATACCATCGTCATAGTCGCCTTTTTGCGCCCGGCGAGCTAGAGCCGCGCTACGCTCATCCTCCTTGCTCATTGGAATTCCATTGTCGGCGATACCAAATTCTGTAAGCTGTGATTATCGTCAGCATTATTCCATCGCGAATTTCACACCCTGCAATCCCCCACAGGAAGAGCTTGGAAGCCTTACCTTCTCCGCATGGTGCGCTTCGTCAAGGGTCGGAATAGAAGCCTTGAGGTCATGAACAGCCTCGTTCCGCTTATAAGCCTGATATCCAAAGATTGCACCAGCGACTGCAGCTCCGGAGAGCACGGCGGTTGTCGCAAGCTGATTATTGGACGAACCAGCCTGGCGATGCAACCACGAAGTCATATTTCCAAGCACGCCTTTCTCTTCCGGCTTTGGTGTATCTCGTTCTCGCTCTGCGTCTCCGTCGGGAGCTTCTCGGTCTGGGGGAGCACTCGGTGGGGATTGCGCTCAGGCTGGGCAAATCTAGCATCCAAATCGTCAGAATCAAATCCATAGTCGAGATCACCTTCATCAGGTGCCTGCCACCACCTAGAGCCTGGGGGAGCCATAGTTGAATCTGACAGCGTTCAGATCTGGGCAGCACTCACCGTTCTTAGGGCCGGGTAATTGGGCCTCTATTATAAGAATGCGCTTCTGCAGGCCATGTGCTAGCACATCGGTTCCACCATTGGAGCGATTCGGTTGCAAAGCGGTGAGTCCGAAGCCGCGGCCCTTGAACGCCAACGTCAAATCCGACGACGCGTTTCTTTTCTCCGCAATATCTGCACCGCAGGTGAGTCTTCGCAACGGCTGGTTGGAATGGGAAATGGTCGCAAGCTGACAATTTTCTGCGCAGATCTGGAAAACAAAGCATCACTGCTTTTTTCAGCCTCAATGACGATAACCATCACAAGAGCTTCTCACGACACGTCCAAGAAACTTGGATCAGGCGGCGGAGTACATCCCTCAATGGCCTCGCTGTTGCTCATGTGGAAGTCACGTCTGCTTGTTGGTGGGTGACTGAGAATATGAACAGAAATCTAAGAGGCTTTCTCCAATCATCTCATGGTAGCTGCGAAATGGCCTGCCGAAATGCCCGGCCCGTCCAATGTTGACGTTGGACCTCGATGCCAATTGTACCTCTGATGAGCGTGTACATACAGTATCTGATCGACAAAGACATTAATCAACGACTTACAATGTAGCATTAATCATCCCGACCTGTTCGTGCCAATCTACGCCTAGAATACATTCGAATTCTTGGCATACGGCACATCGCAAAATCTAGCCCTAACCACCAATTCTTCACCACACTCACAAGCCCACCCAATGACGAGAATCCCCCGTCTAGCAACTACTCCGAGGCAATTTATTTTCATTGCTCCGTCTGTATACCCCACGAGGGCAACGGCGTTGAGCATGCCGGTGACGAGTGACAACCAAAAGGTAGTTTTCAATCCGAGGGTGCGGCATTCACATTCACTATTTGATCTATGAGAGGCTGGCACTCTTGCAACTTTCAATCTAGCCAATCAATTCAATTTACCGCGTCATGTTTTCTATTGTCTTCCATTGTTCCTGCCATTGTCGCTGGCGCTTGAAGTGTGCGTCACTGCCAAACCAATCAAAACTGTTTCCCAGTGAATGTTGCCGTCAAAGGAGGAAGGCACGTCCAAAGTAGGAAGGCACGCGAAGCCTCCATTCGGCCTCGCTTCGCCCATGCAAACAACTGAGGGCGAGTCACCCGTAGTGAGGGCTTATAAATACCCTCCCCTTCCCTCAGATCTCTCTTCTTGTTTCTTTCCTCCTTCACACCTTTTGGTCCTTGACCGTCGAGCGAGGATGGTTCATTCTCTTCCCCCTCCCCCCTCCTCACCTTCGACTGCCCTTGAGCTGGAGCTCCGGCCTGTGACCTCTGGTTGCGCTGATCTTTCACAGTTCTCTTTCATACACTTACTCGACTGGTGTACGACGACAATCGGGTTCTTCCTCCTCGACTGGAAGATCTCGACGCCAGAAGCAACGGGTGGTTGGGAGGTGCTTCATCTTCGACTGGAACGACAACCGCCGGGGCTCCTCCTACTCGACTGGAAGCGACAGGACCCGTGGACTCCTTCCTACAGCGTCTGGAAGAAGGGCTTCAATCCATGGACAAGAGCCATTGGATAGCAGCTGTTGGATTCAGAAGTGTTGGATTCGGAGGTGTTGGATTCGGAGGTGTTGGATTCGGAGGTGCACCGGCGGGGGCAAAGTGGGCGGCCTCGGCCTCCACGCTCTGGCATGGGGTTTCCTTCGGTTTGATTCCTGACTGCCCAGATGAAACCAAACTGTCACTGATAATGAGACTGGGACCCTCTTCGGAGGGTTTACGCTGGGCTCCGGTGATATACCGCCAAGTGCTTTACAATCTGAGGGCAGTCGAGAATCTACAATCTTCCTTTCCTGTTTCCCTTCTTTCTGTGTTTAATTCGAGTCGAGAATACATCTGTTGGTCTGGGATCGTTTCCATCTTGTAGTACTTCCTTTTCATTGTAAGCACGAGTAGCTTTGGGATCTCCTCATGTTCTCTAGCAACTGCTTCTGCCCCGAATTTCAAACTCTCTCTCCGCGGCACGCCAGTATATGCTCAATCCCCAACATAGACGAACGCGGTGCACGCCACGACTCGGCGACGGTGCGAGCTCGCACTCCACCTACTCTGGAGTCTACGCGCGATTGAAGAGATCTTGGAGATGAGAAATGAACATTCAATTCAGCTTCTATCAAAACACCTTCCACCTTGCGAATATGCCCATGAACCAACCATGCGCGGGTATCATCGGTTCGACAAAGCCACGAACGCTCAAAACGCCAGATGCAATGCTAACACTAACAAGCAAAAACAGACAGATCTCGCCGCACCCTCCTCAAGACGAAACACTCGAGGTGGTGTTGGTGTTAGAACTAGAATTCGTCGTGCTGTTCCCAAAAACCTCGAACTCGAGAGACGACATGACAACCGTGCTGTTCACGGCTCGAATATCGATCGCCGACGCATACATACATCTCCACCCCTCACAATTCGCATGAAAAACCATCTTCGTCCCATCCTTCGAGATCGTTGCGCCGCCGGGCGCTTGCAGACCGAAATCCGTCGTTTGGAGGAGTGGTCGATCTGCTCTGGTATAGGGTCCCTTGACGGATTTGGCGTGTGCATATTTGACATTGTACCCGAGGGAGGTGAAACAATGCGACGAGAAGAAGAGGAAATACGTTCCATCAGCGGTGCGAATGATATCCGGGGCTTCGACCAGCGGTCCATCGGAGTCATTGATGTCAAGGATGGTCGTTGGCTCGCCAACTTTCGTGATGCCGTCGCTTTTCAACTCTTGCAGCATTATCGGGACGGGGCTTCGTGGGAGACGGCTGTTACCGCAGTATCCTCCGCTGCCGACGCTGTTCCCGTCGGCTTTGTATACGACGTATAAGGTTCCGTCGCTGTCTTTGAAGGGTGATGGGTCGATTGCGCCGCCGTATTTGTGTGGGCAGGCGAGGGATTCGTTGAGAGGTATGTATGGACCAAGCGGGTCGGTGCCTTTTGATACAGCGGCTCCGATGCAGTGGTGTGTTTTGAAATCTTTTGTCTGACCTGCGTAGTAGATCACGAACTTTCCATCGTCCTGTGCAAATTGTCAGTCCAGTATCACTCCCGTGGTTTCGAGGATTTATCCCACATACCCGTTGAATCACATCTGGTGCCCAGTGGTTGACACTACGTTCCCAACCGCCGAGAGTTGGCATCGCGTCATAGTCGTGGTGCAGAGTCCAGTTGACAAAGTTGGTAGACGTGGCCACGGGGATGTGGATAGCGTTCGGATCATGCTTCTTGGGATTCGTTCCATAGGCATACCATGTACCGTTGTGTTCGAGAAGACCGGGATCTGGGAAGTTGTGGATGGCGAAGACGGGGCGATTCTCCTTGATCTTGTAGCTGGGGTCGTCGTGATTCGAATGATACAGATGGTATGTATCTCCCTGGTCCGGGTGCTTCTTTCTCGTGAAAATGATCGGAAGAGCGATGACGATGGCCACTAACCCGAGTCCCACGAACAATAGTGCACTGAATATGCCAATTTTCCCTCGCGACCAGGGCCGCGCAAAGAAGCCCTTCTTTTTCCCTTCGCCTTCGATATCCCCCGGCTGCTTCGATTCCAAGGCCGCATTGCTTCCCTCGCTGTCTGACAATTGCCCTGTCGAAGCTTCGCGGGCATTGTGTTGCTCAATCGTGAAGGAATTCGACATTGTGTCGCGCCGAATGAACCACGACTGAGTTTCCAATGTTTGCTTGAGAAGTTGGGCAAATTTTTGACGGAGATAATCGGCGGGCTATAAATAACTTGGAAACAACGACGCTACCAGGTGTGTGGCTGTGAAAGAACGAGCGAAAAAGGAAAAGTGTACACAAGTAAGAACGATGCTGCCCATTGCAATCCACTGTTTTCCCTCCTTCTGAGCTACCTGTGCTGATCCCGGGGTCCAAAAGGAAGGAATAGAAATAAACTACATGGACGGGGTGAGCGACTTTATTATAATAACCCAGGGAATAGGAATGCCTAGAGTATGGGGGCGGCTCATGCGAGAATCAAATTTGAAACGGGGATTGATGGGCCGATCATGCGACAGGATTGGCTAAAGCAAGAGATACCAATCTGGACCCCCCGACTGTAAGGTTTTGATGGGGGCGTGGGGCAGATGCAGGGCCATTCAGACTGTGAAAAGTCTTGGAAAAGAGGGGTCTTCCTCTTGATTGAGGCGCAGACGAAATCACACCAGTGTTGACGGCAATGAGACCATCAACCTTCACCAAAGGGAATATCCCTTGGGGGGCAGATGGGGCGATTTCATACTGGAGATACTCCTACGATCGCAGCTGGGACACCCGCTGACTGTGTCGGCGAAGAAGCTAAGGCTAAGGCGCAAGGAGAAACCGAGTCTTTGCTAAGCTTTTGTGGTCGGTCCATGAGGAGACGACCGGGCCAATGGACACGGCGAAAGATGACTCTGTCATCCATTCTTGCCGGTGGGTTTCAATTTAGTGCGGGCCCCTGTTGATCCACGCTTTGATCTCTCTCGTTGCTGTGTTGACGCTGTTCCGTCTGGATAGCTCAGATGCAATCGAAGAGCAAGGTATTCTTTATTGAGGAGATCTTTGCATGAGCGAGATTATTCCGATTGACGACTTTGGGATTCAGTCAGCCCTCGAGTATCTCCTGCGTCTCTTCTCTCAGTCTGCTGGTCCATTGGGAATAACTCAGGGCTCCCGGAAGTGTGGGGAATCGTGGCGTCTCTTCCACCGCTTGCAAGTGCCGGGACCATCAGGCAGCATGATTGAATGATCGATGTACTCCGTACAGAGTACGGGGCACGGAAGCATTGAGGGAATTTCCATTTAATGTGGTGATCTGGTCTTGCTGGGCCACAGTCAACCCTTCCTCGATGTCGAGCGTGATCGCACTTTATCCTAGTCCCCCTGCATCATTATCATCATCCACCTCGGCAAACCAGACTCCCCCATCACCTGCCATTTCAGCGGCAGCTCATTGCGCCCAGAAGGTGGAGAAGTATGAGAATTCGTACGTTCTATCGTCTTGGACAATAGGAGGGTCTTGATGCTCAAGTTCCCCTCGGCGTTGGCGGTGACTTAAGGAGGCGCGTTAGAGCTGGTTATCATGTTCGACAAGAAGTAGGTCATTTGTGCAGTTATCTGCATCTCGTCTCGTACTATTCGGTCAGGGCGACCGTAATGGAAGTAAATGAGATCATTGGGGTGCCGTCTGCCGTCTGCTGGGGGCTGAGGACAACTTGCGCGATGGAACTGCCGCTGTTAAGGCGCAGTAGCCGATGTACTTGTAACACATCCGTTAACTAGTTTCCCACCCGCGCATTGATTCTTGGTGCACATTGATTATCCTTTCAAGTTCTGATGTCGGTATAGCCACTGGCAGATAGTGGGTTTTCTGTCCTATAAAAGTGTCTTGGATATACTTGGCGGTTTTCTTGAATGTTAATGGGGCTATCCTCGATATATATTAAGTTATCTCTTTCTAGGTCCGATGTTGGGTAATCTGGACTAGTCATGGACTCCGAGTCGGGCTCTTGCTAGGCAATCCATGAGCCTAAACATGCAAGTTAAGCACTGTTACTACCGCCTGGTCAATGCTTCCACAAATAGCTTAGAGTTCTCGAGAGTGCAAGCAACAATATCTGTGCATAGTCCTACTAATATTTTCTTCTCCCTTTTCTATCTGTTCCATCTGACCGGTCCTCGGCGTGAAATTTGCATCCAGATGTCCTTGCGTACTAGTAACTTCACTTCGACCGCGCGAAATAGCGGGATCGGGGTCACCACAACTTGAATTGCTGAATCGTGGTTGTTTGGGAAGTTTTGATGTTAGCGAGAACTGTGAAAATTACAAGGCTATCATAGTAGACTATAGTAAGAATTAGTACTGTGTAAATAGTAGTATTTCCTGGTTATACCTAGGTAGTAGTAGGCGACCGGTTGCGTTCCCTACATACTACTAGTACTAGGTATTAGTTAACTAGTACCTAGGTACACTTTGAAGTTCAGCCTGCTGTTATAATGGGAATAATCAAATAGTATATATGTCTAGGTTTGTAGAGAATCCTACTAGGGATTTACGATATGTCCATTCCCAGATTTTGGAATTCTGACCGCTCGTCGCTTAGAAACAAGGTATACGTCCGGTGGCGTCTATCGGCCACCGCACCTATTGTCAACTTAAAGTCAAAGCTTTGGTTTCTGTTGCCTCGTGCTAGTGTGCGTGCATAACCGGAGCTTGGCTGGCTTGGCATTCCCAGATCGACGAAGCTTGTTTGACCAAATGATTCAAGTTCGCAGGGGCCGATTGTAGTTTCTTCAAATAAAATAAGGCCAGCTCTTCCGAATACTAGTACTTATATAGACTAGGAGCTAAATATATTTTGTGAATTCTACATAGTGCCCAGGTGTGGCATTAGGACCGGATACACGGCTCAGGCTCATCATCGGTGAAGAAGCCCCCTGTGATATTACCGCCTAGGTACCTGCTGGCCCCTGCCCTAGTCTGACACCTAGCGTAAATGAAGAGTCTCCAGGAGGAAACCCAAGGGTGCAGATGAATGTTTCACGTCTTCGAGAAAGGGCCGATCCCATACCTAAAGGGGCGTTGGACTACCAATACTGCGCAGTGACGACGCAACTATCCGACGCCAGTCACGCTAGCAAGCGCCTTCAATCAGAGAACAGACCGAAGAAGACATCCATGGAGAAATGAGAGTCACCGTGGGGTTGCACGATTCAACTTCAATAGGAAGCTCAGGATCAGCTTATCAAACTGCTGTGTTGAGCCTCGTATCTGTCTCCAATTCGAGAGCGATCGCCCCCGGGGCCGCAATGGCGCAATCGTGGGGAACAACTTAAACCAGATGGTTCAGATATCACCAGCTTAAACAGCCTTGTTCACAAAAAGGTGACAATGAGGGGACACTTGAAGAAAGATGCCCCAAATACTCGTAATTCCGTAGTCTCGGTGGCTGCAAGTGCGGGCCACGTGAATGGGATCCACCCAGCAAGATGTCGGCATACGCAACCTTCCCAGGATTCGTCCACTTTCAACTCTGACGGTGCTGACTAGTGTGTTCACGAGTGAGAGGGAAACCATTCTGGCTTCTTTCTCATTCGAATCCTTCTATTTTTCATTTTATATATCCCCCTGTGGTCGGCCCCAGGTTCCTGATCCATACTACCGTGTGGTACCTCCTATTTCTGTTTGCGGCGAGCGTCGCATTCTGGAAGACACATTTACTACCACGCTACACCCAGCCCCAAGGAGAATACCGCCATGCCAATTCTCCGATCGCCTGAAGCTTAATCTCAGAACGCATACCTACGATCCTGTCCCGGCAACCTAATTGCCTCTCGAATCGCATCCCTCTTGAGCCGAACCGAACCAAACCCGACTCGAATCGCCGAGCTTCGCGCCTCGCGCCTCGCCCTCCCACGCCACCCGCAGAGGTCCTGGTTAGCAGCCCGACTCAACGGTGCGCGTGGCTGTCGATATCCTGACAGGGGGGCTAGGAATTTCGATCTGGTTGCACGGTCGCACAAAACCCCGCTGCCCACCATGCCGACGCTCCGAAAAGCCGTCTTCGCCGTTATCTGCCTGGTCGCCTTCGTATTCCTCATTCGCTCGACCCGGCCAGCCACTGACATTCCCGGGGTACCAGGATACAAGCCTGTGCAAGATATTTTTGCAGAGGAACAGGAATTGCTGCTCAACCCGAAAAAGAAAGCCAAGTCCCGACAGCAGCAGCTGTTCGGCCCGGCGCTAACAGCCCCGTTGCGCGATCGTCTACGCTACCAATTCCCTTACAAACTCGAGCCCCATTTTCCCGCATATATCTGGCAAACATGGAAGTACGCACCGTCCTCGAGTCGATTTGATCGGGACCTGCGCGAGGTCGAGGCGACATGGACGGAGATGAACCCATATTTCACCCACCAGGTGATTGGCGACGACACCCAGCGCCATCTTATCGAGTATCTCTACGGATCGATGCCGGATGTCTTCGAGGCCTATGACTCCTTACCGCTGGCGGTGATGAAGGCGGATTTTTTCCGGTACCTCGTACTGCTTGCTCGCGGTGGAGTTTATAGCGACATCGACACCCGAGCACTCAAGCCTGCCCATTACTGGTTACCAGAGGAACTCGACCGCTCGACAATCGGATTTATGGTCGGTATTGAGGCCGATCCCGATCGACCGGACTGGCATGATTGGTACTCACGTCGCATCCAGTTCTGTCAATGGACTATTGTCTCCAAACCGGGCCATCCGATCCTGCGTGATATGGTCGCTTATATTACGGAGGAAACGTTGCGCATGAAGAGAGCTGGGATTCTCAAGGTCGGCAAGATGGATAAGACTATCATGGAGTTTACGGGGCCCGGAGCCTGGACTGATGCGGTCTTCCGCTACTTCAATGACCCGAATTACTTCAATATCGTGCCCGGGGAGAAGAACGTCACTTATGAAGACTTCTCCGGCCAAACTACCCACCGCAAAGTCGGTGATGTGGTCGTCTTGCCTATTACGAGTTTCAGCCCTGGTGTTGGACAGATGAACGCGGGTGATACCGATCATCCTATGGCCTTTGTAAAGCACAATTTCGATGGTAGGTCATCCACCCATTTCACATCTTTTTTTTCACCCGAAATCATAGTCTAACCATTTTTCTTTTCTCCAGGCACGTGGAAGACGGATCCATCTCTATGAGGCAAATTCTTAACACTGCTGTTACGCTAAAAGTCCCACCTGTCGCCTTCTTGGATTCTTTCCTTTAACAATACCCTTGTCTTGCCTTCCCGACGAGACACCCACCCCGTACCTGGCCAAACAAGGAAAGAATCCCCTTGTTTGAGCATCAAGCGACATCTTGCCGAGTCAAAAACCGCGAGATTCTACCGACCACCTTCCTCTCCCCCCTTCTCACCAACTGTGACCATTCTTGTCCTTCTGGATATCGGGCTGCAAGCGGCCTTTTTTGGATACGTCCCAGGCATGGACGATTTATTCATCATGGAGCGCGTCCATGTTTCACGATCCGTAGTACATATGATTCCCATACTTATTATGTTTTATAACCTACCCCTTTTTTGTTTGCTCCAAGCTTATTGCTCTATCGACGTTTCAATGACTAGATCGAAGAACCTTCCGAGGTTTAAGAATATATTTTTATCCTTGAAAGCTCGACTTTGAAATCTTCCAATTTTAGAGATGATACTACTAGTACTAGTACCAGCCCTGGAGTACAGTACTAATAGCCCTGGACTCGGAGTTCAAGTTAAAGTTACTACTGCCCAAATGGTAGTACCGCCCGTGACCACTGGCACCTGGGCAGTAGTAGTGGTCACCGCGCGAAAATCTTCTGGGATCATGGACGGGGAAACAGAATTGGAGTATCTCCGAAACTGAACTTGAAGTAGTATATATATACTTGTCGGTTTGTGCAATCATTCTACTAAGCATAAACCCAACAAAAAACGTGAAAAAGAACTTGAAAGAAAAAAATAACACGCCACTTGATTATTGCGTCCCTGTCTCCGGACTTCAAAATGCCCAGACATAGCTGTGGCATTCTTAGACAGACCGGTCGATGATAGATCAAATCCGAAATAGAATCGCCAATTTGGGGGCTATTCGATAGACCGGGACTATCAGACTTGTGAGCAGGCTAGGCGGTGACTTCAAGATAACGGCAGAGTGTAGAAACATTGCACTCAGTCATATGAGAAGCGTGAATTCCCTGATTTGAAAGTGAGAGAAGGTATAATCCAAAGAGATTACCCTGGGGTATAAGGTATTGTGCGAGCGGGGGTATTGTAGGTGGATAGTCGCCATCCAAGGCGAGGGTAGGGAGTATCGGGTCAAGGGTGAAGTTGCAGACTTTCCAAGGTTGATAATAGCCCAACGAAAGGAAAACTGGAGGTGGTCTCGCATTAACCGGCTATAGAGACGCGGGATGATGTACGTTTCTGTGTCCATAAAGCGACGGTGACAGCGACAGCCCGATGGGTTGTTCGGTCTCAGCCCAACCCGTGTTGAAAAGGGTAAGTTGCTGAAACGAAGTATATGCACGAAGCAACACGTAATAGAGAAGATGAGAGAAGGAGCCTCTCTTTTTATCAAAAGTCGCTGAAAAGAGGCTCAAACTTCTTCTTAAGGTCATCGGTGTAGAGGTTTTGATTTCGGTTGTCGGAGTCCGGGTATTCTTCAAAATTACCCGTATCCGCAGGATGTGATACTCGGGGAATGATCGGGCCTTTGACTCGATGATAGAAGAGGTCGTCCCAAGCAATTCCTTGGAAGAAAGGGTGGGATTTGACTCGAGCCGAGCCCCCCGAAATATAGCCCAAACGCTCCGACGGATTCGTTTTACAGAGCAAAGAGACAATATTTTGCGCAGCGGGGGGCATGTTCGGTGGGAAACGCAGGCGTCCCTCGACAATCTGTTCGTAAATACGCATTGGACTTTGGTCCCAAAATGGAGGTTGCCCTACAAGAAACTCGTAGATCAAGATTCCGAGAGCCCACCAATCAACAGCCAGTCCGTGGCCGCTGTTATGAATGACTTCCGGAGCCAAGTATTCCGGAGTACCACAGAGCGTGTAGGTTTCGCGGTTGTGTACTTGTTTTGCGAATCCGAAATCGACTAACTTGATATGGCCATTTGCGTCGAGTAGGATATTCTCCGGCTTTAGGTCGCGATAAGCCACCCCTTGTACGTCATGTAGGTATTCGATAGTCATGGTGATTTCGGCCGCATAGAACTTCGACGTTTCTTCGTTGAAACGTCGGGCACGTCGGAGATAGCTGAATATCTCGCCTCCGGGGCAAAAATCCAACTGCTAGTGATTAGACTGCTGCAAGAACCCGTGGGGGCTAGGAGTAAGACTAGATAAGAGAGACCCAACGTACTAGCATATAAAGACATTGTTCGTCCGAGAAAGAGGCGACGAGGGTTGTGATGAAAGGGTGTCCGACTACTGCGGCGAGGGTTTTGCGCTCGTTGCGCACATGTTCAACCTGCTTCAGCTTGATCACTGTTTGGTGATAGATCGCAGTGGTCAGCGCTGGCCCTGAGGGTGGTCGCATGCAGCTTTGCGATAAGGACCATACTAACCATCAGCCTTGCGCAGAACTTTCAGCGCATACACCTTGTTCTTGTCCGGTTGATCTTTTAGTCTTGTGAGGGAAACTCGAGCGAATGTGCCTAGCATGTAACCAAAGAATGACGGTGAGATTCTATCAAAGACACACCATGCGGCTTGGGGAGGGAGGAAGGGAGTTCAGACCTGTGCCTAGGGTCTTCAAAAGGACAAAATCATTCACATGCAGACTTCGCGACGAGATCGAGAGCTGTTTTTCCTCGCGGCGCTCAGTGACAAGAAACGGATTTGCGGATCGCTGCGGAGGACGGCCGGATTGAACGAGGTGCTTGTCTCGCTGGTGGGTATCGCTGGGGCGCATTTCGTTGGATCTTGAGGCGATAGTACTGCCTTGCAGATCACTTGGTGCCGAATGTTGGAGTGTTCCGGTGGCCATTGCAACAGCAGAGCATAGTAGTCTTCCCTCCGCGACTCGGACGGAAGATTAGGCAAAAAAAAGAAAAGTATAGGAGCCCACCCGGTTAGCGCGCCACCAGTTTCGTGTCGGCAGCCAGCTTGATCCGGGGGTGATATTCAGACCAAGACAAAGGTCATTTGCAGAATAGAGATCCGCTGAGGTAAAAACGCGGAGAAGAATGGGAGGAGCCTTTCACAAGAATCGCGGGGCAGAGGAGATGGCAAAAGGAGAGTTCTGCCAGCTCTGACGTATTTCTATGGGGGCGGGGCTACGCTCTTTCCTAGTTCAGTCCCGAGGTGAGCGAGAACGAACGAGAACGAGAACTACGGTGATAAATCGGAATCTTAATTCTTTGGGCTGGGCCCCCTGCTATTCGTCCCGAATTTAGTATATGCGAACATGTGGCCCCCTTATAATACATCCCGAGAAAAAAAAAAAGAGAAGAGTGAAACAAGAGTTAAACAGCAATAGAGTCTTTGCGATTCCAGTGCCAGCCAGCCCGGATCGGGATTTAGGACCTGGACCTGGATCTGGGTCTTGATCCTGGTCTCGATCTTCTAGCGCGCAGGGCCCTCCTGTCGCCAATACGCTGGGTGTGACCTAATGCGATCTACCTGTGGACGGGAATCATGCAAGTGCGCGAGAGGGGGAAGCGATCATATAGAAGGCATTTGCGAAATGATGAAAAGCGCGCGCTCAAGACTTCGAGTTCAGGATGAGACCAACAATCAAACTAGTATCGAGTTAGCATCATGGTATCACAAAGGACCTTGAAGACGGCTTATTCCGGGGACTTCTCCTCGTCCTTCCTCTTCTCCAGCAGACATACCCATAAAGACCAAGAACTTCGCCGAAAATCAGAATCAAGATCATGCCCACATAGACACGGGATTGTTGCATGTAAGCCCGAACACCCTAGTAATGTATTAGAACCCAAATATCTTGCGTTTGCGATCTCGGAGGCAATGGAGGAGCACATACTGCATCACCAACAATTCCAATCGTGTAGCCGGCCGCGATACCGGTCAATCCGACCGACAGGCCAGCTGCGAGATGCATAAACGAACTATATCCTCTCCGTCAGCCACCAGTCCTCCACTTCCGGGTTATTTCGTCAACCATACGTGTATAAGCTCAGGTTATTTGTCGGACTCAGTGCTTGCGAGATAAGAACGGCGACGACGAGACCATAGACTGCAATGATACCGGACATGACGACGGGGATGAGAGACTGCAGGATCGATCGAGTTGGTCAGCTTGTGTTGCATCGGAACCCCCGAGAGCTGGATTTGCTTGCCTTCATGATCAAGTCAGATCGGAATGTGCCAACACCTGCAATACCAATTCCGGACTTCGCTGTGCCGTAAGCTGCTCCTGCCGCTGTGAAGCTGTCAGCTGCGTGTCCCCATCGCTCCCAATCAAGAATCGACAATTCCACGATCCACCAAGTTGAGAAGCCACATACATCCGAAGACCATCTTCACCGCCAGTCGTTAGCATTCAGTTTATCGAGTCAGAATCGAGGAGTGTCGGAACTCACTGCAGCGGCAATGCCGGCCTAGAGGTCGTCTGTTAGTATAGTTGCACGGAAGCTGGAGCTCATGGGAGACCACTCACAAAGGAGAAGAACGGGGCGAACTTGGGAGCGAGCTCGCTGTCCGCCATGATTGAGGATGTATTGATGTATCAGATGTTGTGAGGAAGCTTGAAAGAGAATAGAGAGGGGGGGGAGGAGGAAGTAGGGTGGAGTGGGAGGTGTCCTTGAAGGTAAGTAAGTTCAACGTAAGTCCCGACTGTGTTGCTCCTGGCCGCTGCTGCGGTTGTTGCAGAGGGTCACTTGGCCCGCCGTAGCGCATTGCCGCGCTTCTCTTCGGGTATGTGACAATACCATACCACCTCCCTCTCCGCCTTGACCATTCCCCTATGTATGCCGTATCATGGGCGCTAGTAATGGTTATACCACCCGTCAATACGTTTACCTCCTCTCCTGGCCGCTGCTGGTTTCCCCCCAATCTATCGCTGCATTTTCAACAATCACCTCCCCTCCTTCTGTCCTCCTCCCCCCCTCCGCCCCCCCCACTATCCACCCACTCCAACTCTCTCTCCATTTCATCCTATTATTCTCTGGGCTTAGGGGAATGCTGAGGGTATGAGATATCAGGGAGCCCTGACTTTGTTGTGCTCACGGCTCCTGGCACTCGACCTTTAAATCCCGCCAAACCCCCCCCCCGTTTACTCCGGAGGGAAGCTATCGACTTACTGATTGCTTAAATACGACTCTCAAATACTCTCACTAGGAATCTTATACCTCAGTGAGATCGCCGTTATCGCCAGTCCCCTTCATTCCCGTTGTCTACGATCTTTGAACAGAACTCTTGCGACGCCCTGAACGCTCTCTACGATCGACCCGGATACCCTTTTCTACATCCATTTCCCATCCTTTCACCATACAACATAGACATCGTCGCCCTTCGAACTTGGAAATACACATCTCTCTCGGTTGCTCGCTGGTGTGGTGAACATGGCGGATTTGGGGGGTCAGCGTAACCGGAACTACCGGCCCTATGGCCCTGCCTCGAATACACAACGAGATGCCGCCTTCAACGATATATTTGGGGGCGTACCTCAGGGAGGGCGCTCGCAGACTATGAACTCGCAAACCCCACAGTTCTCCCAGGGTCGTGCTCACACAATGTCGTCGCACACCGTGCAGCCCCAATTCCAGAGGATGCCACCGCCGCCAACACGACAGGTCCCGAATGGATACGGACCGCCGCCATCTGCGCCGCCAAATGGATATCCTCCCCCGCCGCCTTCCGGGCAATACCAAGCATACAATCCTGCGGCTGGGTCTGGGGCCGCGACAATGTCGTCGCAACCACCACAACAGCCGCGACCGTACCCGGGAGCGGGGGACGTTTCGCTTATCCTCGACCCCAACGCTTGGATTCTAGACCAGGCCCGCCACCCCAATATGCGGATCCGCGGGACCTGGGTCGGCCGATGCCCCCTCCAGCCCTAAATTCAGATGCGACGAGATCTCGATCGATGGCGAAACTCAATGGACCATCCTACCCAGCCGTCCCTCCTCCCGCCCCACCTAGCAATTTCAACCACACCTCCGCGGCTGCCTCGCGTCGCGAGCCTTACTACTCTGGATCGAGTATGACTCAATTGGGCCGGACGGTTCCAGAACGACATGGCAACGAGCGAGCCATGTCTATGACCACCTATGCGACGGAACGAGAAAACCCTCACATCTCTTCTAGTGGAAGAGCGATCCCGTCTCGACGCCCACCATCGGGTGGTCATGATCCATTATCTGCGGCGGCTCCGCCCCCAGTCCCGGTCCCGGTCCCACAGCGCTTCGACTCCATGCCTGCCGATGTATCAACCGTCGCCGATAGCTATGCCAAGCCTCGTCCGCCCAGCGATGCCTCAACTCGATCTCGCACGATGTCAATGGCGTCGACGATCATGCCGGACCGCACAATGAGCGTCCAGAGTGGAGCAACCCAGAGCTCGAATGGCCAAACGACCCTTGTTTCAAGCAATTCGCATCGAAACAAGTTGCCTGTCGTTTATCCTGCTCTGCTCTCGCGTGTCGCCGACGTGTTTCGGGAGAAGGCCCCATTGGGTGAACGACAGAAAAACGGCCTTTCGTACCAGAATGCTTTCTCCGGTACCGATGCCGTTGATCTGATTTCTCTCATCATCAGAACCAATGATCGCAACCTTGCCCTGCTCCTCGGCCGCGCATTGGATGCACAGAAGTTTTTCCACGACGTTACTTATGACCACCGCCTTCGAGATGCCCCCGGAGAAGTCTATCAATTCAAAGAGACCATAGGCGAGGACACTGTCAGCTCGGAAGTTAATGGAGTGTTCACCTTGTTGACTGAATGTTACTCTGCCACCTGCACACGCGACAGTCTATGCTACTCCATTGCTTGCCCCCGACGATTGGAACAGCAATCTAGACTGAACCTCAAGGTTCAGCCGGTTCTAGGAACGACTACCAAGGGCACCTTACCCATTGATGACGACGATGACAATGATAACCAAAAGTTGTGGATCAACATGGTTCCGAAGGAAGTCTCCGACGCCATCGATGACAACGAGAAGAAGCGACAAGAGGTTATTTTTGAGATTATGTACACCGAACGCGACTTCGTCAAGGACTTGGAATACCTTCGAGATTTCTGGATGCGGCCCTTGCGTGCCGCGGGCCCCGGGACAACCTCACCCATTCCAGAGCATCGACGGGAGAAGTTCATTCGAACTGTTTTCGGTAACTGCTTGGAGGTGCTCAAGGTCAACGGCGGCCTCGCTGAAGCTCTGAATTCTCGCCAAAAGGAAAGCCATGTCGTCAAGTCTGTTGGTGATATCTTCCTCCACCATGTGCCCAAATTCGACCCTTTCATCAAGTATGGTGCAAATCAGCTCTACGGAAAATACGAATTCGAAAAGGAAAAGTCATCGAACGTAGGCTTCTCCAAATTCGTTGATGACACGGAGCGTCTGAAGGAGTCCCGCAAATTGGAACTGAACGGTTATCTCACCAAGCCAACCACTCGATTGGCTCGATACCCCCTTCTTTTGGGATCAGTCTTGAAGTATACAGCCGACGATAGTCCCGATAAGGAGGACATTCCGAAGGCCATAACCTTGATCAAGAGTTTCCTGTCCCGTGTTAACGCCGAGAGTGGAAAGGCCGAGAACCACTTCAACTTGGTGCAACTCAATGGCTCGCTCAAATTCAACCCAGGAGACTATGTGGACCTGAAGCTTACTGAAGAGAACCGACAAATGCTGACCAAGATGGCATTCAAGAAAACCACCGCTGAAAGCTCAGAGGTGACGGCATATCTCTTTGACCACGCAGTCCTTCTTGTTCGGATAAAAATGGTGAACAAGCGTGAAGAATTCCGAGTGTATAAGAAACCCATACCGCTTGAGCTTCTGGTCATCCCGCAGATGGACGAAGTCATCCCCAGGGTTGGAATTTCAAAAAGACCTTCCTCCAGCCTCTTGTCTAACAAAACTTCCCCGCTGCCTCCCCCCGCCAAGGACGGCCAGCTGCCAATCACCTTCCGTCACCTTGGCAAAGGTGGTTATGAGCAGACCGTTTACGCCACCTCCCCAACTCAGAGGAGAAAGTTCATTGAAATGGTCGAGGAACAGCAAAGGAAGCTTTGGGAGCGGAACAGCAACTTCTACAACAAGACAATTCTCAGCCAGAATTTCTTCTCTGCTGTTAATCGGGTGAATTGCTGTGTTCCAGTTGATGGTGGACGGAAGCTGGTTATTGGTACCGACAGTGGCATCTATATCTCTGATCGCTGGCCTAAAGACAAGGCGGCCAAGCCGAAGAAGGTCTTGGAGGCTAGCCAGGTTACGCAAATCGACACTCTGGAGGAATATCAATTGCTGCTGGTTCTGGCAAACAAGACCCTCTCATCCTATCCCATGGATGCTCTTGAGCTAGGAGAGGACAACAAGAATGCCCTTGCCAAGCGCCCGAAGAAGATTCAAGGCCACGCCAATTTCTTCAAGGCAGGTATCGGTCTCGGACGTCATCTTGTCTGCTCGGTGAAGACTTCAGCTTTGTCCAGTACTATCAAGGTCTACGAGCCGATGGACAACCTGGCCAAGGGCAAGAAGAAGTCTGCTGTCAGTAAGATGTTCCAGAGTGGCCAGGATACTCTCAAGCCATTCAAGGAATATTATATCCCAGCCGAATCTTCTTCGATCCACTTCTTGCGATCTACCTTGTGTGTTGGTTGTGCTCGTGGTTTCGAGGTCGTCAGTCTTGAAACCACCGACACCCAGTCTCTCCTGGATCAGGCCGATACATCTCTTGATTTCGTTGCACGCAAGGAGAACGTCAAGCCCATCCATATCGAGCGTATGAACGGAGAGTTCCTCCTCAACTACAGCGACTTCTCCTTCTTCGTCAACCGCAATGGATGGCGCGCTCGTCCAGACTGGAGAATTTCGTGGGAGGGTAACCCGACGGCATTTGCGCTTTCATACCCGTATATTTTGGCATTCGAGCCCAACTTCGTTGAGATCCGCAATGTGGAAACGAGCGAACTGATTCATATTATGACGGGAAGGAACATTCGCATGCTACACTCTTCCACTCGCGAGGTATGTTGACCATATGGTTTCCCATCCTCACTCAATCATGTACTAACCCATTTTCTTGCAGATCATCTATGCCTATGAAGACGAATCAGGCGAGGACATAGTTGCTAGCTTGGACTTCTGGAGCAAACCCCAGAACCAAATCTAATCTCGCTGAGTAGCTGAGCATCCTCCGTCTCGCCGCTTCCTCTCAACCTACTCCTGCCGAGCTGCCATCCCAGCCCTGTCTAGCCCGGTCCAATGGCTTCGTCTCTCCCTCTCACCTCTCCAATCCCCTTCACATCTTACCGAAGTCCAAAAGAACATCTCTGTCTGGAAGACTCATTTTCCATTTTGTTTTTGTTTGTACAATGGAGCGCAAATACCACTTCTTGCGTGTCTGCTTTGTCCTATTTTTCCTCCGTCCTACTGCGGTCTGCGTTAACCTTTTTGTTTCTGTCGTTGCATTTTTCTTCTTCTTTTCTCTCCAGATTTCTTTTTGCCTTCTCTTAAAATTTTATTGATTTCTTTCCACCCCCACATTGATTTTGCCTTCCCCCTCCTTTCCCCTCCGCATGGCCTGCGAATGTATTGACCATGTCTTGTTTTTTTTTTTTCCTTTTAGCTTTTTCCTTTAACCATTTTTTTCTCTCTTTCTTTCCTGTACTGTTGAAATTTTTGAGGTATTCCATTACTTCCAATGCTATTGATGTGGAATGCTGTGCTTTGAACCGGTAGATCATCTGTGGTAGCTTGAAGATATCAAACACAATACATAATATGGATTTTGATTTCTAAAGCTGCAATCATGTGTCATGTTTCAATGCTGTAGTGCATCATGATGTATGAATCTTACTAGGACTATCTATTGGATGTATCTATAGGGGCAGAAGAGCCCGCAGGCTTGCCACTACTAGTAGCCAATACTCCTATTTCTCTATCACATGTGACCAATCGAGTAGTGAAATTTAAAGGAGACTACATACGTACAGATACAGCATATGCACCTATGCAATGCAGAAAGCCAGAGAATAAAGCAGATCTACGTGTCCAGAACAGAGCGAGACCAAAATACTTTTTCTTCCTCATTGAACTATAGAACTTGAACTTGGTGGGGAGACCACGGGGAGGGGGGAGGCGGGGGATAAGTTGGACATGGAGCCAAGAGCAACAAAAAGATACAAAAGAGAAGAAGAGGGAATCTTGGCTGCGCTGCGGGACTTTGGACAAGGTGACAAGGGGACAAAATAACGAGATTTTCCCAGGACGGATGGGGATTGATAGGATAGGGGGTGTGGGGGTAGGTGTAAGACAGTGTGCAGAATAATTAGTCCCCGGGTAAAGCGAACAAGGGAATGAGCAAGGAAGAAGGAATGATGGGTGCTTGCCCCAACCCGACACCAGGGTGGAAGATGTGATTGTCCATGGGTTTGACCACTGAACGGCAGAGACAAGAGGGGAAATGGACCGCGAGGTCAAACAGCAAGATCATCACCGAGACATCTGTATGGTCTTTGTCTCTCCACTTGGAGAACGGGGAACATGAAGGAATGGTTGTGCCCATCGTCGAAGCCGGAGCGTTGCATTCTATGTTGGGAATTTGTCCATCTCTCCACAGAGACACCAGAAACAATGATAAGGAGAGCAAAAGAAGAAGCGAAAAAGAAAATAAAAAAAAGCTATTAACGTGAATAAACAGTCAATATTATCCCCATAAACAGAAACCAACTTCGTGCCACGAAGTCCATGATATTGGCACAAACGGTATCACATTGCGAACCGGCGCCCCGCTGAATGAGCCGCATTTTCGACAGGGTATATCTAAGCCTCTCCTCCAGGGGCCTCGCTGACATTGCCCTGGCTGGCCTCGCGGGCCATGCGAGCCTCGATCTCTCTGAGCTGGCTCTCGCGAGCCAGCAGCTCCTGCCGCTTCTCGGCAATCTCGCGCTGCACCTTGATTTCGATCTCGCGCAGCTTCTCCTCCTCGCGGCGGAGTTGCTCCTCTCCTTGAGGCGGACGGACTGAGAGGCAAGGTCCTCGGGGTTCATGCTGGAGTCGCCACCTCTGTTGGTATTTGTTAGCATTGGTTCATATAATGATATGTGAGTGGGTACGTACGGGGTAGCACCGTCCACGCTCTTGCTGAGCTTCTCGGTACGGTAGTTCTCGTAGAGGAAGTCGTGGGTGATCTCCTTGAGATCGGCGAGATGGCTGTGGAGCAGGGCGCTGCGAATAGCGAGGAAGTCGGAGTGTCGGGGATTCTCAACCTCGACCACACCCCATGGGTACTGACGAGCGCGCACTTTCTTGTTATCAATCTCAACGAAGTCCTCAGAGCCAACAATGGCAAAGGGCATCAGTCCACGGAGTTCAGCATTTTCCTCAACGGTATCCTCATCGTCCTCCTCAACATCGTAGGGGAAGTTGTAGACGGGGATGCGGTAGTGCTCAATATCTTCCATGATCAACTTCTTGGACTCGGCCAATTCTGCGGGGGTGAGGGAGTCGGCCTTTCCAATGACGGGAATGACGTTGACACGCGGAGACAGGCGCTTCATAAGTTCAATATCGAGTTCACGGAGACCGTGACCGGTGGGTGTGATGAAATAAAGGAGGACGTGGACACGGTTGTCTCTGAAGCGGGGGTTACGCTTGATTCGGGACTCCTCAGCAAGGATATCATCGTATTGGCGCTCGAGGTAGCCGACAATCTCGCCGAAGCTGTGAAATGGAGCGTTAGTAAGGATGATAGGGTCAATTTCATCGGGCAGGGGTAACCCGGGTCAGGGGACATGCCTGGCCTCATTGTCAATCTGGTCACCGAAACCGGGGGTATCAACGATAGTCAGGGAGATGCGGGTTCCCTCCTCATCCAGCTCGAGCTCTGTGATACCGGGATGGTTAGCATGTGAATGATGGGTCGGCGCGGGGGGGAAATTGAGACGATTTGACTTACCGACGGTGACGGGCTTGATGCGCACACCCTCCTCTTCGTGGGCGTGCTCTGGGTCATCAGCGTCCTTGCCCTCTAGCACTTGCTTTCCGCAGAGGGTGTTGACAAAAGTTGTGCGTCCTAAGTAGAGTTGACGGTCAGCGAACAATTCGGAGAGGACACTTTCGGGGGTAAACGAGATGAGATACGTACCGGTTCCGCTGGCACCGCAGACCATCACACAGAACTGAATACCCTTCTTGACATTCTTCTTGCGACGGATCTTCATCTGCCCACAATGGGGACATCAGTTAGCTTCTCGAACTTTTTTTCATGGGTGAAGTATGGGGGCAAGCATTCGGGAGGAAATAAAAGGGGAACATACCGCGTTGAGGGCCGACGACATGGTGGGCTGTGTGTAAAGAGGAGAAACTCGTTGAGAGATTGGAAGGGAGGAGAATTCCAAAGCAAGGAACCAACGGAATGAAAAGGTGAAGGTGAAACTCTCCTGAGGATCTCGAATGGAGAGAGTAGGGGGGGTTGAGGAGGGCGGAGGAAAGACAGTTCCTCGTCGGTGTTTCCCCCTTTCCCTTTACGGGCCAATCACGGGACGTCCTGCTCCCCAGCTCTCCACGACCAGAAGTATTTCACTTTATGATCAATTGAATTTCAATATGGTATTTGTTTTACGAGGGCAGTCTTTGCATATAATAGAAAACAATAATTGAATTAAACTAAGATAAATACTACGTACCCCTTTTTATTCATTATTCTTTGCCTCGAACTTTGTACGGAGTACTCCGTACTATGGGAGATGTTATCACTGGCATTTGTTGACTGGTCGTGCCTGCCCTTTGCACTCAGGGGCGTGGTGGGTCGCTCTTGCTTCGACTCGATCACTTATTATGTCAGCATTCTGCCTCCCGCAGCACACCGCTTTACCCATTACACCGCTTCCCTTATTAAGAGAAAGAGAGGCGGTCAGGCGGTCCAAGCTCCCATCGTCCCCTCCTCCACCGTTGCTTATCGCCGATCCACGGGGAGAGCTTAGGTACCCTAGGTCTTCTTCCCCATGACCACCTACCACATCGAAGGGTTTGCTCAACACCACACTTCCACTCCCCACTCCTTCCAACTTCCATGCTCCTTTGACGGGAGGCAAGTGACTCTTTGTTGCCCTATTTGCAATACTTATACCTCCAAGGGCATTCCCACTTCCGATTAACCTCCTATCGCGCCTTGTACTCACGTCATGCGGCGCGATCATGAATACCCGCCAGGTTATCGATGAGTCCGTCGGACCCTACTCCCTGTCGGCAACTTTCAACAATGACAGCAGTTGCTTCTCAGTCGGATTAGAAACGGGATTTTGCGGTATGCTATCCGCTGTTGGTTTCCAGTCTGTTTAGATTGGTGGGATAAATGAACTCGGGCTAAGACGTGCTTCTACCAGTGTTCAACTCAAATCCGTGTGAACTCAAGGTTTCTAGAGGTGAGTGAGCCTCTTTTTCTGTCTTGATACAACACCATATGCTGATGCAATCCTGGACTGGTGCACTAGACTTCAATGCTGGCATCGGTCTCACGGAAATGCTTGGCCAGTCCAACTATCTAGCCATCGCCGGTGGGGGACGAAACCCTAAATTCCCTCAAAATAAGGTATGTCCTTCGGTATCTTAATACCATCCGGTCTAAATCACTTTCAAAAGTGAATACACACTAATCAATATTCTCTTTCATAGCTGGTAATCTGGGACGATGCCAAACAGAAAGCCGCCATCACTCTCGAATTCCAAACCTCCGTCTTGGGAATCGGTCTCTCCAAGTCCAGAATTGTCGTCGCGCTGTTGAACAGCATTCATGTCTTTGCCTTTGCAACGGAACCGAAGAAACTCTCTTTCTACGAAACATGTGATAACCCGCTGGGTCTTATTTGTCTGGGAGACAAGGTGCTGGCCTTCCCTGGAAAGTCCGCCGGACAAGTGCGCCTGGTCGAATTGAAGACTGGGAATATCAGCATCATCCCGGCCCATAGCTCTCCCCTACGCGCGATGGCTCTCAGTCGGGATGGGGAGATGCTGGCTACAGCGAGCGAAGCAGTACGCACTCCGCATTTATTCTTTGCATTGTTTCTCACGCATGGTCAATGGAACTAACAGTCATTCAGGGAACTTTGATTCGCATATTTTCTACAGGAAACTGCACGAAATTGGAGGAGCTGCGACGCGGTGTTGATCACGCAGTAATTTTCTCTGTCTCATTCTCCCCCTCCAGCTCTTTACTCGCGGTCACATCCGACAAAGGCACCCTTCATGTCTTCGATATACGCCGCCCGCCTCACTCTGGACACAGCAGCCAATCCCCGGCCCCTGCGCCTGAAGAAACCACGAGCCATAAGTGGGGGTTACTGGGCAAATTCCCAATGCTCCCGCGAGTGTTTTCAGATACGTACTCTTTTGCCAGCGCGCACTTTGCGATGGATGGTGGGGCATCACAAGAGCAATCATCGGCCCGGCCTTCGCCATCAAGCGGTCGATCACGGAAAGGGGTCATTGGCTGGTTGGATGACAATACAATCCTGACAGTTGGCTCCGGTCGAGAAGGGCGATGGGAGAAGTTTATTCTTCGTGTTGGTGATGACGGGGAGCGGACTTTCAACCGGGAGGGCTGGAAACGATACCTGGGTGGGTGAGGTCGAGCTGCCGTTATCTCGGCCCATCGGAGGCCCTTTGTTGTTTGTAGATAGATACCAGGCTTCCTGTGTTCCAAAAAGGGATGCCAAATGTTCTGAATTCATGAAAATTGTACACATAGCCAATAGTTGATGTTCGTAGCGCAAGCTCAAACTTGGGTATATCCATTTATGCGAGAGCTTTTCAGCGGCGACGGTCGTCTCTGTCCCGATCACTGCGGTGTTTGCGAGATGGTGGTGAGCGAGATCTTCCTGGGGTTCGATCCCTGTCTCGTCTCGACTTGCCCTGTCGTCCCTGTCGTCCCTTTCCGTAGACCGGCGGCGCGGCCTTCTCTCGCGATCTCGGTCTGACGAACGATGGCGCCGGTGCAGCTCGGGGGTACGAGAGCGATGGCGGCGGGAATGTCTGCTTGAACGCTCCCTGCTGTCATCGCGGCGTCGAGAAGATCTTTTCTTCTCGCTCTGATACCTTTCAATGGCGAGCGCAACTTCTTCCTTCTTTTCTTCAATAAGGAATTCTTTCATCGGGTCTTCCTCATCATGGTTTTGGATCAGATCCTGCAGTTCCTTCTCTTCCTTGAGCATTGGGCGCTGTTCTTCCTTTTCTTCTCCATGGGTTATCCGTTTTCGCCGACTGGACCGATCCTCGTCGTCTTTCTTGTTCTCGTCGATCGCCGCATCGCCCATGAGTTTAGCGACATTGTCGCCTTCCTCATCGTCGTCGCGTTTCTTGTATCGTGTATGGTCGACTCGTAGCATGCGTCCCATGACGGTTGCTCCGCCCATGTTATCGACTGCCAGATCTGTACTGCGCTGGTCTTCATATTTCAGGAAGGCGAATCCCCGACTTTTGCCCGTTTCTTTGTCGCGGACTAGATTGATGTTGACTGGTTCACCGTACTGAGAGAAGATTGTTACGATGTCGCCCTCTGACAGGTCAAACGGCAGTCCGCCGATGTAGATATACGCGGTGTCTCGGTAGTCTGCGTGCCATGACGCTTCCGGAGGTCTAGACAAGATGCGCAGGTCGGGTTAGCTTTGGATATCGTGGGGGAAAAGACAAAAGGAAGATAGGAGAAGAAACTGGTACATACACTGCATTTTCCAGCTCGAGCTTATTGAGTTTCTGGACCTCGCGAATGGAGTTCATGGTGGTGGTGTAGAGGAGAAACTGAGTCAGAGAAGAGAAAGAAAGTTGAAGTTGGGTGAGGTCGCGAAGGGTTCCACCCGGAGCATCTGCGGAACCGTAAAATCATCAATTGTTTACTCGACTCCGGAAACCCCTGCTCCCCACCCCATCCTCCGTGACGTCGTTTGGCTTGCGACCACTACTGGACACTTCACTAGATTGATTGGAAGGGCCTTCTCGTCCCTTGTGCTTGTGGCTTTGTGCGAGTGAAGCTGTCCTCTCCCTCTCCCACCTCCATCCCGCTTTCTCCAGATTCCCCTGACCACGCAGCGCGCGCCTGGACGACACTTCTTTCACCTACGCCCCCTCCGCCGCCACCACTCGGATTTGGTACTTTCTTGCTGCCTTGCGCCTCCTGTTCGACTTTCGCTCTACGCTGCTGGTGCTTGGAAAGGGTACATGCGACCACCTTGACGCATGGTGGGACTAGAGCAGACAATGTCTTCCAGTCCGACTCGCGGATCTAAAGCACCTGGTGCCAACAGTCGGCCCACGAGTAAGGATGGCTCAAAGAAGAATATTTGGTCGTCGCTGCTAGACGGCGTTGCCAATGGAAAGCGCCTACCGGAGAAGAACCTGTTGATCTTAGGTTCGTGGATGGCCCCTCTGGAATACTCCAGGATACACTACCAGCTCCCGCTTGGTATTTGATTTGTCAATCAGAACTGAGATACTGACTGTTGAACTATAGGTGGCACTCCAGAAAGCCAGCGAGAGTTCCTGGAGACTTTCTCCGCAGATACCTCCGCAGACCCCGGCTTAGTGAACGACAAACGGAAGGGGAAGACCCCTCCCATCGCCAACCAGTTTGCTCTGGGATATACATATCGCGATGTCCTTGACGCCGACCGAGAAGACACACTGGCCCGCGTCTCGGCGTACCTTTTGGCTGAACCCTCTCCGTCATTCGCACCTCTAATCAAACCCCTCTTGACTCCTCAATCCATCCCCGAGACCCTGGTTGTTATCCTTTTGGACTGGTCGGACCCCTGGACCTGGGTCCGGCGACTGAGAGAATGGGTTCGCCTCTTACGCTCCGTGCTTGTCGATCTTGACGATGATACAAAGCTCGTGATGGAGGAAATTATGACCGAGTGGCGCGATCGCAAGAGAGGTATGGACGCTGGCTCTGCCGCAACGGGCGGCTTGTCAAATTCTGGTGGCCCGGTCACAATACCGCTGGGACCTGGCGAATGGGATGAAGGGCTGGGTATCCCAATGTGTGTCGTTTGCCAAGGAGTATGTGAACCCTATACAGAATCAAAACGTTCATTGGAGGTAGAATAAGCTGACACGCAAGCTCCTATAGGCGGACAAGATCGAAAAGCTGGAAAAAGACCACGGCTGGCACGAAGAGCAATTCGACTTCATCCTGCAATTTATGCGTACTCTCCTGCTGAAACGTGAGGTTCCCCGAGGCTATTTGGGTATCAAACTTCCAACTCGACTCAATTCTAACCTTTCACAGATGGCGCATCGCTCATTTATACCACACCTTTCCTTGCCAACTCTCTCCAGAGCTTGATTCATTCCTCGCTTGGTATACACTCTCTTCTGAAACGACAGTCATTAAAACACAACGTGATCGACCGGGATAAGATTCTGGTACCAGCCAACTGGGACTCCTGGGGTAAGATTCGGATTATCCGCGAAGGATTTGACATGGAAGGTGCATCAACCGCATGGTCCATTGAGATTCAAGATGCCCCCGAGCCACTTGACCAACCGGCAGCCCCGCAAGACGACAACGCAGAAGCCGACGACGGCACGAGTGCGGTGACGGTCTTCGAACAGACCATCCAAGACCCTAAGAGGGACAATACGATCGCCCACTCCAGCACCACCAACGGCACAAAGGTTGAAGTCGAGACTTCCGACACGCAGGGATTCCTTACGAAGCAGGTCGAGGTTCTCGAACAGCTCAAGGTAGACGATGAGAAAGACCGCTCAACTCAGGAAACCCCTCAGTTGGAGATGTCCCCTATGGATGACCAGGGCAAGGTCAACGAGCATATCGGTCCGGTCCAGTTCAATATGGGCGGTATCCAGGTAGATGCGGATGACATGCTCAAAAAGCTTCGCGTAAGTACATGCCATGCCAACCATGTATAGAAAACTAGAAAAGCCCTCTCTAACATAACCTACCATGACCGCAGGACCGTGAAGCCAACCGGACTCAAAGAAAGGAAGGTCCTCCCGCAACCCCAGGCGACGAGAAAGCACACAATCAAGCATTGGCAAACTTCTTCGCGGGTCTCGTCAAGAAGCCCAGCAGCAGTCCCCGCGGCAGCCCATCTGCTTGATTAACCAATATTCTTCTTCTTTCGTTTCCCTCTCGTTTCCCTCTCTCTCTCCCTCTCTCTATCCATACACTACTTCCTCTGCTTGGGCTGTATTTTACTATTTTCATGAGCGTACATATTGTGGAGGGGGGGCGGTCTTATAATGGACCTGGTTTCTGATACAGGAAGTGGATTGAATGTGCAGGGCTGTGCATAGTTGTTTTCCTCCCCCGGGGATTCCGTGGACCTTTGCGGCGGGGTGCTAGATAATGATACCAATATGAGTCGTTTTTCTCAATATTTGCTTGATCCCGAGATATCTTTTATCTAGAAAATGGTGGATGTAGTATGTTCTTACTTTCCAAAGTTGATACTTCAACAGCACTCGTGTATATATGGCTTTTCTGCAAAGTCGGCTTTAACGTGTCGCTCGGGAACAGGCTCTCCCAAAGCCGTACTCAGCCACCGTCTTCTACTTGTAAGCTCAAAGGGCAATACTAGTACTGTTCGCATTCGCATTCGCATTCGTTTTGAGAGCTCAACATGGTCACATGACAATCATCCAGTCCTCGACAGGATTTTCCCTAGTTTCCTTCGAGTCAGATACTAACACCCAGTCTTCGCATGGAAGAACCCTATCGTCAACACCGTATCACTTCGGGAGCACGCTCTCCCGAAAGCTGGCTAAGCTTCCATGAATTTGAAGGCAATATTCGGAACGAGTATAAATATATCCGTTCCAAGGTTGACGGTGCCATGGGACTACCCTTATTCCCAATCCAGCCTCCGTGACCCACAAAAGCTATGCTGCACTGGCAGGTCAAAATAAGCCTTCCGCAGTTTGCCCAATATGATCAGGTGGATCTTATCTGCCTGTTTCCACCACTCAAAGCCCCATATCCTTTTTCCAATTTCATCCTAGCAGCCATGCGAACCACCTGGTACTGTTCGGATGGCTGGGGCTTAGCTACGAATCCCTGTGGTCGAATATGGTATTCAAGGCCAGGCATCGCTTTGAAATCAATGCCAGGATTCTCATTATCGCGGACAAACTCGGATATCTCCATCTTCCTTACTCCCAATAGTTGGGTCGTGTTGAGTAGAGCACATCAATCAACTCCGTAAATTTTGTATGAATGACAATCAGCCAAGGTATCGACAATACGCTCTGCGACACCGCATTATTCGCTTGGCTCTTTTTTCTAGAGGTACGTGAATGCTGGCCTTTCGCTCTTCGGTGATACATTCGCAAGCCCGACCATGAATTCTTCTGAGGTAGGCAAATCCAAAGATAACCAGAAGGTTCGTTATATTTTGCCGAAGACCGGAATATGGTTTTTGACCACGTTAAAATCTCAAACCAAATGCCCAGGTGCGAATGCGAATGCGAATAATGCCTCTCGGCTTAGATTGGGCCGGGTTTCGGAAGAGCGTGGCAGTGTACGCGAGGGATATACTTAGTAGTAGTCATGACCCTAGGAGTCGGTTGACGTAATATACTATCCACTGGCATGGACAATACAATAAGCGCTGTTTAGACCAAGAATTATACTAGGTAACTATTATTTTACATATAAAAATATTGCAACACCCCCCCCTTCTGTCAACTTGTAGACTCCTCTTGTCTTTGAAATACTGCATACATACTAGCTACGCTATTTGTCTCAACACCATTATCCTTACCATTATACCGACCCAGATACACCAAGCAGCAACACCAAACCTAAATAACCTTGAAATATGACAAGAGACAACAACAATAAATATCGATTGCAGGTGACGGCAGGGCCTGAATATGATCCAGCATGTCATACTATTGTTCCTGTCAATCAGCAGGAGACTGTGACTTTTGAGAACGACCGGGCTTTCGTAAGCCTTTGTGTGAAGGTTCAAAATTATAGAGGTAAGCGACTAGTATTATATTTTTTCTGATACTCCTACGATGACGGCAAGAGAATCATAACTAATTTTATCATCCATCAACTACATAGGTTACCCCGAAGGCTCTCCTAGCACAAACGACTATTTTTCCTATCCTCTCCATAAAAACCAAAAATATTCCATCGCATTTTCCTTCCAACCCAAGAAGGCCATTTCAGGCGATAGTCTAATCTTCGGCAATGACTTTGACAATCCAATCCGAGACCGCTTGCCTCCCGGGCTTAACACAGCTCTACGCATCGTAAGATGGATAATTGATCCAGGTGTTTACGGTGACGCATATGCAGATAGGCCATATCTATATGGTCCTGCACTTTCTAGTTTGAATTGCCTACGAATATGCGGAAAACCTGGTGCGTTCAAAACCGTATATCATGAGAAGAACAGAAATGAATTTTTAGAGCGAAAACTAAAGGCTACTACCAAATAGGATCAAAAAATTGGCGAAAGGAGCTACACAATGAATTAATCGACGAAGGTGGTGAGGCCGAAGGAGAAGTGTCTAGACGGGAAATGAACATTCCAGATCAGGCAATTCAGAGGAGAAAGCATTTCCTCGTAAGGGAAAACCGCCAGGATTTCTGGTTTGAACCTGGCATCGTTTATAAAGCGGACTTTGGAAACGGGTATATTGACTTCGAAAGTATGCCTTTCTCCATGAACTTCTCAAATCATTGCATTTTTAACGAATAAAATCAGATTTCTCTCTCAACCTCCCAGGTTTCACCATACCAGTCATACAATACGTTAATGACAAAACCCACAAGCTGAGATATGTATTGAAGGATAGGGACACTGGAGAGGTTATTTTCGCACTCGTTTTCAATCTGATCTTTGAGGGGTAAAGGGTGTAACGAACCTGGCCGTTACCTTGGTATCTTGTTGCGTGGTTGCTTTGAACGCATGGAATCCATCCCGGCACCTACTAGTACCTGTACATAGTTACTAGTACTACCAAGTTGAACCATTTGACACACTTATTCTTGCAGTGCACAATCTGCCCGGTGCAGAAAGCTTTCGCGGATCGTGAAATCATATAAAAACAGCATTGGAACTTTATCTATACTAATCATACAGAAAACATCAAATTGACTGCATGCGAACCTTGGACACATTCTATGAAATGACCACTGATTGCTCAAAGCAGACTAATCACAAGAGCATTGACAGACCCTCCATCGCGAATGAATCACCAGTTCTCCCACACAGAATCAGGAATAACCTTACGCATAATCGCCCAGTGCTCCAGCGCACCGCGGTCTTGATACTTATACAGTCTTCCAACCTCATCATCAAGGAGAATCGATTTTCCATCCTTAGGAATAGTAGAGAACAAAGCAGGGCTCATCTCATGCGTCGGAACAAGGTAGCTCTCGCGCGAGCGGCTGCGCAGGAAATCCGCGGGCACGGCATCGCGGAATTCGACTGGGGTCTTGGAGCTCTTCTTGCAGAAGAGAACCATGTTGGTGAAGTCGGGGTTTTCGCTATCACGTTCGGCTGGGTGCTCGCGGAAGATGCGGCAGGAGGGGAAGGCAGCAAGGATAGTGCGGACAACGAGGCCGGTTGGGTAGAGGTTGAGATCGCCGGCGTAGTTCTTGAGTATGTGTTAGCTATTTTCATTTTGTGGATACGGTGATGATCAGCCTTACGATAGCAATAGCGCCGTCCTCCTTGAGGAGGGACTTGAGGTTCTCCAAAAACTGGATGGTGAAGAGTTCCGCGGGCTCGGCACCGCCGGTGAAGACGTCGTGAACGATGTAGTCATACTGGGGGTGAGGAATCGACTTTTGCTGGCGCGCGACAAACTTGGTTGCGTCTTCGATGGCAACATTGTGCTTGTCTTGGAGGTTGAAGTATTTGGTGGCGAACTTGTGGACGACAGGGTCAAGTTCCACGATAGTGGTATCGATACCATGCTTCATCAAAGCAGCCGGGGTGGTACCAATTCCAAGACCACTGTTTTGAAGATGGTTAGCCTGTCAATTTTCTGTACATTGTCCACGGTGCTCTTACATAACAAGCGCCTTGCTGTTAGTATCTACGCGAGGGGTACCGTGGTCAGGCTCAACTAGACGAACGGCCTCAAGCATGGCAAAGACGGCATAGATGGGGTCCTCGACTTCGGGTTTGTATCCAGGGACAGACTTGGTCCATTGACCTCCGAGGAGACTGTGGTCGCAACGCATGACGCGGAAGCCATCGTTCTGGTTCTCCAGGACGGAGATGTAGCCAGTGTATGATTCTTGTCGCTCGAGGAGCTTATATCCCTCGTGGCGGATGGCATTGTTGACGCCGCTGATGCCACCCAGGTGAACATCCGAAGACAATGAGAAAAGAACTGACGGGATCGCCAGAAGAAGCATCTTGGACGGGATAACAGCTGCGTAAAGAGCTGCAATAATAAATTGCAGGCCAGCACGAGTAAATAGAACAGTGAAACCAATTGCAGAGGATAGGATAGCCTTAGCGATATGCTCGCTGGCAGAGTAGATGGCGTAGGTGGCCAACAGAGGCACATGCTCGACAACCAGATCTCCCTGGGCTTCAAGGTGCAGAGCATATTGGATTTGCTTGCCGGCAATTGCCACAGTCAACGTAACCATCGGCAGGTAACCAAAAAGCTCAGTGATGACTGGACCGGCTGGATTTCCCAGCTTGGAGCTTTGCTGCATCAGGAAATACTGCAGGGTTGGGGTCCAGAAGGCCAGCACAGGAAGCATGTAAGCAGCGACACGGCCGAAGCGCTTCATAATGTGATCCTTGAGGAACCATCCGGCAATACCGAAGACTCCGACGGCATAGCTGTGGAAGATGTGCGACGGCAGAGCGCCATAGACGGGCGACAGCACCAACAGCATCACCGGCGAGTAGAAGGCAGCCAGGAACAGCAATGCCACACCGGAGCCCAGCCGGGGCAGGTCGGCTTGTTGAATGAATTGTTCAATAGACATGATTTCCAAGCTATCGATCAGAGCTTGCCACTATCAACGGCGAGTGATCAGTTTCCAGGTAGCTCAAGGGTTCATCTGCAAGATGTTGTGTCAGCAAGACTCCACCTCAAGACAGCGAGGGGAAGGATTTCCAATTTCAATCTTTCAGTTACTTGAAACCACAGATAACTTACACGTTCAGACTGACAGCATCTCTCAAACACAAGCCAGAAAAAAAAAAGAAATCGCGGAGTGGCAGAAACGACGTCCTTTTGCCGCCGTCTTCCGCGTTCCCAACTCTCCTCCTCCTTTCCCCACAACCTCTCAACATCGTGCGACTCAACCTGAAACAAAGGAGGCGAAGATGCCACATTTCCCTATGGACACCGGATTCGAGTCCAGCGCGGGCGTAGTCGCAGGCGCAGATACAGACGTGCCCGATGAGAAACAACGCTTCGTCCAGATCAAGAACCGTCGCAAGCGGTATCTGGATCAGCACCCCGAGTACTTCTCGGCGGAGCTCGAGCTAGCCGGTCCGCTCGCTCTTTGAATACGTGATACAGCGGAGACGAAGAATATAAATCAAGCTAACTGCTGAGAAACTTCCATCCATTCTAGACCCATTACTATACGACCGCCTCATCCGCCGATTCCAAACACCACAGGAAAGAGAAGCGCAGGGCCGCGCGAAGGGGTTCTCGGGCGTCTTAGAGGCGGATCTATTACGCTCAGAGGCTAAGGTAGATGCGCTGGCGCACCCGGATCCTAACGCGATGCTGAGCTACACTCGTGGTCCGGACGGAGAGATTCTGGCCGAGGACCGCGATGATATCCCCGCTAGCAGGGAGGAAGGGGAGAAGTCTTGGCAGTGGGAGATGGGGTTACGGTTTATGAGAGGCGATGATCCGGACTTTGATTACAAGGCTGTGGATGAGAATGAGGAATACGATGATCTGTCCGAGGAGCTGGATAAATATTTCGAGGATGAGGAGCCGGAGTGGGTGGTTGACGATGCTCGTGGCGAGGATGCTAGAGAGAAGCTTCAGGGCGAGACAGGCGTCCAAGATTTCTGATCCGAGTGAGGATATACTCGTGGGAATCCACAACAATATTCCGCCATGACACTTGCTCGAGCGGTTACGCGTGATACCCGTCCGACGACCCGAGAGAGCATCCGGGTGATATGCTGTCTAGCATCCGCTAGAGTGTATATTCAAACCCGCTGGGCTCCATCTAATGGGTCTAGACAGCTATGAGAGCTTGTAACGACAAGCTAATTGATCTGGCTGCGTTGCCATGCACCACTTCTGTTCTTCAAGACACCCGGTTCCACATTCTGCATCTTTCACCATTCATTTCGTGACATTGAATAAGACCCGGAAAACGAAGTCCTGCCTATCTACGATTGATTGCAACCCCTGCTCCTTTCCTAAAGAGTCAAATCATCTAAGGTTGTTCCGCTTCCTGATCACAAGAGCTGTTACGGTTTTCGACACCAGCATCTCCGTGCAAGAAGCACTCATGTCTATACTTCATGAACTTGAAGAATCTACAAATGTGGAAATACGTCTCATAGTTACACCTGCATATATTTGTGTCGCCATCATTTGATGATTCTATGCTATGCAGTATGTTTGATATTTGATAATTTATCATCTCGAGGAAGATATCTCAAACACCCGCGATCAGCTTGATCGCCTGTTCCTTGAGCTTGAACTTCTGAATCTTTCCACTTGCCGTCTTCGGGAACGTTTCCGTTGGGCCCAGAAAAGAATACGTATTTAGGAACTGTAAAGCAAATTGAATATCAGTCATGTCCGAAACTACGTTCAAAAGAGAGTACGTACCAAGATGGTTGCTCAAATGCTCACGCACCCATTGCTGTATCTCCTCGGCAGTAACCATCTTAGAGCCTTGATCTCGGGCGGATATGAAGCTGGCGACAACCTCGCCATATCGCTCATCCGGTACGCCGACAACAGAGACATCAATAACACCAGGGTGGGCCAAGAGACAATTCTCGATTTCAAGGGGATGTATGTTCTCCCCGCCTCGGATAATCAAATCCTTGATGCGGCCAGTTATAGACACATATCCATCTTCGGAGATAGATGCTTCGTCTCCAGTCTATTGCAGGGGACGTTAGACCTCGCGCGATTTTGAGAATGCAACAACAATGGCAACTTACATGCATCCACATCTTCCCAGTAGCATCTGCAATCATAACCTCTGCGGTCTTTACAGGATCACCCCAATATTCCTTCATGAGAAGGTAGCCGCTAACCGCCAGCTCTCCCCGGGCTCCAATTGGAAGGGTTTGTGTTTTGTCTACCGGGTCCACGATTTTAGCCTCAACATGTGGCATCAGTCTTCCAACCGTGCTGATTCTCTTTGATATAGGATCGTCGGTGGCCGTCATCGCAGAGACAGGACTTGTTTCTGTCATTCCATAACATATTGTCAATTCGGTCAAGTTCAATACCTTATGAAGCTTTTTCATCAGTTCTGCGGGAATACTGCTTCCAGCCGCAATTCCAGTTCGCAATTGCTGAAAGCCATCTCCGGAAACTTCACCCGAGGCAATGAGACCAAGCTCCTCGAGAAACATCGTGGGCACCCCGTAAAGTGCTGTACATTTTTCTTCTTGCACTGCTTGCAATGCGGCACGAGCATTGAACGACTCGCTTGGGAATACAATGCAAGATCCGTGAGTTGCTGTCGCCATATAACCCAAGATGAGAACCAAAGCAATGGAACATTGGTGGAGGGCAGCAGACAATGTCGTTGGGAGTAAGTAGCATACGATCGCCGATTTGGGAACCGTTATTTAGAATAGAGTGGTGACTGAGGCAAGCCGCCTTTGGCATTGCGGTCGTTCCGGATGTAAATTGAATGTTAACAATATCTTGCGGGGAGAGGTCTTGCCCCGGCAATGGCCGACAGTCTCCAGGTAATTGGGACATGACGGAAGAAAAGGGTGTGATGCTTTTATAGGACGATATATCTACTCGGCCGGAGGAGTTGTTGACCAGAATGATTCTCTCAAGAGAAGGAATGAGTGCGGACTGTAGTTTCGAGCTGAAAAGGTCTTCGACCATAAGCTCGAGAAGTTTGACGTTACTGCGAGGGTCTTTGCGAGGTAGGTTCGATTCGGCGCTGATGATCAGGTGGCTCGCCTCAAGGTGGCTCAAGGCAGAGACGACTTGCGTGGCATTAAAGGACGGATTGAGTGGTACCTACAACCGTGTTAGGAGAGAAAAGGCCCATGGCGAGTGATCTTCGGAGTATCTTACCAGAATGGCACCCAGCTTGAACAGCGCATATGTTGCCTGCGTTCCATGAGCTTCTCCCCTCATTCAACTCTGCAGTTTCTGGCCACATACAACGGCATATTCCATAGAGTTCCCTAGCATTACACCCACTCTTTCGCCCCTCCTCACACCCACCGATTCTAATCCCCGGGCAAATGCATTGCTTCTGGCGTCAAGGGAGGCATACGTGACGCGATCGTTCTGGTGCTTCGAAACGACGCTTGAAGAGACAGTTAGTCTGGCTGACCATTATATCCATTGTTTTGATGGGGCAAGAATGCTGACGCTGTTCGATCTCCATGTTCAGCCACTATTTTCGCGAAGTGGTCGCCAACAGTCGACTCAATCAAGGGCGGCTAGGAAGGAACGGCGGTGTCAGAGGGACGGGGATCTTCCATCTCATTTGGTGAGAAATTGAGCAGGATCTTCAGCAGAGAGACTCACATCCAATGGGCCACGCACATAGCTCTCGGTCAGCAGAGTTCGTCGATGCAAGTGAACGGACTGCAGCTGTCGCACAAAGCGGAGACCTCCGAAGATCCCTCTTGAAACACGCATACTAGTAGCCTTCCAGGTTCCGATGGTATAAGTAACTGCAGATTCATAACATGGCTGAAAAAGAGTATAATGGGGAGTGAATTTGAGGTTTGAAAATTGGGCAGGTGGAAGGGTTCCAGAGAAGAGGAGGTTACGAGAAGTTCGGTCGGTGCCTCGAAGGAAGCTTCCCCGCACGAGTTGGAAATTGCGGGGTTGACAAGTCCGAGGCTTTTTGGTTCCTACGCCGTGTCACGTTCAACTTCACTTGGACTACATATATTTACAGTACTACTAGAACTTGATATGAGCTTGCAGCTGCAGCTTATGATTTGTCTTATTTATGGTTTGTATATCGAAATCAATCACTAGAAACATCCCCACCTCTAGGATTAGATACGCATCCCACTCCACCACACTTGCACACTCGCTCCCCTCCCCAATATTCCGGACCGTAAGTAATGTTCACCTCATCAAACACGCAAATATTCTCATGTGTGATAAATCCGAGGAAATCTTGGTCTCCCACCACAGCTGGAACAGGTCTTGCGTTATACTGGTCGCAATGGTGGTTGGAATATCGAGTCCAACTACCCAGGCGCGTGGGGTCTACCACAAGTTTATTGGGGTAGTCGTAGGATAAATTGCCGTCCTTATCTCGTATCTGGACCGTCCATATCATACTCCATATATCACCCATTCCAGGAATTTCCGGGCGTACCACCCCATTAAACTCACCTAGACACATCCCCTTCGGGAAGTTAATCAATGCCCGGGTTCCTACCCCCCTGCCAGCATACTCTCGGAGTTCAATGAAGTCTGCTGGAACAAACATGGGTTCGCACTTGCAGGTTTTCTTGAAACAGAGAAAACACTCTCTAAAGTTATCATTGCGTTTGCTTGCGACTGCAGTCTGGAAGGGGAAGGAAGGATGAAGGAAATTTCTATGCATATTGGGTTGGAGCTCACCGTCTTCTGTCCATGGGAATACTGGCTGGCGGAGGCCACCATCTTCAGTCTGTACTATATGATGCGGGTGCTCTGTTGCTAGGTTAATATCAGGTGTCAATGCCTCTTGAAGTCCAGGCCACGGATCTCCCGCATAAGGAAGAAGGGGACCACGCCAATCCAAGTCGCGACTACGAGCAAAAGTCTCGATGCTGCGCTTCTCCCGGTAGATAAATTCAAGAATTATATCCCATTCTGTATTATCCACGACGCTCTGTATTGCAGCTCGGAATGCTTTCGAGTGTGCACAAATGGCAAATATCTTCCATCCAAGACGTTCAAGAGCGATATACATTCTGCCTGTACGGTTCTGTTGATTAAGGGTCAGTTGTTGTCCGACCTGTGCAAAAGCCTCTGTAATGAAATTGGATGTGCAAACATTCATCTCTTGGTACATTGTCCAGTCAATTTTCTCGGGCTTACCTTGAACTATCTTGGGGAAATAGCACGCATCTCTGAGGTCATAGAAGATTGCGCTCATGACCTCGAGAGAAAGCGCGCGTGCCCGCGTTCGCAAAACTGTAACCATGATGTTTTCTGGTGTTAATGAATGAGTCTATATGTGGGTTTATCGTCTGTGAGCTGCTCGTCATGAACACAGCTGTGGTATCTCGAAGTAATAGTAAGTAGTACTGTGCTTAGGGAACTTGGCCATTTATAAAGTGCAAGTTCTCCCCCTCGGGAAAAATGGGGCTCACAATACATGCTACGCTAGTACTAGTACTAGACTCGGACAATGGATAAAGATTGCAAAACAATCATTGATACTATCGTTGGGGCTTTGTTGATGCCAACCATTGTTCAGGACTCAATATAACGGGTATATCATGGTATCCAAGGAAAGCTCACAATATAACAAAGAGAACAAAGAGTAGTCGAAATGCATTGTCGGGTATCAACAAAGCGCCTGTGATATTGATCAATCAAGCAACTGACTTTCTAATTGAGCAGGCTTGAACACAGGGCACCAAGATGAGCTGGGACTACCTATGTATCTCATGGTATAGCGGTGAATAGCTCCATTAAGGCGGCTATGAGCCCCCCTTGAGAGGCTTCCAGTTTCGTGCCAAGGTCCAACGACATTTTGTAGTGATATCTTTCTTTGGATGTGTGACTTTTTCGGTTCGATACCACCTGCCGGCACCGCCGAGTAGTCGTGGTAGTATACAAGTTGCCAAATTACTTTTCTGGTGGAAGTAGTAGATCTGAGGGTAGAATCGATGATGATATGCCCTAGGACTACCTAAGACACGCAGACTCGCTATACCCCCGATGATGTGGCACGTAGACGGCCGGGGACATAGTACTCCGTAGCACTCTCCTGCGAACAAGGAAAGAGCATATCGTCCGAATGGTAAATAATACGAGCGTCCGCATGAAAGCCGCGGAGATCTCGACCAAAGAGGAAGCGGTGGGGCTTGGCGTCATGTGGTGGGGAAACAAGCTTGCGGATGCGACAACTTGCTCCCCCACGCGCTTTGTTTCCCGGACCTTCGCTTCGGACCGGGCATGTTCGACCTTTAATCGCCTTCTTGAACTCGGCACAGACGCCCAAATCCTCGCCAACATGGCCTCTGACCCGCCGGAAGACGCCATTGCCAACTTCGTCAGCTTTACGAGCACCACCCGCGAGCAAGCTATCAACTTCTTGAAGGTGAAAGATGCCTTAGTATTCCGCTGGCAGTCCAAAAGTTAACATTTTCGATATGACAGGCCAACAACCTCGACTCGCAAAAGGCCATCAATGCCTATTTCGAAGACCCGACGGGTCCCCATCCACAGGTGATAACTCGGAGCGCGAGGATTAGGCTAGGGACTGGACGCTGATTAGCATTTCGTATGACAGAATACCGGCTTCTACAATGACAACAATAGCCCAGGTACATCTCTTCGTCTATATACTCGGCTCTTCATGGAACTAAAGACCCTCTCCAGGTTTCGGATACGGCCAGCAAGACCATGGTCCCCGAGTGCCGGCTACGGCTCCTCCCACTCGTCCCTCATCTCGAACGAACATGATCGATGCCTCGCAACCTCCGGATTATGAAAAGGCCACAACACCATCTTCGCAGGGAAATACTGGTTAGGAGACCTCTTTTAGAAGTCATCACACGAACAATGCTGATAGGCTCATTATATAGGCAATGCAGGCTCGGATCAGAAGATGAGCTTGGCTCAGCGCGAAGAACGAGAACTACAACAAGCGGTGGCGATGTCCCTTAACCAGGGAATGTCAAAACAGGAGACGGGAGTTACAAGGAGCAAAGAAGCGCACTTTGGTAAAGCGACGCGCGACGAATATGATACAAATGCATGGGCGATGACGTTATTCAATACGACCTCCGAAGAAGTCGTCTTGAGCCCCAACCCCGAGGACCGCAAGAGAATAGCAGGTGAACCGGCTTTTATCCGACCCTCTAACAACAACCTATACCTTGGAGGATTCCTCACCATTCTTCATGAGATCCCACTTGCAAGAGAGGCACTCATGCTTCGTAACAAGGTTCTCTTTGACTATGGACAGGAATCGCAGGAGTGGTGGAACGGCCAGCCAATCAATTTGCCTAAGATTGTGACCATCAACGAGGGCGACAATGCGGACAATGACTGGGATGATATAATTTATGAGACCCAGCGACTGATGGCCTTTTTGGATTCTACAAATCGGTCGTTCGGCAGCAGTGACGCCCTTGCCAGTCTTAGACATCTCCACGACTACTCTTCCGATTCAGAAGAGGCCATCACGAGGTTTTTGGAAACCTGGCATCGCGCAGCACTCCGAGCGGAACCTGACAATCCATTGTCAATGATCTTTCAGTCTAAGGCTTATAAGCGCACACCGTTTGATGATCCAACAGATGAGGATGATCCCATCTCACGAGAGCTCTTTATCTTCGAGCCCCAGGTCGAGCAGGATCACGGCCAAACTCTATACGATGTTTTGGATACTGCGATCTGGAGCGATAGGCCTGGAGAGAATATGGACGACGTTTGGCTTGAACATCTGGGTGAGCTTCTCATTATGAAATTGGACTCATACGAGAGTGCCAAGTCAGTGGATGTCAAGGCCCCGGCTGTATTTTATCCCGATCGCTACATGAGCAGCTGTCGAGAGCTTGCGCTGGATTTCCGTACTAAACGACGTGCGGTTATGGAGGAGATACAAGAGCTAGAGAAGCTAATGTCTCAATTTACGGCTCCACGAACTGCCGTGGGCACGCTCACAGTGAAGGAGATACTCGAGAAAGCCGCGCAGGCAGTGCCTGTAGTTCTCTCGGAGAATTCGGCCCAGAGTGACGACTCAATGACTCCCGAAGTGAAGGCCGAAAAGGCATCGCGAATCACGCGTGACTTGCAAGAAATAGCCCAAAAGGTCGAGGCTAAATTAAAAGGTACCTTCCCTCATGCATAGAAGATGTGCTATAGTGACTGACATCTCCAGACCTTGAATCCAAGAAACAGAAAGCATTGGAGACTATGCGCGCCTATTCCAAAACACTCACTGAACCCAGCGAATCTCCCAGCGAGCCACCTACACACAAATATACTCTCCGTGGCGTCTGTACTGAGCCACATGTCACTTATGTCCTGAGAAGCGGTCGACCAAGCGATCCCAATGATCTGATGGAGTTAGATAACCAGAGTGACGCCCAGGATCAGTGGTGGCGCATCAGCTATTCCGCTGAGGATGGCAAGACCCGCCAGGCCGAGAAACGAGATGCCCAGGGTAACCAGTCGGCCTCCCAACATGGCGATGTCATTGGCTATACGGCACGCAAAGTGCGAGAGATTGAAGTTCTCCACGCTGCACGCGAAGAATGGAGAACGGTACTGCTGGTATATGCAAGTGATAATGCTATGAATGCGAAGGTTGAACCAGCACCAAGGCAACTTCAGGTGAGTTCATGGTGCTCTTGATGGGTGTGTGTATGTGCGTTACAGACTAATCTAATCACAAAATAGGGATTCGTGAGGAAAGACAATGAGGCATTCGCCACGGAATGCGAAGAAAGCACTGCCAATGCCCAGGATGCCCAGATGACTGATTCTTCGGGGAAGAATAATAGCACAAGTACCCAGTACGCTTCGTCACGAGAGCGAGAGAAAGAGCAAGACAACAAAGACCAACCCATCAACGTCTTTGACTACGAAGTTTCCGATTTCGACAGTGAACGTGGATCGGGGAAGGAGAAGAAGATGCAGGAGAAGGAGATGCAGGAAAAGCCGCGGGCCAGTCTTCTTGGCAACAGCGCCAACGCGAGCAATCAAGCGAAGGTCTCTCAGGCGCTGGACGATGACTCGGAGTGGAACGTGGACGAAGACGAGGAGATGGTCGACCACGTGGAAACCGCGAAATCTTAAATAGCGGCTGTATGAGTGATGAATCAATGAACACTAGATCTAAGCGGCCAGCTCAAATGTGATCCGCGAGAAATTAGAGAAACGGGAAATGGTGCCTGGAGTTATTGTAGCTATCGCTGCTGTGTAGTCCCCTCAGTGTCGACAGTCCCCACACCAACCTCCACCGCCCAAGTCGCCGACATCAACAAATCCACCCGCAACAGCTCAAAGCTCAAAGCTCAAGCTAATTCCACCACTTGCCCCTCACAAAGCCAAAATGACAGTCGAAAGCGACACCGTGGCCGGCGCCACAATCGAACTCCTGGAAGCACGTCTCCGCCGACTCTCCTATCTCGTAACCGGCAGCTCAGACTGGATAGGAGTCCCCAACACACCCTCAAAGCCAACCACACACGACGAAACAGTCTCCCGTCGCCTCGCCCGACTGGTAAAAGAACTAGAGAAACTAAGCAAATCCGTGCCCGCTGTCCGGGACATCATCCAACTCCGTTTGTGGCCCAATGCTTCTTCCTCTTCCTCCGCACTACCACCGCAATCCTTACCCCAACCCCAAGCGCGCGCTACCTCCCTAAACATCAATCAATCACTTCACAAACCCCCCAAGCCAAGCAAAAACTAACACCAACGCAACAGACGACCAAAACAAACCCCTCTTCCACCCAGACCCCCCAACAACAGAAACAATCCCAGAAGGCCTAACCCCGCAAACCCTAACCTCAATAATCCTCTCCTACGCCAGCGCCTCCCCGAAACCTCCTCACGCCTAACATCACTAAACGACCTCCCGATCCCGGACGCACAGAGCTCAGCCGCACTAATCGAACTCCAGCCTGCTCTCGACCGTGCCGCGGCCAAACAGGCCGAGCAGGCGGCTGCTATTTCGGAATTGAGGGTTCGCACGGCTCGGGTGTTGCAGCGGTGGTATGAGGTTGGGCTTGTTGGAAGTGGGGAGGCTTGGGCTGAGTGGGAGGGAAGGCTTGAGGGGGTTGAGAGGGAAGTGCGTAGGAGGGAGGCTTTTAGGGAGAGGAGGGAGAATGAGATTTGATTTGGTTTTGGTATACGATATTGGTATTGGTGTGCTTGGGTGAGGGGAGGGTAGTGTGGGTGTCGAGGGAGATGCCTTGGGTATCTGTTTATAGTACGATGCTTGGAGGAGATAGTGGGTTTCTGTGTGTTTACTTTATGATATCCTCTTCGTCGGCGTTGAATTGAATTGGTAGCATGTTGCGGTGACCAGAATGCACCGTATTCACTACTTGCTGTGCCCAGGTAGGCACTACTTTACTATGTAGTAGTTAGTAGTATTGTAGTAACTACTACTAGTTTTAAATGCAACTTGAACCTGAATTTGACCTCATGGGTAGACCATAGTTTACCATTATCACTCACATATAGAGGGACTAAACCCAATCGACCATGCTCGCAGATCTCGACCACCAGCGATCGGTCACATTCCGACAGCTGCAATGAGATCATCAAACCGATCAGATCAGGTCAGATCAGATGCGCATTCCGTTGAGGTCAGTCGGAATGCTGGAGAGTATACCCCAGATTCCTGATGACAGGCGACCGGGCAGTCCGAAGCGAGCGGATTGAGTTTGGCTTTGCATTGGCATTGGAATTGGCAGTACGGTATTTGAGTAGTATAAAGCTGAGAAAATGAAGTGCAGAGTAGAATTGACATTGACTTAATACGAGTAGCCTGAGGCTTCCAGACGCATCCACCGCAGTTCCAAGGACGAAGTATAATGCACCGCATCATCCAGGGTCTAGAACGAAGCGAAAATAGGAAAGAAAAAAGTACGATCCGATCGAGGTGGGGCGTGGAGATGAGACTCTAGGCGAGACCCAGACCCTTCAGATTATGAGTATTGAGTATGGAGTATACCCTCGGTAAGATTCTGCACTCTTGGTTTGTATTTCAGTTAGCAGGATAGTACTTTTTCTGAAGTCACTAGCCGTGGCAATGACTATGTGGCAGATGTTAGGAATAGGGGTCAGCCTAAGGCTAGACTGCATTGAAGGGTTACGCAAGCCCGGCAGAGGACGGCTCTAACTTTCAACTTGAAGGTTGTGCCTCATTTGTGGTACAGAGTAGGGAGTGTTGCCGGGGTTCTTAGTTCTAGAGATCTAGTCAGTATCTCCAAGATAATCCGGACTCCCACTCCCACAGTGTTATTGTATTCATACTACTAGTATTCATCATATCATCGGAGACAAGTGTTGATGCGAGCCCGCGTCAGCCAAGCGGAGCCCGTGACTAAGCCGGATATTTATAGCACTGCCTACGTGGATTCACTGGCTTGGTTATTATGTAGTCCTGGAGTAATGCACAAAAGTGAATGGGAATGACAAGATTAAATAACAATTGAATGAGTTAGAATATCCATATCCTTCTACTGTCCAGAATCAGAATATTCAACCGTTGAAACCCGTGGTGGAGAGGGTTCATTTCCCGAATTCCACTTTGGTCTCGATTCCAGGGGGCGTCTGTGTGTTTGGGGGCTCCACAGTCAGTGGGTTTGAGGGTGCCTGTGGTTTGTGGTTTGCGCTTGTGTTCTTCTCTCCTCCCTCTCACCCTCTCAATCCGACTTCCTCCACCTTTTTTCCCTCGTTCAACCCTATTCATTCCTTTCTCCAGCCTGGTGCTGTTGTCTTTGCCCTTACGGCCCCCAGATTCTACTCTCGTTTTTGTCCCCTTCCACTTCCCTCCCCCCCCAAGGCCACCTTGCCCACATCCAAAACACCAACCACCACTACCACCCCAATACAACACCCCTTGACTGAACGGAACCCACGTCTTTGTCTCAAAAAGAAAAGGTACGAACCACTGGAAACGCCGGCGCCTAACCTTCTTTTTTCTCCCCTTTCGTTTTGAAGTTCTTTGCTCTCTTTCGCGCCCTGCTCTGTGTCCTTGCCCTTCCATTCGTTTGCGATCGAGTCCATCAACCGTGTCCCTCGTTTTCGACCCCACGCGACCGTGCCTCGAATTATCCCACTGACAAGGCGCAGTCTTCGTTCCAAGATCTTCAATTTCCATCCCCAGCCGACTCGAGTCTGACACTTGGTTCTGATTGTCAACGGCGACCTCCTTTATACGCCGTACACACTCGACTCGACTCGACTCGATTTCCCTCCTCGACTCCGCTTGCCTTTCCTTTGACATCTCGTTTCGGGTGAACCTGCGTACTCCCTCCTTGTCACAATCCGAGTCTCAACGACAATTCCCCCACAATGCCCAACTTCCGCCCCAGCAACATCCTGGGCGACCCCTTTGCGCTGGCCACGCTTTCCATCTCCATCCTGGCCTGGCTCATCGCCTTCGTTTCATCCATCATCGCCGACATCCAAACCGACTATCCGAATCTGGATTGGTGGGCGATTGCCTACATGTTCTGTATCAACATTGGCCTGATCTTCACCTTCGGTACCGACACTGGGAATCTCTACGGCGTCGCGATTGTAGGATACCTGGGTGCCGCTCTCGTCCTGACCTCCATCAGCGCCAACAACACCGTCTACGGCTCGCAGGGCGCTGAACAGGCCGCCGGTGCTGGTTTCATTCTGCTGTCTATGGTCATCATCATCTGGATCTTCTACTTCGGTTCCACCCCTCAGGCTTCGCATCGTGGCTTCATCGACTCCTTCGCCCTGAACAAGGAACAGCCCGGCTCGTACCGCGGCAGCCGTCCCATGTCCAGCGCGTTCGGTGCTCGCCCCGAGACCATGGCTACCAGCAACACCCCGCAGATGTACACCTCCGCCCAGCTGAGCGGCTTCGAGACCTCTTCTCCCGTCTCCGGATACCCCGGCGGACCCCCCGGCGCCGAGCGCAATTCCGCTCAGCCTCCGAGTCGCTTCGGTGGCAGCAGCCCTGCCCCTGCACCCACCCCCGGCCCGGCCCCTGCGGTCAACCCTGATGGCAGTGAAATCCCCCAACCAACCGAGTACCCGTACCGTGCGAAGGCCATCTACTCGTACGATGCGAACCCCGAAGATGCCAACGAGATCAGCTTCACCAAGCACGAGATTCTCGAAGTATCCGACGTCAGCGGTCGATGGTGGCAAGCTCGAAAATCGAGCGGAGAGACCGGCATTGCACCTTCGAATTATCTGATCCTCTTGTGAGATCGATAAGTTTCGTGTGTTTCGTGTTAATGCCCTTTCATTCCCTCTCTCTCTCTTTTTTTTGATTTTTGTCTGCCTTTAAAGCTTGCTATACGCAAAACATTGTACCCCTTTGATACCCTTCGGATACTTCTCTCGACGTGTGTGTACTTTTGGTTTTCCACCCCTTCCCCTAACGTGATGTCTTGATGGCCTCCTCTCATTATCTTCGACGCAACTATTTCATTCTTCTCCATCTTATTTCCCTCTATCTCTTTCATTTCATTTCTTTTCCTTTGGAACGCTGTCTTACTTTGATTTGGCTTGGTATTAGTCCTTTGGCGGGAGTTTCCCCGCTTCGCATCGTGCGTTATGGTTAGGTGCTTTTGATCGTCATGTCTGGGAACATGGATCTGCTGGCCCTCGGCGAGAGTCTGTCGATTGTTTGACCTGACCTCGACCTTGGCGAAGCCGATGCCCTGCTGTTTCCTCCTTTCTTTGCATGAAAAGTTTCGGCGGCCAAGAAGCGCATGAGTTGCGTCCTGGTCCCGATGTATAAGAACTGAATGGCGAATGTAATCGATACCTCTGTCAACTTTCAACCTGTATGGATATATTCGTAGACAATATCCTCGTAGTAGGGCACTGATCTGGCTACCAGCACCAATACCGATGATATATGGTCGTCACGCAATCAGCGATCCTTCCACATCGGGCATCTCCATCCACCTGGGCAGGCGGGGTCACTTACACCCCTCAAGCCCTCAGTCTAGACTCAGCCTAGACTTACTCCCATCAAGCTGCCACAAGCTGCCACAACTCGCGAAAGATTCACTCTTCAAGTGACTCTCGCTCTCACCTACCAAGCTTGATCCACCTTCCCACATCTCCAAGCTTGACGCATCTTGACCATAACAAGCATTTCATACCGTCCCACGTGCACGGACAATGACGATCGAGCACGTTGTCCATCGTGAGTAGTTATGTACCTCCACAAACCATCAATTCTCCGAGCCCTGCCCCCACTTCGTCAATCAATCAATTCTATCAACCCCATAAATCTTCTCCGTAGCCGTCTTAAGAACAATGAACATCATGATCAACACGACTGTGACTTATAACGACGAATACCCTAGGAAAGATCTCCGTCCCCATTCACGATTCCCATGAATGTTAAGCATTGTTCTCAAACTCATCTTTCTCCGTATATTAGCCTGTCTGGTACTAGCTCCCTTCTCTGGCGCAGGGCCCCGCAGCACCGCAAAAAGGGCCTTCAATACTCGTATGGTTTGCTAAGGCGGGGCGATTGTAGGCTTGGACTTGTAATTGGACTAGAATAGTACTGTGAGATAGTTCGTAGAAGAAATGAAGCGTATGAATATCGACCATATAGAGAGGCGTTTATAGTATACATACTACTAAACCCCCATATTATATCCTCAATCTGATTCTCGAGGGTACATCCTAGCTAGTATACCGTAGATATCTAAGGTGGCTTGAGTGGAGCAACCCACGACTCGGAGTGGGAGGTCCTCCCCCTCCCCAAAATCGTAGTAACCGGCTTCCTAGCCGGACTTGCTGATCGGGGTCTGTCCGTTGCGCTAGTTCGTTCAAGTTCGCTGTTCAAAAAGTCACCGCTCCTCTCTTTCAAAATTGGTATCTTCTTCTCGTTGTATCTTATCTCTTCGCTGTAGGTTTATTTCTCCGGAGCTCAACACCAGCACTAGCAACTGAATCGATCGTCGCTTTCTCGGCGAGGAAGGAAGGAAGAGAGGAAGGGCAGAAGAGAACAGAAAAGCCTTCCAATACCCATACCCATATCCATACTCATACCGTGCCGAACATCCAAACAACATGCCAGACGGCAATGTGACAGTCGCATCTAATGTGCTCGGCACCATTGGCACGGTGCTCTGGTGCATCCAGCTAATTCCACAGATTTGGTATAACTGGCGGCGGAAGAATACAGATGGGTTTCCGGCTACAATGATGTTCCTCTGGGCACTTTGTACGTACTACTAATCCTCATTTTATACTACCCTGTTCTGGGAGGGAATGGGCTGAGTGGTTCGGTCCGGCTGACTCAAGGTATTCCAATTCCATCATCCAGGCTCTATTCCGATGGGAGCATATCTTATTTTGCAGGTATGTGCTGTCCCCATGGGCCAGGCCATCATTCGGGCGTTACCAGTGCTTGCTAGATGTTCATTTAAAATTCAATGGCTCATTTCATTTTCTCTATTCCTTGCTAGAAAGTCAATATCCCACTACAGATCCAACCGCAGATATTCGGATTTTTCGCGCTGGTCAGCTGGGCCCAGGTTCTGTACTATAGTCAGTGAGTTTTGGACAATTCGAGAATATCAAAGTTAGGTATTTCTGCTAAGGAAGTTGTTTACCTTGCGATGGAAATAGTGGTTATAGCTGGTTGAAAGCTACGTTCGTTTGTGTGGCTATGGTTCTGTTATTTGGTGGGCTGGAGGCTCTTCTTATTCTTACGTTGAGGGTTAGTAGATATGTGCCAGTTGATATTCTGTGGCTATGAGAGGATGGATGGATACGCTTACATTCTTATCTGCAGATACCATATGACAAAGGAATTACCTGGCCGGATTTGGTGGTTGGGGTTGTTGCTGCTATTCTTCTCAGTGCTGGGTTATTGCCTCCTTATTTTGAATTGTGGAAGAGAGATGGCCGGGTGATTGGGTTTAGTAAGTGTTGTTTTGTCTCGAGTTATAGTATCGGTGGTGACTCTGTGAGTGCAAGTAAAGGCTGATAACTTGGATATAGACTGGGTCTTCCTCTCCATCGATACTTTCGGTGGTCTATTCTCCTTGTTCGCACTCGGTATGTCCCCCCAGGTAGCATTATGCTAGTATGCCAGTATGCCAGTGCCACTAACAATATCCAGCTGCCCAAGGAACATTCGATATTTTAGGGGGTATTATGTACATATTGGTGTGAGTACTAGTATAGCGTGGATCTTGCCAGTGCTAAAGAGGTGTTCTCCAGGGTTGTTCTGGAAGCAGGAATCTATCTGAGCCATATCATCTGGCGCATTCGGTATCGCAAGCTGCGCAAAGAGGCCAAGGAAACTGGGAAGAGTATTGACGACTTGTTGGAATTGCGGAGACGGGATACGGAGGAAAGCAGAGATCTAGAGACAGGGGTCCTCGATCAAGATCAAGATAAAGATCAGGGATCAAGACCGACAGGGGCAGAAATAAAGAGAGAGATACAGCCAGGGACTGCGACAGGGCCTTCAATGGAGCGGTCAGAGATGAGTGAAAAATGGTGATGTTAGTTTGAGCCTAAAGGTACCTTATACTTGTGCTCTAGATGAACCATGGATACCTCAGTATCAGTCCATGAATATACAATTACCCTACCCCTCCACAGGTATCACACAGCTCCAAGATACTACTAGTACTACTAGTAGTATTTCAGTTTCACAGTTTCTAAGTTGGGCGGGAGATCAGCAGCTACTAGTACTTTGCATGCTCATTTCTTCTCTGCAGTGTGACTTTGGTTCCACGCGTTCCCCTCTCCCCTCTCCTCTCCCAAGTTCAAGTTCAATTTCTTCACCATCCTCTCCTTAACCTTTTCCTTGACCTCCTTCCTGGCCCTTTCCCTACATTCCTCCTATGATCCACGGTTATCGGTGTTGAAACAAGCTGGAGCTACCTGGGGAAGCTAGGCCCAACACACCAACCCTGTTTGGGCTAACTTGAACAAGCATCAACAGTGTCAACAGTGCCCGCTCCCCCCCCCCCTGGTACCCAGTTTCCTCCTCCTCCTACTCCTCCTCCTCCTCTACCTCAACTATGCCTTATCTCTGAGCTTCCCCGCAATCAATATGCCGGAGAGACGTCTATCGCGTCTACTCAAGGCAAAGCTATTACGACGATCATCAACGCCTGCAGTACCCAAAGCGGGCAACGGGGCGGACCCGCCTGTCCCTGTCCCTGTCCCAGTCCTAGTCCCAGTCCCCCCAAACCCAACCGCGAATAACTCTCGCCCTTCACATCTCTTCGATTCCGCGAGCGAGAAATCCCCCCTATAGCGTCGTTTCGTCCGCCGACCACTCCTCGGACGAGATCGGCCCTACCTCCGAGCCCGATCGGCGCGAGGGGAACGCGCCCAAGTGCACCTCCAACTCCAACTCCCGGACCCGGACCCGTCACGAGCGTCACCACTGGAACTCATCCACTTCGCCATCCGCCGAACACGAACACCAGCGCCGCCATCTTCCTCACGCACCAGAACGATCTACATCATCCCCGCTGCCGACCGACCACGAAAACCCCCTCTTATACACCCCTCTGACGGACGAACTGCCATCCCCCCTCGAGTCTCCACTCGCGACCCCCCCAGCATTCCGACGATACCTCCTTCCAGTCCGCGGTAGTCAGGGTTCGAACTCCGGCGCCTACCGAGCTTCAATTGACCCCGACTCTTGATACTGTCGTTGAACGCACTGCAGCTGATCGCCGGCCATCCTCATCCGCCTTCCCTCCTCAGTCTAGCAAGCGCCCGAGCATTGCCGTCCGCCGGCAGTCTCTGCTTCCAGCATCTCACCAACACCTGATCACCGGCCTTCTAGAACAAAGTCTTTTCTCAGGACTGAGCGACCCACAAACAGCCTACGCTCCTGCAGTAGCCGACGAGATGGTCCAGCGTCGGATCTGGGATGAAACGACCAGGTGGCTCCGCCACCCTGGTACCCTGCTTGGAGGATGCGGTGGTGGACGAACTGCGCGACCAGGTGATCATGAAATTTGCCAACTCATTAGGGAGGACATGGGATTCTCCGGATATCGTGATACGAATTGCCCCACGAGAGGGCACAAATCGCCAGTCGACCCCAGAGCGCCTCCTCAGTCCCGAGGAATCTCTGTCATCAATTCTGGACACATATTACCCCGGAGGTCAAAAGATAGAGGAGGCATTGTTGATTGACGCACCTACACGCCGCACTCCGAAGCCCTCTCCGCGCCACTCGGTATATCATCATCATAACCCCGAGCCTGGTGAGCATGGCGAATACTTCCCGTTGATGCCCGCGAAAGTTCCCACCCCACCTACGCATCCTACACTCCCGGGGCAAACAGCGCTCCGGCGATGTCGATAATCAACAGTGGCGTGGCTCCTCCGCTACCTTCTCCAGGTAGGGGTGGGTCACGGCATCACCGTCGACCGCCACTCCAACGGCACACAACCAATTCGCCAACGATTCTCGGCCAAGGTCCTATCGTTAGTGTTACAGGTATGTTTTCACGTGTACCCACGCGCCCAGCATATAGAAGCATAGATGACTGATTCTTAGCAGAGGCGGGCATATCTCCCCATTCTGTACCCGCGCCACCACCGCAACCCAGCGTGCCCACACCCCCAGCACCAGTACCCGATTCTCCTCAAACCAAATCACATACTCCACCAGTACCGGTAGCATCGCCGCGGACGTCACGCAAACCCAAGAGCGCTGCTTCACCTGGGGCGGTGTTTGGAGGGTTAATTGATGGTACCGTTCCCCCTATCAATGTTCTGATCGTTGAGGACAACATTATCAACCAAAAACTCCTCGAGGCGTTTATGAAGCGATTAAGTGTCCGATGGAAATGTGCGGCAAATGGAGAGGAAGCGGTGCGGAAATGGCGACAAGGCGGATTCCACTTGGTATTGATGGATATTCAGTTGCCCGTCATGAACGGGTTGGATGCCACCAAGGAAATCCGTCGCCTGGAACGACTGAACGGTATTGGCGTTTTCCCTAAGAATTCCTCCGGTCGTTCGAGTGTTTCGAGTACGACTGAGGATAGGAGGCCGGGTCTTAACCGCACCGTTAGCGAGGAAGATACTCTCTCCGACTTGTCCTTATTCCGCAGCCCTGTCATCATTGTCGCTTTGACAGCCAGCAGTCTGCAAAGTGATCGTCACGAGGCATTGGCAGCTGGCTGCAACGACTTTCTGACCAAGCCTGTTGGTTTCCCATGGCTATCACAGAAGGTTACGGAATGGGGCTGCATGCAAGCGCTGATTGACTTTGAGGGCTGGCGGAAGTGGCGTGGGTTTTTGGATACTCCGCAGTCTTCCTCGCCCAGTTTAGATAGCGCTGCCAGCCCTATGCAGACCGGCCACCGCAACGACTTCGGCGCACCGGCCGACGGACCTGCCTCGCCGTCGACGACCCGGCATACGAAGAATAAGTCTTCTACCAACGGTCTGTCAAGGCCTCACCTACCAGATGCCGCTGAGATCTTACGAGAAGACTCATGGGGTAGTGGCAGCGGTGACACGGGAGACTCCGGCCCCAGCCCTGACGCCTTGCCTGTCGAGGCCGATGGGAGGTGAAGAGCGATGCTGCACCCCCATCAAAGGAAGAATAAACTATTATCCGATCTTGAAAACATTGATCATCATGATCCCGTCGCCCCTTTGACAAATTTCCATATGTCTCGACCCTGTCTTTTCCATTGGATACCCATATAGCAGCAATATCCTTTTTGACTCGCGGCCATCTGCAGTAATTTCAAGCGTTCATGTTTTCCTCTTTCTCTCTCTTTCTTTTGCATTTCGACTTTGCCATGATCGTTTCGTGCATTGTGCACTTTTCATTTGATCTCATGCTATGGCACACATATACACAGCTTGGAAATACTCACATACACGAAGGAGTTGTTCCATCTATGGCCGATATTGATCCATTTTCCTTTGGCCTTTCTGGACTATCCTATTCTTTTCTCCCCAGGTGAAGGCTTTGTTCTTCCTTGGTATGTATTTATCAGACAACCGAATGGAGGTTTCCCATTATTACCGAATCAATCTGGCAACGATGTTCCCAGTACCTCAGCGAATTCGAATCCATATTGCCAACTACATGAAGTACTAGTAACTGGTGGGTGCCTAGACGGTTACAGCACCCTTCCTCACATTTCCACCACAATCTTCAAGCAACTGACCCCAGCCTTCAACTCATCCAAAGCCCCATTAACAGACCCCAGCCCACCTTTGATCACTTTGATATGGGGACTAGCAACGACCTGTTTACCAGCAAGCTTCCCCTCCAACCAATCGACAAAGATAGCCCGATTTCTCTCCTTCAATTCCGCCCGATCCTGCGGAGGATACACAAACGCAGCCTCAACGCCATCAGGAACCTTCAACCCGGGATCCAAGATCGGAGCAATCGCCAACTTCGACTTCTCCCCCTGTCCCTCGCCCCTCAACGCATGGAGAACATCAGCCGCCAACTGCTGGTCCCCAGTAGCATGATATCCAATCCGAATCCTCACCCCGCCCCCACCCGCCGCCTGAACAATCTGACCCAACACATCCTCATCCTTATAATCAAAGACCCGATCCGCCCCAAGACCCCGAATATAATCATGGTGCCGTCCACTGGCAGTAGCATAAACAGTAAACCCCATCAACTTCGCCTCCTGAACAGCCAAAGCTCCAATGCTACTCGACGCACCCCAAACAAAAACCCCCTCCTTCAGGTTGCCCTCCTCAGCAGAAACTCGAACTTGACTGGAGGCGGCAGTAGGTTGCAACCCAGCCCAAACCCACCCATTCCACGTCGTAACAGCCGCAAGTGGAAAAACAGCCCCTTCAACAAAAGAATACCCATCCGGAAGAATCGCAACAGTCTCCTCCGGCACGAGAACCCGTCTCTGAAACGCGCCATAATCAGCACCAGCATTAAAGAATGAACTTGCTAGTGCCGTAACGCGGGTCCCGGGTTTCATGGTTGCTCGTGTCAGTGGCCCGGATGAGATTATCACGCCTGCGACGTCGGAGCCTAGGATTGCGGGATATTCCTGGATGAAGAAGCCTGTGTCGCGTTGGTGGTGGTCTACTGGGTTTAGGGCTAGGGCGTGGACTTCGATTAGGAGTTCGTTTGGGCCGGGGGTTGGGGTTTGGCGGGTTGTTGGTTTTATTGGGGTGTTCTTTGATGGGAGGGTTGCGGCTTCGTGGGTTTGGTTGGAGGTTGACATGATGATGGTGATGGTGGTGATGGTTGGAGGTGAGCTGAGATGAGATGAGATTCTTGTCTTTGGTGATATCTGAATACTAGGATGTATTTCAAGTCCTCATCTGCCTTATTCAATGCGCAATTTATAGGTAGTATTTCGTTGGAACTTGACGCGGTGATTATATCGGAGTTAACTGACTAGCTTAGAGAAAGACGGGGTTTGCGTATCTCCATGGCCCCCAACTTTTAATTAACTTGAACACACGCGGCCTGTGATGTTATGCTTGGGGAAGCAGGAGCAGGACCGATAACTTGAAGGAGAGAGTCCTTCTGGATTAAATAGGATCAAGAAGCTTTTATTATGCGTATTCTTATATCATGTCATCTCACGAGTGGGGGTGTCGACAACAGGTGGGTTGCAGTTGGACTTTGTATACCTCAGGCAGACTATGAGTATGTACTGGCACCTTCGCCATTGGACGAATTCTCGTGGAACATTGCCATGTGAAATGAAAGGGTTCCCTCGGCAGTACATTTGACTGGTCGCTTCAAGTTGCTGACTGCAGCGCTTGGTATCTTCTAACCGGGACTTACCCGTTGGACTTGGCATCTTTCTATTTCTTGCGTGCTGCACGGTTCTACCTTTTCCTTGGCTTGGATTTCGCTTTTGAGACAAAATGTGTCGGCATGGAAGAAATGCTTATCGTTGCAGTAAGAGCCCTGAAGCTTTGGGTGATGAGCGACTGGGTGTGCTCGTTATAAATGGCAAATCTTGGGAATGGCGATCAGGAACTAACACATGCGGAACGGGTCGAAGCGTAAGTGCAATGGAAAGTGGAATCTTTGCTTGGTCTTTAAGCTTTAAGTTTGACTTCATTCATTCACATACAGAGTACGGAGTAGACACGGGCCATTTAATCATGACAGGTGATCCACTCCAACAACTTGAAATTTCTAGTAGCACTGGTCAACAATTCTTTTGAGCAGTCAGGCACTCAGATGAGACCGTCGGGGCTGCAAAATACTAGTAAGTTTTTTAATCACAGCCCTTTTCTTAACACTTCTGATAATTTAGTCCGCAAAACCGATCAAGGAGGTCCAACCTTGAAATTTCAACATGACCACTGCGACGCAACATAGGTCCAAATCGGGACGTCATTCAGAAGTGGCCCCGATACGCACCCACCAATTGCAAGACGCTTGAACAACGCGATTGAAATGAGCGACATATCAGCTTCCTAATAATTCGTGCTCTACCCCAACTAAGTCTCAGTTCGGGTGTGCCGTGTACTCCACAGTTACGACGATAGGCCGAACGGCTGCATTAGTGTCCCGCGACGCAGACCCTGAGAGGCTCAAGTGTTCCGGCGGTGGCTTGAAGCCTCCGTCAACGAGGGCCACACTTAAATGATCCTTATTTTGGGTTCAAAAAAGGGGATCAGGGGCAGGTTTGTGGGATTTCAATCAGAACGGACTTCAGGGATAGCCAAGGCAAAGGGTCAGAAAAGCTGAACGGTTGCCTGTCCATTGGCTATGAGTGACGTTCAGGGTCACCTCAGACCTCGCCAGATTGTGAAGACTTGCAGATCGCAAAACTAAAGGTTCCTTGGCAGACCGTACGAGTAGTAGCCTTGTCAGACCATGGCCCCGCTCCTAGGTTGAGCTAAGGCGGTGTTGTTTCTCTCATCTCCCTGAAGTCAACTCAACTCAACTTCCTCCATTTAAGCTTACCTTGTGGAGGGAGCCAGTCTTTCGTTCCGGAACACACCAAACCACAGCAATCATGCTTCAAGAAGACACTCGAACGTGCTATTTCCCGAAGGGTGACACTGCCGGAGGCACTTATCCATGCACTTCTGATGAAACCACACATTGCTGTGGAGCTGGGAACATATGTCTCTCCAACGGATACTGTTTGGATGTATCCCAACCATTCGTTCTTTCTCGAGGTGGTTGTACAAGCCAGAATTGGGGTGCTGGATGCCCGACCCACTGCCGTAAGTCCTTGGATCCTATCCCTTGTGGGGTTACCCCTTTGAATCAATGGGCCCTATATCGGTATGCCTATATTCCATGCCGAGTGCTGACAAAATGGCAATAGAGGATACCTTCGAGGACATGGGGGCGTCTATAATTAATTTGAATTTTATCAACGGAACCTCTACCTATTGCTGCGGTACCCCTATCATCGACGGGGAAAACATCGTCTGCCCTTTCGGAAAGGATAGCTTCGAAATCGACGATGGCGAAATTCTTACCGGACACACTGCCCTCGCCAATGTCACTTCACTGTCGGCCTCAACAAATTCCTCGTCCAATTCCTCTATATCTTGTCCACCGATACAAACAAGTACTCCTTCATCAAGCGGGTCACACGATGTTGCCCTTGGAGCTGGGCTGGGCGTTCCACTGGGGGTCATTGCGCTGGGGTCGTTGGTATGGGGATTCATGGAAAGAAAGAGGGCCAATAATTTGAGCAAAGCAGTGGCTAACTCCACTGCCCCGGCCACGGGATTTATCGGTCACCCTGTGAACGCCGAATTTCCTGCGAAGACTGTGAGTTCTGGGCCCTCGGAGCTCGACACCAACCGACGCATGCCGGAGTTGGAAGCAAGGGATTGAGGGATAAAGTTGCGGCATATAGTTAGATACCCAGTACATACTTGTACCTATGATAATTGTGAATAGTCGCATAATGTAATTGAAGGCTAATTCTGAGAGTGTTACCCACGGTAACAGGATCTATTGATATTTCCAATGGTGTCGCTGTAATACTCGAGCATGATACTAGTAATATCTAAGCGGTGGAGAACTATGCGTCAATAAATTTAACCTAATTTTATACTCGATTAAGGTCATGCACCTGTCTTCCGTGAGACATTCTCACATAGAGTCTAGACTCAATAAGAGAGCGAAACTAACTTGACCACAAACATCGCCAAGGGTAAGGCTCCGTGCTGGGCAGAATGTCTCGAGTATTCCGGGCTTGTCCTCGTGGCTGGAGTTCGCCCCTCGCGAGGGGAATACTATGCATGTTACCCAGAGACTGAAAGGCTGGAATGCAACTGCTGCGATAGATTGAGGTCCAGGCCTATGGTAACTTCTATTAAATTGACGCGTAATCCTATCTCAAAATGATTTTAGATCAGTATAGCTGTCACCCTCGTGCTTTATTCTCCTTTAACGCGTGGATCCAAGTCGATCCCGCTGATCTATCGCCCTTGATCGCTTGGCTGTGCAGATCACCAGCTCAATCAACACAAGCATGGCTCGATTTTTAGGATGTCGTGGCAGTAGCCTCAATATCGTTGCCATTCTCGGCGTCTTGATGCCCGGAATTATGTCTGTTGGCTACAACGCAGCGTCCCTTGGGGGAGTATTGACCTTCAATGCCTTTGAGGCTCAATTTCCTGATATCGACGTGACACATTCGGAAAACTCTTCACACACTTCGACTCTACAGGGGACGGTAGTCGCTGTTTACGCTATTGGCGGCTTTCTTGGTACCTTTTCCTGCATCTGGCTCGGTGACATTCTTGGCCGTCGACGTATGATCATGGCGGCTTCAGTTGTTCAGATCCTTGGAGCTACTCTGAATGCCACCGCCTATTCTTTGACCCAACTCGTCGTCTCGCGGGTGATTATTGGTGTTGGAACAGGCGCAATTCTGGCCACAATTCCTCTCTGGCAGTCCGAGATCTCTCCTGCGCATAGACGTGGCGCACATGTTGTCACCAAGGGAGTGTTTAGTGGAATTGGATGTGCCCTTGCACTGTTCCTGGAGTATGGGATGTCGTTCATGAAGGGAAGCATAACATGGAGGTTGCCATCTGCCTTTCCCATGTTTCTATCCTTCGTCATTCTGGGCTTTATGTTCTGTCTCCCAGAGTCCCCTCGATGGCTTCTTTGCCAAAATAGGGTCCCGGAAGCTCGTGAAATCTTGGCCGCCCTAGAGAACGCAAGTGCAGATAGTGATGTGGTTGAGAGCCGAATCAAAGAAGTACAGTCTTCGTTGGATTTAGCTGGAAACAATGCATCTCTGGCGCGGCTGTACAATATGGGACCTCAACGAACATTCCATCGGGCAATTTTGGCGATGGGAGGTATGATTTTCGTCCAGCTGACAGGCTCAACTGTGACTACCTTCTACAGTAAGTGATTATTTTACTTATTTTTTTCGAAAATACGGTTCGCTAACAAGAAGAATTTAGCCACCGAAATATTCGAGAAGGATCTTCTTCTCGATGAATCTACATCTCGACTCCTGGCAGGAGCCTATCAACTTGTGGGACCCATTGGTGGCATAGTCTCGGTTCTTACAATTGAGGTTGTTGGCCGACGCAAGTTGATGATGCTCAGTGCAACAGGAAACGCACTCTGCCTAGCCTTGGTTGCTGGCCTTGGGTCACAAGCCGCGAACATCACCTCCGCACATGCTGCTATCTTCTTTATATTCTTGTTCCACTTCAGCTACATCATCGGATTTGGAGGCATACCCTATCTCTACGCCACAGAGCTTGCACCGCTTCACCTGCGTACGACGATTAACAGCATCAGCATCAGTATGTCCTGGGCTTTCAGCATTTTAATCGCCAATGTTACCCCGATCGCATTCAACAACATGGGACAGAAGTATTTCTTTATCTTCGCAGCATTCAACGCGTCAATCGTGCCGATTGTCTATTATCTGTTCCCGGAGACTTCAGGGCGCGAGCTTGAGGAGATCGACGAGATCTTTACCATCTCTAACAGCATGTTTGATGTTGTCAAGCGGGCCAAAGAGCTACCTAAACGTCAACCCAACGATGTGTTGATAGAAGAGAAGCTCAAATCTGGTCTCACTGTCACAGCAGTCCCCGTGTGAGGGTGCTATATTTGTACTATATTTGGAAAGTTACGGCATCATGGATAACATCATTAGGCTAGGGGAATAAGGAGCTAAGATACTCCTGATGATTTGTTTAATGAAGAAAAATGAAAATAATAATGATAATAATTTAATAACTTCGATCTGAAGAACCTGTATAGAAATTTCTTCAATGTAAAACAAGAAAATCCATTCGACGTTAATATTTCTTGGGTGTAGGGAGTCTCAAATGGCATTAACCCAATGCAAATGCAATTCAAGCTCTACCCTTGAGGTCTTGATCAATTTGCTTCGCCATTTGCAAGCATTCTTCGTCACGCATGTTGAGAGTAAACAGTTGAATAGAGCAGGGTGCCCCATTGAGTACCTCAAAGTTGTCTGTACATATCTATTAGTAAAAGTTTCCGGAAAGGTTCAATGCAGGTTTCACCCACATTCCGGACCAATTTGGTCCTTCTTCAGCTCGTAAGTCCCAGTTGCATCTTCTGCGCCCACGTGCCCAAAGGGAAGAATGCACGACGGAAACTAGAACAATTCGGAGATTAAGTGTTAGAAATATCCCCGAATCGGTCGCAAAATATAAAACTTACATCGAGAGCGTTCAAAAATGCCGTGTATGGAGGCAGTCCAAAAGTATCGTGCTGAACTGCAGTGCTCTGGGCAGGGGGTGCGATGCAAATATCAAGGTCGTTTGCGAGCCACAACTTTCTATAATCCTCGCGCATTTCTGCTTTATGGGTGTTTAGTGCAGCCAATTGGCCCATTCGATCCAATGCACTCCTATCCGGCAGAGAGGATCCGGCATTTTGTTTAAGCTTCTCACCCTGCTGACCAAGGTGAAGTAAGGCTGGCACCGGGGGATCTCCGGATGATTCAAGGTGGTTCCTTGCGCCTGGGTCAAGAGCGAAGGTACCGAAAGCGACCTCAGTCGCCTCCATCACCCGACATTCCGCCGAGGTCAACGGAATGATCGTGTGGCCCTGTGCCTCTAATATGCGGGTTGCATCTTCCAGCGTCCTTTTAACAGGGGGCTGCAGAGGAAAATTAGGGCTTTCGGGAACAACTCCGATTCTTAGCTTTTGCTTCGTGGAGACCTGTCTCCATGGAATGTCCAAGATAGTGGAATCGTAAAGAGCGGGGCGGGCCTCAAAAAGTGTCTTGAAGAATGTCTCGATGCCATCTAGATCCAAAGAAAGTGGGCCCGCACAAGACAGGACAAACTTCATTCCACTGGTGGTGCAGACTCGCATTCCTCCGTTCGGGACCCTTGCAGCACTAGGTCGGAATCCATATGTCCCGCAGCATAGGGCTGGGATGCGGACGGAGCCTTTGAGCTTGTTATTAACACGGCGCTCAGAATATCTCTACCAGGGAGAAAACTCACCGCCAATATCTGTTCCAACGCCCAATGGCGAGCCCCTTAAAGCTATCAAAGCCCCTTCGCCGCCACTCGATCCACCAGGTCCCAATTGGGTGTTCCTTGGATTAAGGGTGCGCCCGAAAACGTTATTGTGAGAGTCGGTCGTCTGATTAATCGTGTTAGATACTTAATATCATGTAACATAGTATATGTCTGCTTACCATCATGGTTTGGGGCACATTAGTTTTAACATAGATAACCGCTCCAAGCTTTAACAGGATTTGTACAAGGGGCGAGCTTTCCGATGAAACTTCACCCATGAACGATAGCATCCCAATGGTAGATTCAGTACCCTTGTGATGGAAATTGTCCTTGATGCTGATTGGGAGACCATGGAGCGGGCCAGCCAGTTGACCTTGAGCTCGCAAGCGGTCCAAATGTTCCGCTCTTTTCTGTGCTTCATCGAACATGGTGTTTGTGAGACAATTGACCTATTTAAGCGAGTTAAAATATGCCATGAAACAACAATACTTAAGCACCCTACTCACCAATTGTTGGGCAACTGCAGCACGCTTGCAATACGCCAACGTCACCTCTGCAGAGGTCAAGTGACCTTTCGCCAAGGCAGAAAGAAGACTGGAAACTGTATAACTTTCGGTGATTTCGAGTTCACGGCCTGTCAGAATGCCAGACTTGCGAATGGCTTGTTCTTGGACTAGATCATTCTTGTGTTCTGCTAAAGGTGTTTGGAAGTTGTCCCAGAAAGCATTGGGAATCCTCCATGTCGACGGAATCTTTTCGGAATTTTCCTTTTGCTTTTTAGCTACTCTTTCTTGCCACGGGATATTCGTATCGGCAGACTCCATCTTCAAGTTGATTTGGGTTTGAGGGTGTATTAGTAGCTTGAGGCTATGTAAAATGTACTATGGCTGTTGGATAACTTGGAAGTCAGCCCTTAATAAGGCGGGCCCTGTCAGATATATGTAGTATGTTCAAATACGGGGTCTGAGGGGTAACTTATCCGATCGGCAAATAATGGCGTCTTTCGAAACCAACTCCCTGGGCCGAATGTTACGTCCTCGCGATCTAGCAAATCGCGACATTTGCCTCGGCTAGGAAGTGGGGATAAGCGGGGGGTTTTCTTGTTTGATCGCCAGCTAGGGTCTTGCTCCAGAGACGTCAGACCCTGAGATCTATATGGCCAGGAAATTATGACAATGGCCGTAAAGTGATAAACTTACAAATTGCGTGGGTGAATAAAAATTGATCATATCTCGCCGTTTCAATATGATTCCCCGGCGAAGTTGGTCTTCAGAGTGGGGTTGTCTCACTTGACTTCGTATTGTACTATCCAAGGCTAAATTTCTCACTCCCTCACAAAATCGGTCTTTTCAAAATAGCTCTGTCCTGCCTTCTGCTCCCCTTTCTTCACTATGGCCACGATGGAATATTGCAAGCGTGCATATAAAATAATTTTACCTTCTCAAGATTTGAAAAGCGTTGGCTCGTAGCCGACTGTCCAACGGCATTTAACTCTTGGGGTATGTTGATATCGCCATTCTGTTACAGACCTCATTTCCCACGGATTGATAGAGAAATTACCCGGTGGTTTATCTTGAAATTGTTCAATATACCGCCTGGCATTGACAACCTAGGACGGAGATGCCTGTTGTGCATTTTTTGGTGGCCCGTGTTGCGGATTTCGTCATCGTGAACGGCAGACCACGAGTAAGCTGTATGATCATGTGTTATTAAAGATTCAAAATAACCACTCCTACCATATTGTCGCCCTAGCGTTATCTCATTGCCTATATGATACTAAGCATACATCACAAATAGCCAAGTGGCAATTGTAGTGGGCGTTCTGTCACTATTATACGCAAATTACCTGTATACTTCTCTGGAAGTCTAGGGGTTTGCTATGCGCACAAATTCCGGCAAAAAGTTCCAGCATCCAAGGTCAAGTCATGTAGGCTCTGATTGGCCCCCGTGCGTGCTTCCGGCCTGGCTATTGTGTCTGATAAGCAGCCCATCCCCACCAAATCTTGAGACTTTGTGTGTTTGCCCCTGTATTCACAACCCCTTATCAACTTGCTATCGAGAGTGTGTGAGATACCTATCTAGAACTGTATCTGGGAGCTTCTTGCTATAAGCCATATTCCCTGTGGTGTCTACTCTGATCAGTGTTGCAGTTGGCGCCTGGCGACTTTAATGAAGATGGTAATCTTGATATTATGACTGCCAATCTTGCCGACAATACATTGAGCATCTTGCTCGGGACTGGATTTGGGACCTCGGGAGCTTCCAGGTGTAGGCCGCATTCCCTGTAGGAGGTGGACCGCAAGGTGTTGCGGTGGGTGACTTCAACCGAGATGGCTATCTCGATATCGTGGCTATGATTACCTACGGCAATGAAGTGAGTGTCTTGCTCGGGAATCCTTGCGGCGTGTAGAACTGCCCAGAAGATTGTGATATACGGTTCACAATCTTTGATGTGTCACTTGTCAGCCAGCCATATGTTTTCTGGTTCGCAATTTATTCTCAAAAACTGGGGTATGGATAGTCATATAATAAAGTGGGGATGGTTCCTGTTCGGAGTCGGAGCGAAGGGTCCAAGCCACTGTGGAGAGCAATTATCCATATGCGAACTTGGCTGCATGGGCACTGAATTACAACTTCGACCTGACGACTTGGCATTGGGGGCCAATTCAAGATTAGGGGCACCAGCAAATAATCTATTTAAAGAGTACGGGAACGCTTGTGTTTTCAAGCTGGAGAGGGAGGTAATTAATAATTCGTCTTTCGTAGAACTTCATAAATAGTGTTATACATAGTAGGGGGCTTTTTATTATATGTGTTCCTTCGCCATTCGGTGTGATCCCTCCCCATCATCGGTACTACTAGTAGTATCCGCAGTTGTGGTGACTTCGAATGTGCGATGGACACCGACCTCCATTTTCCCCATCGTCGCCTTATCTGCAGTCAGCCTTTCCTCGCTGCTGCTGGGACTGGAAGGCTCCGGCCACGAATTTCCTACATCTCTTTGGCTCTGAATATCCGTCACCACCACAGCCAGTTTATCCGGTCTCAGTTCGTTCCTCCCATTTCCATCCAGAGAGCCTAATGGCAATGGCCGTTGTCCACTCGCTCCAACTCGACGTGAGCCCGAAATTCTTGGGAAACCAGACGAATACTCTGGGTCGGAGTGAGAGCCCATAATTTTCCGAAGCAGGGGCCGAAGGGTTGCAAGGCTTCCAGCTGTGATTCCAAGGCCGGCTTCGATATTTGACCAAATGGCGATTTGATATGTAGAGTCTATAGTGCGTTAGCAGCCACGCTTTCAGGCTTCGGAAATAGTTAGCGCGGTTTACTTACAAAGGAATTCGTAATCGCCAAATGTCTTAACGAACGGAAATCGAATGATCACGGCGGATGAAGCACTGAAAACTGTTAGTTGCGCTGACCAAAGATAACTGCGAAAGATGACGATAACACACATGCAAGCCATGCTGAGAATCCCGACGATGGCATATTTTGCCTCGCGCTTCATATGTAGTTTCCTCACGAGGAATATTGGCAAGATCCCAACAGTAAAGTCACACAACGCAGCGAAAACGCTGTAGATATAAGTCATGGTAATGACAATGTTGATGCTAATGCAGTGTCCCTCAATAGAAGGGTCAAATGCCAAGCGAGTCCAGAAATAGCTGAGCGGCTTGCATTGTAATAGCATCAAAAACATAAACACTAGGCCGGCAAGAACCGTGAGGATCATCACGATGTACAGCGTCCAAATATGATGCCTTTTGACCGTGATTCGCATGAGGAAAACGCACACTGAGATTTTGCAGAAAATCGAAGCAAAGCAGTAAGCAATTTCGCAGAGCCACCAATACTGTGTACTTCGTTAGAAAATCTCGCGCCTAAATAACGACCCCGAGGAAGCCCTTACCCTCATAGCTATGACTCGATGCTCCGCGCTTTCGCTGTCATACAGTTGTCCAGTACCGAACAAAGTACCTCCAATCATGGACGCACAGAACATAATATAGAATGCCTACCTCAATTAGCTCGGGATCTGCAATCATCACCGTGACCTTTCAAAGATTGGGGAGAAGAGCCAAATTACCATCGCAAGCACCATGGACCCGTCATCCCACCCAAATCCCTTCACCACCCATCCACGCACATAGCAGCGTAGCATAACAGCTATGCATGCTATCGGTAAAAAGACGGCTGCGACCGTCTTGACTGCCAGCACCCTTTGGTGCTCATCATCAGTCATAATTGTGGTGACCGAAGCGACTTATTTCTGACAGAAAGACAATTGTGTGGGGAAAGACCGATTTTTAAGAATCACAAGTGCCGCGAGGCGGGCACGGAACCTGGGAGGCGATAATCAGCCGGTGATCGAGAGCCTTCGGCGCGTCAGGGGCGATCTTAGCGCACCTCTAGCGCATCACAGGAAAGCCACGGAAGCTCCTAGGCAAATGGCAAACGGAGATCGACGATATGAGACCGGGGCAAACAGCCCGCATGAGTTCCGCCTGCTTGGTTATGATTTCGACACAAAGTTCGCATGCGGGGGTTTCTGGCCTGCCGGGACAATGTCACCACTCTGCTCAGATCCAAATCTGCAAGCAATGAATCCTTCGAGCACAGAAACAGGGATTCTGAGCCAAAGGGAACATGAAGAGCGAACTTTGACTCCGCCCTTAAGCCGAATTCGGTGATGGATGTGGGTATCAAATCCACAACAACGCGGGTCGGTCATCCGAAATTGGTAGCGATTCCGTTGACTGGTAAGCAGATTGTGAACTATTTCTGGGTAGCTTTGGCCATTGCAGAAATGTATCCGCCGTCTAGAACCTTGACAATGGCTTTGTGTGTTTGGCTAGCGAGAGGTGCGATGGGGCAGCTCTTTGACAAGTGGTATTGACACTTGACGGCACGGTGACAGCACCCCTACCGAGCCTCTGGAACTTGGAAACCGTTACCACTAGTTAGTCAGAATGGGGCACCGAGGTTTCTCTGGCTTGTGACCCGATCGATCGGTAATCGTTTATGATCCAAGTCGCTTCTCTGAAAAGTGGAAACAGACAGCCGAACAGCGTGTTTTGACCGGAGATGGATTTATTTGAGACGCGAAGCACACCTGGGCAGCAACCTACAATCTTGAACGTTGAAAAAACCTGAACCCCCTTGATTCCGATGTGCAAACAAGCCCGGAATTTCAGGCACCAAAGGTTGCGAAACACGGGAGTGTTTGATTTCTAAAAAACAAGAACTTCATGGTCTGTGCACGAACAATTGCTCAATTTTTGGAAATTTTGTGAGATAAAGGTCTGTCGAAAAAGGGGGTATGAGTGTTGAAACACCTCATAAAACTAGGTGGCAAAAGCCCTTAATTTAAATTTTTAACTATCTTTCTCTTTCAGCAAGATGCTCAACTGCTCCGCGAATTTCCTTGATAATCCCCAGTGGCCGATTCGATGCAGAAGGTCCACCAATCCACACAATGTGCTCGATTCTGACGTTTTCGGCTTAGTCGTTCGATAGCCGTTGGCTTCGAAAAGTAAAGCCTCGCTATTGAGTTTCAAGAAAGACAGCTCTGGGAAATTTATGTCGGGACTAGGAGATATTTCCGGGAAGCTAGTGTCTTGATCTCCTCCGAATTCGGTATACGCGTACCAAACGGTCGCTGCCCGATAAAGTGCCCTGGGCACATGGATTGCTGGCTCCACCCCTAATGGCATGTTCTGCAGTTTTCGAAGAATTAATGCTCCATGTAGAGCACAACGACGAGCTTCTTGAGAAGAAGACCACGAGTGCACATAATCGCGATGGAGAAGTGATTCCTCATATCCTTCTCTCCCAATTGCTAACTCCAACCGAGAGATATCCACCAAAAGCGATATAAACACCGAGTGCCATAACACCTCCAGGCAGAATGGGTCAAAACTGCCTTCGGGCTTAGAGCGAAAATGTCCGTCGAGGAAGTGGATTAGTTGAGGCTCAAACTGCTCGACAAGCTCTTGATTAGAAGCAGTACTCATAAATTTCTGCTCCATTAATCGAGCATTGATGCCTTCCAACTCCGTATAGCTATGAAAGCCATCAGTGGAGTCAAAGTCAAGTTGGATATTTCCGCTTGAGACTTCAGGAGGAGCTCTGCTGATCATAATATCCTTCCATTGGGTTGCATTTGGGGCTACCCAGAGCTCGTGGCGTGCAGTCAAAGGAAGTAGCGATCTATCGTGTCGCATAAGAGGGTGCGTCAAAACAAGTTCGGATATCTCGGTGTCAAGAATATGAAGACCCGCTGCGACCCTATTTAACGATAATCAAATTAGTAATTCCAAGCCAAAAATGGAGAAATTGAGTATCTCACCGGCTCCGCTCTTCAGCTTGAACCCATGTCCTCCATGCTTCCTCTGGGGTCCGCGTATCCAGGAATGTGTCCAAGTGGTCGGTTGGTCTCTTGGCCTCGAACATTTTATACAGGCGTGCCCACTTATTTAACGTGAGCTTAGGCTTCAGATAATCCATTTAATTACTTACCGTTGTCACTGTGCCATGGAAGGTCTGAAGGGTAAGTAGATCTCTCGGTTTCTATTTAAATCAGTATAGGACATCTTTAGATAAATAAATGAAGGCTCACCCCTGATAGCATCGCAAAGGTTTGTCCAATGAGAGACGCCTGGGTCATTGCGAGAGCCTCCGCTTTACCGCTAAGGAGATACTTCTCCCACTGAGTAGGGTCAGCATTTCCGCACATTTTATCGCACCCCCCATCAAACGCAAGCGACCTCTGACTTACTGATGACAGAATGGCTTTGTTGAGTCTTTCGAAAATTATTGAACCTTGGGTCACTGCATAATTTGAACCAACGAAAAGGCTGCCAATGGAGCATATTGACAATAGAAGGAGAGAGCTTTTAGCCGACGGTCGAAATGTAGGAGCATGCACAATTGGAAAGACCGGGTTAAAACGCGTGAAGAATAACTGGATGCAAAGATTCTGTGATAAGGTCAGATCATCACATTTTCGCTTCGGTTTCCAAAAAGGGCGGTGAAAACTTAGGCTCAATAACTTACTAAAAACTCGGTCGATGGCAATGGCTCGGTTGGAACCCGCTGCTGAAGTCGTTGAGATAGATTTTGCCGGTATTTTTCGTCCAGCTCCACATGATCTGTGGCAGTTTCTGGAGTCACATATCCATTGCTATGTGTTCCAACATAATTGAACCAATACTGGCGCACTTGATCTTCCTTATGTCCATGAGAAGTCTCCATCGGTATCTGAAGTGTCATATCGGCATTGCTCTCGTTTGCGGTGTGGGCGGGAGAGAAAAGTCCTAGAGTACTTTCCATAACGGACGAATTCAAAGCATTGAGATCAAAATGCTCGTCGGCTAACCAGACAGGGGCCTGTAAAAAATGGTCAAAGTCTAGACTACTGTCCTCAACATGGTCAAAAAGCCCATTGGGTATCAGTAAACCGGTCTGCGAGTGAGAGGCCGAGTCGTGGTGGCCTGGCGGCAAAGGATTGGTTGACGTTGTACCATGAGTATGAAATTGGGAGAATTGATCAATATGAGGCTCCAAAGAAGCGGAGGGTACACTGCTATGATCGGTGACTGTTGGTGTATCTAGAGAGGGCATTGCCGGTCCGAATGTCTCCTCTTCTTGGCTTGGTGCATCATGAGCTCTCATGTGTCGTAGAAGGGAGTCACTGAAAGAGCATAAGTAGAGGAAAATGTTTTGTTTCTTCGCAGACCAGAATCTTACTGGCGAGAGAAAGATTTCCCACAGGAAGAGCAATTGAAAGGCTTTTCTTTAGTGTGCGAGCGGATGTGCCGCGAAAGATGCTCTTCTTTCGAAAATGACAAGAAACACCAGGGGCAGATCCGCTGCCGTTTAGTTCGAGCCCGGGTCTTTGGCATTGCTAATTTAGATCAAAATTATCCTTAGGGCGACGATATTAGCGCTCCGGGAGGTGAAGATGTCAAATCCTCGAGTCGGCGGGACCTCAGGAGACCCCGCATTTTCTACCCCAGGTCCCACATCCGCTAGATCTGAACACGAGGAACGATAAAAGACCCAGGAATCCGGTAAGTCCGGGGTATTCTGATTTGGCGTTGGAGAATGATTCAAGTGAGCTAGTGATTGGCTTGCTTCATTAATGGGGAGAGATTAAAAAGGGGCAAAATTGATGCACTGAACATTTTGTACTATGATGGACGCTAGAGGATAGTATAAGAACCCCGGGCCTGGAGCTTGCCAGAGTGGCAACTCGCCACTCCAATACCATCACAGTTACCCAGAAGAATCATTCGCTTTCTGAGTTCATAAACGAATTTCGACTCAATTTGCGAAATTTCTTACCGAAGAAATAGATAGGGATGCCCAATAGCATCGGTCCAATCGTTAAGGCAAATTCAACCATCGTGGGGGTAATGAATCCCTTCTTTTCTGCCAATGTAGATACCCAATAACTCATCACAAACCCACAGGTATTCTTAATCACGGTAGCAACGACCATAATCTCGCCTGATATAGGCTTGTAGCAGTCGACAGCATAAGCGATGACAATAGTCGGCACCGCTGTAACACAGAGGCCACTAAATCCGAAGCCGACTACCAAGATTATGGGCCATTCCCACAAATTCTGATATCCGAGACCGCCAATGACAATGCCAATAACAGTCGTCATAAAGTAAGGTATCAGGGCCGGTAGTCGCATTTCAGCCTCGCGAATGCCGTTGTTGCGCCTGGTGGCTTTCATGGCTACCCAGTCGGAGAAAGGTCCTGCAGTGGCAAGCCCAACAAGACCTCCGATGGCGAACGCGAAATTGGTGTAACCAACTCCTGCCGGGGTGAAGTTATATGGCGGGGCACTGAAAAATGCGGACTCCGTCAGGTTCCAGAAAAGAAGAAGATTGGCAGGTCCTGCCACGTTCAGGCCCGCCCAAAATATTATTGGAAAAAAGAAGAATTTGAAAGGTGAGATAATGTCGCGGACGATAAACTGCTTCCAATCTTTTTCGAGTCCTTGCCACAGCCGGAACTGAGATTTAGAAGGCCGACCAGTGCCCACCGTCACCAAGGGAGGCTCAAGGTTCTCTAAATGCCCCGTCCTATCCTTATCCAATGTAATTGAAGGCTGGGTATTATCAAGCTCCAGATTTCTGGTTTCATCAATATTTCGGCGGTGAAATTTGGTTTCAGGGAAAAAGATGAGCAGCGTCAGAAAATTGAAACAAGACATAGCCAATGAAAGCCAGAAAAAGCTGCGCCAGCCGAATCTAGATTAATCACGATATAATGTCAGTACTATTATAGTACTAGTATTATCGTATGATATATCAATTTCATTGAACAAGTCACATACCTTTCTGCAATATTTCCGGCAATAACGGGTCCGATAAACAATCCCATAAAATACCCAGTGCTAGACGATATATTAGTTCTCGGCTTAAATAATCTGGGGATAATATTGTAGGGTATCCAACTCACAAATATACACCAGTCCACAGCCCTCGTTCATGTAGAAAAAGCATATCGGCAATGACCTGGACCAATATAGTCTCACTTGTTGCAGTAGCGACACCATTGACCACACGAGCACCAAGTAAGCTTGAATGGGACTTTGCAAGGGCCTGCCAGATACACGACCCTATTCCCCAGGCACAGAATATCAAACTTGTCAGACGTCGTCCAAATATGTTCGAGAAAGGAACGATGATAAAATTCGAGTAGCCGAGTGCTAGCACACAGGCGCCCGACAGGAGACTTAGTTGTGTGTCATTAAGATTAAATTCGGCCGCAAATAATGGAAACATTGGACCCATTGAAAGAGCTGATTCAACAGCAACAAACAAGAATAAGAATTGGGTCGTGATAACCATATCTGTAGATGTCTTTCAATCAGTCTTCTTGGATTTTCCAATACATCCTTGGGTATCTCACACTTCCATGTTTTTGACCAATTTAATGGGTCACTTGGGTCATTTGAAGGCTGTGGGATTAAACTATATTGTTTCAGCGAGTCCTATCAAAGAGGGCTAAGTCACTACTCACGCAATGTTAGCTCTCCTGTGACGAACTTCTTCCCAGTCACACATTATTTCCGTGCCTGGGACGGTATCGTCGTCTGTCGATTCCTTGTTTTGTGCCATCTTGTATCTCAAAAGCGGAGGCTGATCTCTTTGAGTTGTAAGGCGAGTCGATGTCGGACAAGTAGGTCGCTGTCTTTGAATGTTTTGTCTTCTAATGATTCTTACTATCGGGTCATATCTCATATGCTTAGCATAGTACAAGCAGATAGATCAAAAAAGTTTTCTTACAAGCTAGCTAATGCAAGAGCATTTTAAAGCCTTTTGAATCGGTCCCACGGGGTGATAAAATGCGGGGAAAGCATACTTCTCTGGCCGATTGGTATTCCCACGATATCTATTACAGTCCCGCCGCCTGCGAACCTAAATTTTGTTGAACATTTTTACCTACCAATTCTATTTTGCCAAACGACAAAATCGAAAAAGTCATGGGCCAAGCTTCATTTGTTAACATTTACTATTCGCTAAATGCTACTTAGTATGAATAAAGGGGCCAGCTACCGCCAGGAATCAAGTGAGCGACGGGCTTGGCTCTCGTGAAATGAATTAAATTCTTTCATTACGGCGGAGCTCCTGGTATATTTCGGTTCGGCCTAGGCCTAGCCATGCGGGCCATTTTTGTTATTCCCCTGTGAATGTTTTTCGTTGTGCACTGGCAGGATATCCCTTGCAAAACTCTTCGCTGCCTACACCATGAAAGCGTCTAGAGGCTTATAGGATCTTTCAACTAAGCCGATACATGTTGAAACGAAATCCTGCTGCAAAATCCTGGCATCTATGATCTTTGCGCAACCATCTCAGACAAACAGGTGTTATGTATGATAGACACCCTTGCTTGGTTCCTACCCGATCCGGCGCTGAGAAAAAGCAATGCAACGCAAGGCCACTCCAAATTCCGAGGCGCCCGACGATCGCAGATCGCAGATTCCAGTGAACTTCCCACAATAGATCCCCTTCGACTGGACCGACATTTGAGCGCAAACTCAACTTAGCGGAATAGAGCCTTTCTTCCTCTCCGTCTGCAGTGGTTAGGCTCTCAGACCCTCTTCATCTGGCAAGCAAGATGTCAAACGAAGATGGCCCTCGCGAGCGACTTGATTCTGGAGCTCCGGCTATCCCTTGTTCTGAAGATGAGGGGTCTCAAATGGTTACGCTGAAGATGATTCTCCTCTCAATCTGGGTCTCTTGGGCAGCATGGATTGGGAGTTTCGACAATGGCTTCGCCGGTACTGTGCTTATCATGCCTTCTTTCCAGAAGTCCTTTGGCCATTGCGAGGTAACTCTTGATCCAAATACTGGAAACCGTATCGAACAATGCAATCTGAGCACGCTGCAACAATCCCTTATCAATCTTAGCATATTGTTTATGTGTGTCGGAAGTGTGATTTCCGGCGTTTGTGGCTCGTGGATTGGCCGAAGAACAACGATTCAAATTGCCTGCGTCTTTAATTTGGTCGGAGCTGCCGGTATGCTCGGTACGTCCGGCAGTTTCTCCAGTTATATTGTTTGCAAATGCATAGGTGGTATTGGTATTGGGCAACTGTATGCTTCGAGTCTCGTCTATGGCTCAGAATGTGTCGTGGCGAGCAAACGTGGCCTCCTACTCGGTATCTATAACATTGGTCTCGCCATGGGCAATGTTACTGTATCAGCAGTATGCGCCGGCTCAGCCAAACTCGAATCAAATAATGATTGGCAGTGGAAAACACCGATCGCCTGTCAAATTCCTCTTGCCTTGAGTCTTGCCTTGGGCATGTTTATGTTTCCCGAATCACCTCGATGGCTTCTCTTGAAAGGGAAAGAGGAATTGGCCCGGGACTCCTTTGCTGCGTTTCAGTCTCGAGGCCCAAACTCAGTTGAAGTGACCAAGCAAGTGGATGAAGTGCTACAGTACTTAGAGATCGAAAGAAGAAACGAAAAATCAGCTTCATGGTCAGAAATCTATCGTGGAACGAACCTACGTCGAACTACAGTTTCTGTCCTGGTACTGGTTAGTCTTCCGCTGACAGGTATCCAATTTGTCGCGCCCTACGCAGCTTTCTTCCTCGAGGGCGTCGGAATTGAGAATCCATACTTGATCAATGCCATTGTTGCGTTATGCATTTTTGGTGGAGCCTTTATTGGTCCATTTGTACTCGATTATGGAGGAAGAAGATTTGCCATGCTCGCTGGGTACGGCCTTATGGCTATCTCGATGCTCATCTTTTCCTCGGTGAGCACAGCCCTTGGAGCAGATGATCCGACCGCCCAGAGCGTTGTGGTCGCATTTCTTTGCATCTGGGCCTTTATATTCGGCGGGTTCATCGGCCCTAGTGTGTGGCTTTCCTCGGCAGAAATGCACAGCATTAGACTTCGCACCTATGGCCAAGCGAACACGACTTTTATCTATAATATATTCGCCTTTGGTGCCTCTTTCTGGACGCCATACATGCTGAATCCTGCATATGGAAATATGGGCGCTAATGTTGGTTATTTTTACTTCGGAGTGACTGTTTCATTTGTAATTCTGGTGTTTTTCTTCGTTCCTGAAACATCGCGCTTGACCCTGGAGCAGATTGATGACTACTTTATGTCTGGGCGAAGGGCTTGGAGTACATCGACCAAAAAGAACATCGCTCTTGTTCGGACTGGCATACCTAGCGAGCCAAAATCAGGCTACAGCATCGGACAATCAGAAGCTGCCAACAATTCATCTTTGACGAGTTGAAAGGAATTTATTCTTCTGGCATTTAATTGTATTCCAATTCGAGTGAGATTGGATCATAAAGGTGTAAAGACCTTGGGGAAGCCTGGCCTTGACTTTTCGGGATACTTGGTTCAATCAAAGA